CCGTGCACCTCCCTTCACTCTTGTGTACCAACCCCTCGGGTCTCACGGCCTGACAGGAGAGCGCTCGGGTACGGTAGAATTATAGGTCGATTATTTCGGTGGTGATCTACGGTAGGAGGGTAGGGTGTTATACGGGGCCTTGGTCAAGGGAGGCTGGACGTCCCGCCGTCTCGTGCTACAGGACTTCCTAGGGGTGTGAACGTTGGTTTGTGTTAGGTTTGTGGTCGTTTTTGTGCTGGTCAGGTCAGCTTCTTTCTGGCCATGCTAATATTATTCGATTAAACCGATTTCCACGGTTTCTTCTCCCTCTCCGATAACTCTCTCACCCCTTAAAATGCGGCACCGGCCGAAGCCCACCCGTGTTGGTACTCCCGCCCACAAAATTCCCAAGTAACTGAAACCCAGTCGTCAACCCACCCGCCGTGTCGCCCGTTTCCCTCGGCGGCGGCCCGGCCTTTTTCGCCGCCGGAATCTTGAACAGACTCATCCTCGCAGCCAACTCGGCCTCCTCTTTCTCTTTCTTCTCTTTCTTCTTCTTCTCTGCTTCTTCCCTCGCCTTCCTCACTTTTTCTCCATCCTCATCCTCGTCCTCTTCCGCTACATTCTCCTCCGCATCCCACCTCTTCGCCTTCTTCTCCCTCTCCGCCTCCTCCTTCCTCTTCTTCGCCTCGTCCGCCGTAATCATAACATGATACGCCGGATTCCCCGACTTACCCACAGCCCCGGCACCACCGCTCCCATCCAGCGGGATCTTCCGCAGCGCCGCGACAAGCGCACACATGAACTTCATCGACCGCGCCGCGCGCAACGGCTCGTCGGCCCAGTTGGAGCGGTGGGTAAAGACACATTTCAGATCCATCTTGCCCTGGTCGGTGTTCAGGTTGGTGATGGAGAGACCTAGTGCGGGCAAGTAATCCCGGCGGTTGTCGGGGTGTTTGACAAAGGCTTCGAGTTCGGAACGGAGGAACTGCAGGTCGCGGAAGGAAGTATCGGAGAGATCGGCGGCTAAGGTGATGGCTTGGCGGTTGGCGCCGGAGCGGGTGACGTTTTCGATGCGGCATTGCTGGAGGTATTCGTTGCCTGCTTGGAGGGTCATGCCGTTGTCGACGCGGCGGAAGATGGTGTAGAGTAAGGAGGTGTGGGTGACGATGAGGGAGGTTGGGGCTGGCGCGGGGGACTGGCCGTTCCAGAGCTCGATGCGGTCGCCGATGTCGTAGGGGTGGTCGAAGAGGATGAAGATGCAGCCAGCGAGGAAGTGGTGGATGGTGCGGCCTACGGCGAAGGCGAGGCCGAAACCGAGGATTTTGATGGTTTCTTGGATGTCCTTCAGGGCAGGGACCCAGAAGACAAGGATGAAGTAGACCATGACGCCGGCCAGGCAGGCGAGCATGACCCAGTCGAAGGTGTTGATGCAGTGGTCGGCGGCGTGCATGTTGCGGTAGATGTTGTTGCGGATGCGGCCGGCTTCGGTGACGGACCATTCCATCTCGTCGAGCCGGAGATCGCCTAGGTCGCCTTCGTCGAGGAGCTTGAAGTAGGCTTCTGCTTCGGACTTGCGGGAGGGACCAAGCACCTCGGCCATGTTTTCGGCAGTTAGGGCCTCTTTGCCCATGGGGACAAAGGACATCCAGATCCGTCGGGCGAGGGCGGCGGCTGATTTGGGGTTGGCAATGGCCCGTTCTACCGTGGCGTACCCGGACGCGGGCCGTAGCCAGTGGGAGTCTGGGCTGCTGGACAGGAAGTTGCCGAAGAAGGATGTGAGGCCGTAGGTGTCGATGCCCAGACGGCTGAGGTAGTGTGTAGCGCGGATGCGGTGCTCGCCGTGTTCTTGGCCTGTGGCGTTCCGGATCATGGTGTCCTCGTCTTCAAACTCGGCGGTGCCGATGGGGTAGAGGTAGACGGAGGCTTCGTACAGCGCAATCAGGGCGTTGTGCATGTCCTTGGAGCGGGTGATCTGGCCCATGTCGGAACGTGCGTGGTAGTGGATGGTGATGTAGAGCATGCCGATCTTCTCGACCAGGTAGAACCAGGCCCAGAGCACGCCTTGTTGGAGGAAGTCTTCCAGGATGTCGATCCAGCCGATTTCGTCGGGAGAGGAATACAGGGAGGTCGCCAGGCTTGCACGGTCGATGTAGAGGAGCTAAGATGTTAGCCAGGCTTTACTACACAACAAAGGGCGTCGTCGAACTTACAGCCAGGTAGATGACGTAGGAAAAAGTGACGAGACCAACGTAGCAAATTGGTCCTCGCATTGTCCGCAGAACACGCCAGTACCGCGCATGCCCCGGGTTGACATATCTAGCCGACAGTCAGTACATCCCACACGGAACGGAAGAAGATAGTAGTTAATAGCAGAAACATACCTCGCAACAAATCGAAACACATAAGGCAACACCGTCCCAAACGCATAGCACGCTGCCAACGCTATCCACGAGAACCACAGCCATCCAAAGACGTAGTATGTCACCAAACGCGTCTGCTGCGCCGAAAACCCCGCCTCGTCGTCCCCAAACTCCGCTCGGCTCTTGACATTGTCGGCATCGATGACAACGGTTGGGATGACCAGCAGCGCGGTGACGATGCCGAAGATGAGGACGAATTTAAGTGGGCCGTATAGGGTCTTTAGGATGTAGCGGCCGTAGGTGCCGGTTGCGGTGGTGGGTGGTGGACGGTGGTTGTTGGCATTGTAGTTGTGGTTAATAGAAGTAGGGAGTTCCGGGCTTGGGGCTTGGGGGTAGGGATAAGATTGTGTTTGTGCATAAGGAGGTGTGTAGGAGGACTGGTTGTTGAAGTCGACCTGGGAGTCGGTTTTGGGTTCGTGTTGGAGGAGGGGTGCGTTGAACATGTCGGGTGGTGGATGGGGGTTCATGGTGATGGTCGTGGGTAGTTGGGCTTGTGTTGAAGCCTTCTACACGAGACTCGATCAAAGCCAGATGGCAGGTAATTGTTGCTTAGATACTTTGATGGAGAAAACAGAGAAAGGGACCAAGGAAACCCTAGTTGGGCAATCTTTCGCCTTTGAAGCAATCCAGCAATGCAGGTCTTCGACGCTGCCATCACTAATCCCCTTACCTTCTGCCATTTCGACAACTCAACCCTGATACCCATCCCCCACCGCCCTGATGGCCTGATCGTGGCTTGCAGGCAGTCAGAAAAAGTCGGCGGCTAATTAGCCCACCGCAAATTCTCAACTTCAGCTTCATCGTGAGACCCGATTAAAAGCACCCAGTCGAGCCAAGTGCCTCGAGCTGAATGGCGGTGCCTAATTTTTCCCCGACTCTCAACTGCCAAGCTAAGCCAAATCGGCCCTAGAGAATCTGACAGGAGTTGCTGGCGATGAATTTAGCCCCCAGTTCCATTGGTGCCAGAACGACGGGAGGCACATCAGAAATCTGACTGCCTGGCCTTGGCACTGATGAGCGGGCCAAGCCCCCTGAACTGGTATTGGTGTTTTGTTCGAAACTTGGGACCAAATCTTGCTAGTCGCGCTGAAGGGCAGTGCCCAACACATGAAACCAAGGCGAAGGGTGTGATTTAAGGTTAAACACACTGCAACCTTGAGAATCTAGACCGGACCTGGTTCCGAAATGTTGAGAAAATAGACCGTGGCTTAAAGAAATAAGGATTGCTTTAGTGGCCGGCCGGAGATAACTAACTGGGTGTCGGTGATTTCCTCATCTGCAAAAAAAATGGTACGCTCGCTTTCCACCCCCTAAATGCCGATTCTTTCTAATATACATCTCAACGGTCCCATAACAATGCTTATCCTCCCAAAATGGCACCAAACCCAACCCTAATCGCCCCTCCGTCTAACCGGAGAACAGCTTCGGCCCCGGAATGGTGTAGTCCTTGATAGTCACATACGGGTTGAACAAAATGCCCGGGTCGTCGCTCTTGTAAAGGTCCACGCCCAGCGTGCCCTCCGGGTTGGCCGACCCCCCGCCGGTAATAGCAATGTTAAAGCACTGCGGGTAATTCTGGGCGCCGTTCGGGCTGCCCGCGCCATGCAGCGCAATGATCTCATGACGGAAGACATAGTTCCCCGACGCCAGGCTCGCGGGAACCTTGGTTTCCCACTTGCCGCCCTGGTCCACCAGCACCTGCGACGCCCACACCTGCGAGTCGTAGTCGATCCCCTGCTCCTGAATCTTAACCCACTTTAGCGACGACTTATCCGCCTCCGTGCACTCGCCCGCGCACTTGGCGACATAGGTCAGGATGGGACCGTACGGGTGCGGCCAGGTGGCGGGCCAGTTGAACTGCACCGTCCCGCCGGCCTTGACCTCAACGGCGAGGGTGCCGGGCGTGGCGTTGATGTGGCAGTTGATGTCTTCGGTTTGGTACGCGTTGGGCGCGACGAAGCCGCTGTCGAGGTTCTCTGCGTACCACGCCGCGATGTCGGGCACTGGCGCGCCGTTGACTTTGTCGTAGTAGTAGTCGAGGATGAAGCCTTGGTGTTCCGTGCCGTCGGTTGCGAAGCTGGTGACCATGCCGTGGCCGAGGACGGTCGACGCGAAGGCGCTGAGTAGCGCGGCGGAAATAGCGCGGGGGGCCATCTTAAGATGTCGACCGAAGGCTGACGAAAGAATATGAGGATATTTACGGCAGACGTTGGGTAGGGTAAAACACAAGGTCAGACAGGGAACGAGATTCCCAGGGGGGTGACGACCACTTTCATTTATATCATTCTCTCCATCTTGAATTCCAGCTTCAATCCGAAAACGAGACCCCGAACGTGTGGATTGCATTACCACGGGGCAGCCCCTTCCATGGTCCATCCCAAACCTTCCTCAGTCCCCCAACATGAGTGGTGGAAATTCTCGGATCAAATGCAGCCTTCCCGAATGCCCAGACACTCGGAGCTTCCCCATAGCTTCGAAATGGCACCTCATCCAGGATGCAGCCAACAACAACGGACAACTGGATTGAGAACATCGAAAAAACTCAAAAAAGCTGGAGCCCGATACGGACCGACCAAGTGATTCGGAGCGCTCCCATCCGCCTTGGCTTGGCAGGGTTACAATGGGGCGCATGGCGAGCGACCCCTGAGCGGTAGTGCGTCATGTCGATCGTTTGGGGAAACCTGGCTCGGTGTTTGTTGATGTTTGCGATTCAGGTATGGTGTGGCTCTATTCTGAGACATATCAGGATGTCCCAAGGCGGAGGTTTAGAGTCCTTTTGGGATGGCGTCTCTTGGGTGTTGATGCCGGGTGGTTTGTTCTAATCGCGGGCAAGAAAAGAGACGCACCGTGAAAAGCAGGTTCGGATGGTTCGGTAAAGTCTTGGTCAATTGAATCATGGGGCTTGAATCAACGACCTGAATGTCTACGGGGCAATTTATGAAGGGGGTGGACGGGGCTTGAACGGCCCGAAAGCAACTTGTTGTCAAACTTCCATCCGTCCGGCTGAGAAAGGTGTAAGTTATCGAGCAGTAGATTCCCAGGAGTGAAGCTGTCCGCCAGCCAGCTGGATGAGACAACTGATCCCAACTGTTATTTAAGGAGACGAAGAAATGCAGTTCCATTATTTTCATGTCGTTAACTACGAAGTTCCTGGGGGTTCAGGTTCGCGGCGATGTATAGGTCGTAACTCAAACGCACTTCGAAGCTTCGCAACATTCCCAAGTCCGGATACGAACTAATTACACCATCATTCAAGCAACGTGTAAACCGGAAGCGAGCACGTATGCCGCCGTGAACCCCCACATCCCGGCCTTGCACCGGAGAATTAATGTTGAGGGTAGCGAGATGCAACTCGCGAATGCATTACCCCGGACGGGCCTTCTCCGGTGGGGTGGGGGCAACCCGGGCGAGCGGCCGCTCAAATGAGCACGCGAGGCCGAGTACAAAGTATCCTAGGTACCTACCTAGGTCGGTAACGTGACCCACTCAACTTCCCTCGCCCTCTATTTCTTTAGATGCTAGGCTGATCAGAACTCGGTCCGGCGCACTTCCATTCTCACTCTCCGTCCACGGTTGATTCCCTGTATCGTAGTTAGACCATCTGTGCGGAAATTACACAAAACTAAGGCAACTTACACTCCTTGATCTTAGCAGTGAACAAAGCCCGTGCAGGCATCCAAGTAAATTCTATCGGCTTATTCGTCTGCGGCCCGTTAAAGTTCACCTCGATAACATTCAGCGGTGGCAGCTCATCCAGTGCCTTGGGTTCTGGCTCAGACCCAGGCGAGCTCCGATTCCGCGGCGGTCGTATCGGCCCACCAGCGTCCCTCCACATAGAGGTGGTAAAGGCAATGAACTCCCGTCTGCGGATAGCGATGAAGTCGAATTCCTGCAACTGGGTCTTGCCGTCGAAGAGAGCCTTGGAAAGCACCAGTTGGCAACGGCTGTCCAATCATCTCCAAGGAGGCGCTTTTTCTCAGGACGCGTTTCCTCAGGACGCGTTTTCTAAGAACACGTACATGATGAGGTCCTGCCCCGTCTCCGAGCTATCGTATTCCGGTTTTCCTCACGATACTGCCCACCCGTGACCCGTCACCGAATAACCGCGTCCAGTCGCGCACGTCCTGTGGTGGTGTGAATGCCGATACAGACCGCGGGTCACACAGGCTTGAAAAGTTTCTGAGAGAGATAGGAGGGACACGGTCAGAAGAATCAGGGTGATGTCTGATCACGTTCATGCCGCATCTGCGGCCCCCACCCTGCATGGCCGACGGCACTTTCGGGGGTATTGCTATACCGAACACCTTGCATGTCCACGGCCGACTCTACATGCGAAAAAGCGAGAATTGGAGTCAAGTTATAAAAGTGAACAGACGAAAGCAAATGAGTGTAGGGAAGTAAACCAGAACAGAAAACAGCAGCAACTAAGATATGCGAAGGCTCCCTTTTTGCTACCATAACGAAACCAACCAGGATCCCGAACAGCAAAAACTTGAGACGTCTGGCTCAACCCGTGAGTATACCCCAGCCGACAAATGACGATCCCAGTCATATGAGTGAAGATTATCTCATGCGCCTTCTCTTACTTCCCCCGCCAATCGCTACATCACTCTCGGGACCCTCATGATCCCCAATGATAGGTCGCTTGGGAGGAACGGCCATGGGGCTTGGGGGGGGTTCCTGCTCGCTTAGGAATGCATTCCATGGATCAAAGGCCTGGGACTCCTCCAAGTTCTGGGGCGTGCCCCTTAACTCGTAAATGGGCTGTTCTTCCTCTTCTTCATCTCTAATCGCCTCGTTCTGTTCGCCCTCCTTACAGTCTCCATCTCTCTGGTCACTCCCTTCAACGGAACTCACAGCATCCGGGCCACCCCAATCTTCGAATTCTACGCTTTCGCAGAGAGAGTCCTCGTAGTCAGGTAGGTCGTTACCGTTGTCGTAGGCAACGGGTATACTTCCACCATACGAAGAGAAGCCAGCCGGTCCGTCCTCAGCGCAAGCTCTAGTTAATTCGTTTAATTCCATGAAACGGGCCAAGTAGGCCCATATCCGATCCCTTGGGAATCATATATAGGCAAGCGTGAAGCGCCCGCGTGAAGTCGGCAGTTCCTACCTACCAGCCAACCGTATTGTATCGCTCCTTTTCAACAATGATCACAGCCTAGGCCTGCTGGGTGGCAATAAGCTGTTGCTGAACCGTATAAAAGTATTCCAATTCGAGATTTAGTTTTGCTTGGCAGGCCGCTACAATATCCGAGATGTCGCTATTAGCCTGTTTTTCCATAAACTCCATTTTTTCTGCGGAGAGAAGTCCTGTACGACTGGGTGGCTCATTCGAGTATATATTCAAGTAATACTTGCCGTAATCGAGGATATTTTACGCAGGGTTTATGCTGTATTCGGTGGAGGTGATCAGTCAGCGATTTGATACATAAGGAATACAAGGTTTGGGCTGAGTAGTTACTCGCATCTTTGAGATGGGGCCAGCTTATTAGCAGTCCGCTATCCGCGTCCATGGCACCCAAGCCACGACAGAGGCTCCGAGGCGCCGCAATCCTGGTTGCGGCATGCCGTGGTCTAGGCCGCGAACTATCCCCAAGTAGGACTTCCACTTCAGCTAGCTAGGTGTATCCAAGCCCCAGCCTGGGCTGTCGGATGCTCACCACTCCGATGGCTAGGCATATGTTACCCTCATATGTAATGGCTGCTAGTAATTTAAACCGTTAGTATCTAACTAATCGAATCTTGATATTTAAATACTATCAGTGAACTGTAAAGTGACCATCCAATCTTATCACATTCAGCATTCAGCAGTCCTATCATCCAGCGTCTTTGTTACGGTCTTTCGCGAAGTACTACCCAGCTTCAACTTCACACGACAGCACTCCTGTAACACCCAAAACTTCCAAAGTAACCGCCCTTACAATGCTCGTCCGATCGCTACTTGCCCTAGTAGTCGCAGCTCTCCCTCTCGCTACCGCAGCCCCAACCTTAAGCCCCCCGGCCACCCTCACCGAAATCTCCCCGCGCATCACGCACACTGTAGTAGCCGGCCGTCCTAGCTTACGCTTCGACCCGGAAAATATCGTCGCGGAAGTCGGCTCGATCGTCGAGTTCCACTTCCTGCAGCTCAATCACTCGGTCGCCGAGGCCGCCTTCGCCGCGCCCTGCGTGCCCAAGGACGCCGCCTCCCTCTTCTCAGGGTTCTTCCCCGTACCGCCAAACCCCAACGGGAGTATGTCCCAGTCAAAGGAGGTGTTTAAAATCGAGGTGAAAGATGACAAGCCGATCTGGTTCTACTGCCCGCAGGCAAGACATTGCTGTTTTGAGAAAGGGGTGTGTTCCCCCTCAAACTCTCGCAAGCTGCAGCATGACAACCGCATTCCCAACCGCCTGTTCTTCCTCTAAAATGATATCCGCCTGTTCCATCCCCTCTCCCGCCTCCTCAACCGTTCCCCGCAGCGCAGCGACAAACATATCCTGCCGCGCTACCACCAACTCACCAAACCCCACGCCCTCAGGATCAGAAATCACCCGTTGCCGCATGTAGACCTCGTCGGTTGGCACCAGACCAGCCTTCTTGCGCAGGCGCTGGAATCGGTTGATGAGCTCGCGCACCAGACCCTCTTCCACCAGCTCTGGATGTGGCGCAGCATCCAGCAAGACGATCATATCATCCGCAAACGCCGGCTCCCATTGCGGGCCGCCGCCCTTGCCGCCGTCTGCTTCTCCATACCCTTGCCTCTTTCCAACCACCCGCACGAGAGTCAAATCGCCCTCGCCTAGCGCGATGCCGTCTAGGTTAATCGTCTTTGTCCGTTGGTACTCCCTGAGCTGCGCCTGGGTGAGAGTCGGGAGAGCCTTGCGTACGACCTGGACGTCCTTTTTCAGTTTCTTGCCTAGGGACGGCCAGTCTACGCGGGCTTCGAGAAGAATATTATACTGCTCCTCGTCGTCGGTCAGAATGATGTTGCGAACGTTGAGTTCCTCCTGGACATATAACTTGAGAGACTCAATGTCCGCCAGAGCCTGTTTGTGGGCAACAACAACGAGCGACAATAGCGGGGTCTTGAGCGACAAGTTAGAGCGCTCTCGCGCCACCCTGCCGAGCTGGATGACCTTCTGCATAACCGACACCTGGCGCTCGATAACCCCGTCGAAGAGCGCCTCCTGGACGGTGGGGAAGGGGAGGAAATGCACGCTTCGTGCGTCTGCGAATTCGGCAGTGACCGAGGCGAGTTGCGGTCGGAGAAGCTGGTAGGTATGTTCCGTGAGAAAGGGAATGAAGGGCGCCAGTGCGCGGACCATGGTGAAGAGCACCTGTAGCAGCGTGTTCAGCGCTGCTGTGGTATCGTCTAGGCCCAGGCCGGTGACGCCCTTGAGGCGCTTGCGGTTGAAGCGAATGTACCAGTTGGTCAGGTTGTCGAGGACTTGCAATAACCGTGGCACAACAGTGTAGAGCCGGTAACCTAGCCGTCCGAGTGAGCAAACACAACATATCAGTTTATCGAGTAATGGGAATCGCATACCTCGCATCTCTTCTTCCATGAAGCGTAGCAGGCTCTGGCAGTCGGCTAGAATCCAACGGTCCATGACATTTGCCAGGGCATTATCGCCAAATGAGGGCTGAAGAGCGAAATCTTGGCCTGTGGTCATCTTGTACAAGAGACTTTGCTCGTGGAAGAATCGGTAGCTGTTCCAGAGAGGCAACAGGACCCTGGCCACGATTTCCTTGACCCCTGACTCCTTGAAGCGCATTGACTCTGCCCTCACGACGGGGCTGTTAACAAGATAAAGGCGCAATGCGTCTGAGCCATACTTGTCCAGAATGGCGCTTGGATCGGGGTAGTTCTTGAGGCTCTTTGACATCTTCTTGCCATCCTCAGCAAGCACAATGCCGTTGACGATGACGTTCTTGAATGGCGATATATTGAAGAGCTTATTACCGAGAACTGTAAGGGTGTAGAACCAGCCGCGTGTCTGGTCAAGACCTTCAGCAATGAAGTCGGCTGGGAAGAGCCCCTCGCGGAAATGTTCAGAGTTTTCAAACGGAAAATGATTCGAAGCGTAGGGCATACTACCGGATTCGAACCTACTTCATATTAGCAGGGCATTGGCGTGAAAAAGGCAGGAATAACAACAAACGAACCAGCAGTCGAAGATCTCCTCGACTCGGCGTAGAACGCCCTTCCCTTTTTTCGACGGAATCGTTATTCCGTCAACCTTATCCCGGTGGATGTCATCAAGCGGGCCGTCAAAGCCGCTCAACCGCTTCAATTCCTCCATACTGCCCACGCAAACAATCTCTTCATAATCGTCGCTCACCCATAGGGGAATGGGCGTTCCCCAGTATCGATTTCTCGAAACATTCCAATCATGGGCGTTCGCGACCCAGTTGGCAAAACGCTTGTCCTTGACAAACTGCGGAACCCAGTTCGTGGCCTCGAGGTTCTTGAGCATGTCCGGTATGGAATCAGTGACCCGGATGAACCACGAAGAGACGGCACGCCGAATAAGCTGCGTGTCCGACCTCCAGCAGAACTTATCGACATGAGCAACCTGGCTTTCGACTAGCAGACGGCCGGTGGACCTCAGGTCCTTCAAGATGGCCTTGTCGGCAATCTTAACATACTGCCCGGCATAATCTGGCACCTCGGAGGTGAAGCGACCGGCCTCGTCAACCGGACAAGGCGGCAGCCGCTGAGGTGTAATGAAGCCAGCGGCAACGGCGGCATCATAGTCTTCCTGACCAAAAGCCGGGGCCTGGTGAACAAGGCCGGTTTCACTGGCCTCGACGTAATCTGCGGCGATGACTTGGAAGCAGTCCGAGAAAGCATCGGTAAAGTAGTTGAACAGAGGCTTGTACTTCCACCCAACCATGGACTTTCCGGGAATCTTGTCGAGGACATTGTACTTTGCTTTCTTCAAGTCCTTGTAGAGCATGGACAAACCGCTCTCCAACATGATGTACCGCTGGTTGGTCTTCTCGTCAAGGACCTCCATGTACTCCAAGTTGGGGTTCACGGCAATGAGGAGATTCGAAGGCAGAGTCTAGGGCGTGGTAGTGTAGACGACAAGAGAAGTAGCTTCCTTGCCCTCGACACCAAGCAGGGGGAATGATACCAGGACAGCCGGGTCTTGGGTCATCTTGTCGTTTTGTTTTGCCTCCATCTGGCTGAGGGGCGTGCAGAGGGCAGTCGAGTACGGCATGATCTGGTAGGCGCGATAGACGGCCCCTTTGTCGAAGAGTTGCTTGAACACCCACCAGCAAGACTCCATGAACTTGAGGTCCATCGACTGTTAACAGGGGTCAGTACCGATGATAGTCAGGCGAAAGTGTGAATATTTACTGCCCACCTTATAATCGTTATCGAAGTCAATCCATCTGCCCAGACGTTCGATGATATGTCTCCATTCAGACGAGTACGTCATGACGATGGACCTGCATTCAGCATTGTACCTTTCGATGCCCATCTGCTTGACAGCGTCACGCGCCGAAATACCATGTCTTTTGTCGATTTCGTATTCAATGGGGAGCCCGTGGGTGTCCCAGCCAAAACGGCGACTGGCGTGATAGCCCTTCATAGACCAATAACGTGGGATGATGTCCTTGATCGTCGATGTGAGAAGATGGCCATAATGCGGCAGTCCTGCGGAGTGTTCAGTGCGAAATACCAGGAAACGGTCAGTTAGAGGGGTTTTGTACCTGTCGCTAATAGGGAGTTAGCATGTCTATCCCAGTAGTTTCAACCTCTCCAATGTGAGTGATATATGTTCTGGGCAAGCAGACGTACCAAAAGGAGGGCCGTCGTAAAACGTGAAGCGTGGCCTGTCTTGGCTGAGCCGAAGCTGAGTTTGGAACGCGTCGATCTCTCGCCAATGCCGTAGGATTTCCTCCTCGGCCTTGGGGAAGTTGACGCTCATGTTTTCCTGCTAAGCCAAAACGCTAGATACCGTCGACCGAGCGTGGAATTCTGCTTGCTTGAGATCGTCGTTCTCTCCAGAGGGGTTCCAAGTGGTTTTTTTGCTGAGGGGAAGCACGTTGCAATATGCGGGGCAGGAAATATCGCAGCGTAAGTGTGTTTGACTCACCTTGCAACTACCCGGTAAGGAAAGCGGTGAGTGAACGAGAAAAGCAGGTGAGTTGATCAGTTGTTTGCCAATGTGCTTTAATTATATTTTTATTTACACGTGATGGAGAACTTACTGGATGACAACATGGGCGATCTTGTGTACGGCAAAGTTCTTAAATCGATCCTCCGTCAAAGCCATTACTTCGGGAACTGGCACATCGAGATGGTCGACGTATTTTGAATCAGAATCAGATCTTCCAGATCCCGCGATCTTGACAGAGCGCAATGAAGGATCCACAACGATCTTTTGGGGAAGGATTTTGGGATCTTCAACTCGGGGGTGGGTTGATCGGGGGCGGATCGATTCATTTCTTCGTCGGTTCATCAATCAGCGGTGAAAAGTGTCAAATGGAGGAGGTTGTCCAACGGAGAGAAGCAGTTGGTTCAATAAAGTTTGACTCTGAACCAACAGCCCGTTCCAGACAGCCATCACGTGTTTACGGGCGCTTGAAATTCTTTACCGGTTATAACGGTGCACTAGGAATTAAGTAATCTCGGCCAATTGATCTTGCTAGAGTGGTGAGCATTCAAGCTTGTTTTCTTGTTTACGGGGTGTGTTGTCGTTGCCCGGTCACCCGGCCCTCAGACACAATGTTAAGAACGAGGGCCGTGCCAGAGATCAGACGAGACGGAGTTTCCTCATGTTTGTCGATCATAGCGTCGATGTCTTCTGGGCTTTTTGTCGACAAACCGAATCGCCATTACGACACCAGTTCATGCTTATTTTTACGTTCTTATTGAATATTCATTGACGGAGTGCTGGAAGTGAACTTTAGGCTGATTTATTACGGTATAGTAGTTACCTACTTTAGGTTTACAGTTTTCGGGATAACGAAAGTCAATTTCATTGGTGTTTTAGCCCAAGCAGTTACACTTAACACCATGGTAATGAGTGACGACGGGTAAATAATTACCTTGGGGCATTTGCCCGCCCTGGGAAGTGTAAAAACACGCATATTTCCGGATCACACCTCTGCACTAGGATCTCTGGTTAAGAGGCGTGGATCTTTAGCATGGCTATTGGCTCACATTCATCGTCCCATCATGAAGTGTTGACATCATGTATCCAAGTGAATACCTACATGGCAACCACAATGTAATAAAAAGAGGGCAGCTCTTGGGCGATACTTGGTTTCCTTTTCTCCTCGGCAACCATTGGGTCACATTTTTCTTGTACACACTAGCCTCATGATGCCGTTTACCAACTTTTACGCTGCTGGCCTCCTGGCACTGACATTAGTTGGCAACGCCTGTGCTGTCCCCGTTGTCTCCGAGGCCGCAACAAGCGTCTTCTCGGAGCCGACTAATTTGCCGTCACCATACGCTATCTCGCACCACAATGTTACATCTCATGGCCCCTACAATGGCCCCCCAGCCACAACAACTGGTGCTCTCTCCACCAGCGTCCTCGCTCCCTCTATCGCCCCGGCGCCTGCTCCGCCCCAGATTCTCCAGTATCAACCCGATGGCAAGCTACATGCGGACCAACCCATGCCATTTACCCCGAGTGGCGGTATTGGCACCAACGGGTCACTTCCCCTGTACAAAGTAGCCAGCGACTTTGACTACCAGTCCCTCGCCCTGGCGCTTTACCACGAATGGATTGAGCTGGACCTCTTCCACTGGGGTCTCGCCACCTTCTCCGACGAGGAGTTTGACTCCTTCGGCATCAACGCCGAGGACCGCCACCTCATCCAGCACATGGCCGACCAAGAAATCGGCCACGCCTCTGTCATCGCCAACATGCTCGGCGCCAGCGCCCCGAAGCAATGCACCTACAATTACCCAGTCTCCAACGTCCAGGAGTTCGTCGACTTCAACCAGAAACTCACCCGCTGGGCCGAAGCCGGCGTCTACGGTTTCCTCCCACACCTCGACTCCGGTCCGGCCGCGGCCATGTTACTGCAAAGCATCACCGTCGAAGCGCGACAGCAGATGAGTTTCCGCCAGTTCGGCGGGCAGTTCCCCATGCCCGAGTGGCACACCCCGGGTATCCCACAGAGCTGGGCCTGGACGCTACTTGCCCCGTACATCTCGTCTTGCCCAGCCGACGAAACTCGCTTGGTCTGGCAAAACTTCCCGACACTGCACATCCTCAACCAACCCAACCCAGCACGCATCAACGGCGCCGACGTCTGGAACGAGACGACTTGGGGCCCGGCCAACTCCCTCTCAACCAAGGACATCACCCCCGACGAGTCCTGCGTCAACGGCACCGGCACCGACACCGCCAATTCTTCCATGGATTGCACAGCGGCGATCGCCCAAAACCGATCCATCCCGCTCTCCTACCCCGGCCGTCAAGTCTTCCTGCATTGGGATGCACCCGGCCAACTGGTCGGGCCGAACAACAGCTACGTCACCACGACCAACGTAGCCGAGCCGCGGTTTGCCGCCTGGCTGTCCCAGTTGAATGTGACCTACACGCCGCTGTTGAATGTGTCCCTAGCGGAACGGACGGCGTACACGGTGCAGCCGAATGTGTCGACGTGGAAGGGGGACCCGGCCGTTAACGGGACGATGTTTATGGCGTTGACGGACACGGACTTGTTTGTTACGCCGTATAATGTTACTATGATCAACCCGCATGTGGCTGCGTTGGCGGTGTACCAGGCGGGTTAAGTGGACTCTGTGGAGAGGGTGTGTCAGGAGGCTGAGACCTTGAAACCTTGAAGGCACTTTTGGGTGTATGCATGGCACTAATGTTGTGTGTCAGGGAAGTGGTTGGTAGAAGATCAAGACTGTATTTAAGAACCAATGAGACGATGTTTAATAGGGCTAATAGTGGTACGAAGGAGACGAAGTCGCCCCAAGGTTACAGCCAAGGGATTTTAATTACATAGTCTGACAACGCTTCGGGGAAACTCTCTCGTGACCATTCTCAGAGCTGAGATGTCGGTAAACAAAGACGGCCAATGTTGACTCGTTACTGTTGCCGAAAGCCGAAAGTTCCTTGAGCCTTCGTTGGGACAAGTTACTTTCATCCTCTTAAACCATTGAGCGTTGGTTAATGATCTACCCACAACAAATGCGGGGTATTAGTTTGATTCATGGTTTATGTTGGTGATTTTGAGACCAGAATGAGGATCGTCGGGCTGGGCATGAGGAGAACCATGGTCCGTCTTACCCGCCAGAAAATCCAAGCTGACACCGTCTGTGGCCTAAGTAGGCCACTACTGAATGTGTGTAGAGATCTATAAATGATGGCCCGGTCTGAACGGTGAGGTGGTTGTTCTTTTGATGCTCCAAATATCCTTCGTTTGTCTAAATTTGACACATTTGTTCTCATAACTCTACTCTGATTAATTGTTGTAACTTTGAGTAATTATTACAACATGCGATTCTTGGCCACCCTTGCGCTCTTGGCGGTTACTACCACCGCCATGCCCACCGAGCCGGAAAGCAATAGCATGGAGTTTGTTGTGGTAAGCGGCAGTATTCGCCTTCTTTGTCTGAATGTCAAATAAAAATGCTAGTCCCGGCGGCTGACCGAACTGTGAAATACAGAGAAGAGATGTTTGGAAGAGAGGCAGTTGCTCTGAGGAGTTCCCTCGTAAGCCCTCAACACAATTGTCTCATGAACCTTTGAAACTCCCAGGAACTAACCGATCACAATTTTTCGGTAGCCCCGGCTTGTGCCAACGCATGTTGCAGAGAGGCGGGCGGGTGCAGTTCGTTGAACTGTGCCGATTCTTATGTATGTGTTTCCCCGGTACTCATGAGTGGTGTTTGAATTGGGCAAGACTAATGCTTCTGTAGTGCCACATGTTTGCGCTTGATCAGCCCGAGTGTGTGTGCAAGTGCCATTATGGTTGAGTTTGGGCAAAGCTTCTCGACTCACTCGAGGGCCTTGGTTGAGCACACTTGATACAGTTCGCGGTTCGTTTCTGGAGTTGACACTGGGGCCTTGGAGGTGTGATATTGGTATTGCAAGTACATGATTGAATTCAAAAGCAGGAATAAAACATCCATCAGTACACTATTTTAGGACTCGTGGAACGTGCTATCCCAATCTACATGTCCCGCGGCCAACATCCTCTCCCCGTAACCTCACTATCGGTCCTCACGAACAAAACTTGTTCTGCGTCACCCAGTCACACATCACTTTCCCAACACATGCGCAGCACGCGCAAGCCTGGTGCTGCAGTTAGCCAATGCTGCTTCACTTCTTAGTCTACAGCTGATAAACTGCTTACTCTCGCCTTTCTCTGGGTGTCATCCACCCCATCGATACATCCCAAGGTCCGCGCACTCCAGCGGAATTGGTTGTAGCACGCTGTCGGGTTGACTACCGCCGCGCAGTCGTCTGTTCGCAGGAGGTCTGTCGTACATTCTGGGAAGCTTGTCTGGGCTGTTGCAAGCCCGAGGAGAGCGGCAATAACGCCAAGAGATGCTGTCAGATTCATGGTGACCACAGTAGACAATGGCAAAAGAGTAAACAAATGGTGCAAGGCGGCCGGGAGTTTTGCGATGCTATGGCGAGGTACCGAGCAGTTGGTATATCAAGAACCCGAAGCACTCATACCACCATGGATATCCCGATTTCACGTGTTGACCATGTCACACGCGGTGTGTCTTGATGTGGTTCTCGGGGATATTAAGCGGAGACTGCCGGATCAATCGGCTGTTTACCATTGATTAATGATATCGAAATATCCTTGGCTACGACGTTCAGCTTGGTACGATTATGCCGGTAGACGCAGATGGGCCATGGTTATCGCCGCAAATGAAGTTTCCTGACCCTGACTGCCAATCTTGCCCGCTGTTGTGTGTGAGAGCGTCCCTGAAATGGCGATAGGGAACTCCATTTCCCGGAACATTGTGATTCGGCCCTCATTATGAAGGCTTGGCAAAGTAGCAAGACGATTCGTTCGGGATGATTCTCGAGATGAAGTGAGATTAACATGGTCACGGCTCGGCTCTCGGAACGGGTACGGGCAGCGTTGTGTTCCATTTTGATACGCCCTCTGTTGTTAAAGAAGTCGTTCGAAGATCGGCACTTCTTCGACCAGAACTTCACCCCAGCCGAACTTAGACCCAAATCGGAAGATATTACCTGTCAGTATCGAGGTGCATCACCCACAACGAGCCTTCTTGGGGTTCTTTCTGCTTCTCCTTTCTCTCTAGCTATCTTCTGTTTGACTGTTTCTGTAACCGGGCCAACACCAGCACTGCATAAGCGATGAAGTGGAAGAATATCGTGGCCGCCTTTGGCCTGGCCAGTCCGGCCATCGCACTCCTGCGATTCGGCTGTGCCCGTCTCACCATCCAGCGTCTGGACCCTCTGGTGACCCCTGGCCAGAATCCGTCACCTCATCTCCATCAGATTATCGGAGGGGTATGGGAACACGATATCGCTCATCATACAGAAAGCAGACCCCGGTCGCTGACATATCGTCTAGAACTCCTTCAACGTGTCTATGTACCACCCCGAGCATGACCTCGTCAAGCTGTCGACGTGCACCAGCTGCCAGTTCAAAGAGGACTTTTCCAACTACTGGACCGCTGTGCTGTACTTTCGCGCGCGCAACGGCACATACAAGCGCGTTCCGCAGATTGCTCAGGCGGGGATGGAGGGCACTCAGGGGGGGATGGTACGTTGTTCTTTCTGTTTGACTGACATGAAACATGAGCCTATTCATGCTTTGATGTGACTGTGGTTAACATGCCCAAGGTCGTTTACTACATGAGCGACGCGCTCTTCGACACCGCCCAGAAATCCACCGTGACAGCCTTCAAACCCGGGTTCCGCATGATTATCGGCGACGCAACCTACTCCAGCCGCAACGAGTCCCGCGACTTCCGCCAGCTCACCTACACCTGCATGGAAAGCCAAGCCTCCCGCCAGCCCGAATCCATCGGCTTCCCCAAGACCCCGTGCAAACTAGCCATCATGGCGAACCACCGCTTCCCGACCTGCTGGGACGGCGTCAACCTCGACACGCCCAATCACCACGACCACGTCTCCTACCCGGAATCCGGCACTTTCGAGTCCGGCGGACCCTGTCCTGCTTCCCACCCTGTGCGTCTGCCGCAGATCCTGCTCGAGACGGTCTGGGATACCTCGCAGTTCAACAACCCGAACGACTGGCCCGAGGAGGAAGGGGCGCAGCCGTTTGTGTGGTCGAATGGGGACAGCACGGGGTACTCGTCGCACGCGGATTACGTGTTTGGGTGGGACGGGGACTCGCTGCAGCGGGCTATGGATGGGCACACGTATGTGAATGCGCCGATGTTGACGGCGCAGTCGATTGCGGAGCAGAATAAGTGTGTGGTGGAGGATATGGTGGGGGAGAACTTTGACGGATGTAAGTTTTTTGATCCATGCCTTGTGAGATCTACGAGGTACTACACTTGGAAGACACTGACTGACGTTTTACTACAGGGCTTGACGAGCTACCGGGTGGAAACTCTATGTTCTGATCTCCCGGCCATCTGCAAGGACAAGAGTGTGACACCGGAGGATGTTATATGGCGGAAGAGAGGATCATGAAGGAGATATTAGTTAAAGCCTTCATTGGAACCTAGGAGGTAGATACGTAAGGAATGAATACACGTTTCTTTTGCAGCCGAAAGTAAAAGCCCGCCCCAGTCCGTTGGAACAATATGAAAAGTACAGAGTGTCATCATTCATCATTCACGCCCTCATACAAACTCCCCCAATTGATATCATCCCTCTTAAACCCTTGACCCGCCCCTCCCGCCCAAATCCACCGTCGTCAACTCATGTTCCGTGTCTACCCCCCTCACCGACGACTCCCGGGACCGGTGCGACCCCCCCTCTGAGGTGGTCCTCCCCAACTTCTCCTCGCTCCCGCTACCCGGCGTCTTCACAAAGCTGGGGAGCTGATCCGATGAGGGTTTGCTGGACAGCTTGCTCGACAACTTGGAGAGGCCGAGCATCGAAGCCAGTGAGGCGAAGTCGCCTGGGAAGATGCGACCGAGTACGGGACGTAGGGTAGGACCGCAGGCAGCGATGATACCGACTTGGACTTCGACAAGGTTCCAGATGCCAATACCGGTGAGGATGGCTGGTGGTGGGATCTGTTAGAGTTTGGGCTTACCCAAGAGGGAAAGATCGATGACTTACAGATGGCGTCTTCAGTGTAGAGACCGAGTGTGGCAGTGATGTAGATGTAGCCCTTGGCGATAGAAGCGCCGACGGACCTAAGTTGCAGAGTCAGGAAGGAGTTCAGGCTGTTGATATCGCGATGGGAGGACTTACAAAGCACCGATCATGAAGGTCAACAGAGTCAAAATCCTGGTCCGCGTGCTAGTCTGCAGTGTCAAAATGACCGGGATCGGAATCATCAACGTGACAAAATCCGTCAGGATGTCACTGGCAACCATCGCATAACCTGCGGGTATGGCGCTGCCACAGTGGTCAAGGTACTCTTGGGGTGTCCCGAACAGAGCCAACAGATACGAGCCACACTCGAGCAGGCCGGAGAGCACAAACGCGGTCGCCCAGATGATGATGACGATAATCCAGACCATGAGAAAGCGGCGAAACATGACGCGGGCAAAGAGGTGCCAGTAGAAGAAGCATATGGACAACTTGATCAGACCGAGAGCGACGATGCCAACGAGGAGGTAGGCCAGTTCGAGCTAAACACACGTTTACGTCAGCATCATAGCTCATAGTCGCGAGGCAGCATATCAAGGGCCAGAATCGTACATGTTTCGCCAAGTTCAACCTCCCGGTGACCGCGTACGGGTCCTGGATTGTCGCGCCGAGGGGATACCCAAACGCCTGTTTTGCGATTCCTATGTGGTGTCAGAAGTCGATTATTCATAGCTTTGGCTCGTAGCATAGGAGCAAGCAAAACTGACCATAGATCTGGATGACGCTCAACCCGATCCCGAAGATCAGGGCCGACAGAATCAACCAGTCACTCACGAGATACTCCTGTCGCTTCCATCGCTTCGTGTAGAACCGGAGCCCGACACAGGTGATGGAGATGGCCTGGAGGATCACAGTGCCCGCGACCAGGCCGGCTGGGTCGTCGTATCGTGGGAGACCCATGGTAGGCAGGTAGAAGTCTCGTTCCGGTGTTTAAACCCTCGACAAACAAACGCCGAGATGAGGAGCTGTCCACGCGTCGCCAGTCGGTCAGTTGGGCAGTTGCTAGGATCGAGCGGCTGTTGGCATGTGCGTATGCAGAAGCCAGGAACCTCAAACTGCCAACGGAATCTCGCCAACTGGAAATGGGCTGGAGGAAACAAATAATATTCCTCCCTTGTTTCCTGAAAGCCGCCTGAGACAAGAGACAAACACAACTGATAAAGGCAGGCAGGCCGCAGGCCAATCCTCGCTTGCACACCATCATAATCACGCCGATTTCCGAATCCCTCCCCCCTCCATCAATCACCCCATTTCAAGAACAGTTCACCATCCACACCAAAAATACCCTATCTGCAACTCGGTGGGTAACCTGACTCAAGAACGCCAGAACTTCCTCCCCGTGGGTGGGACAAGCGCATGCGGATTACAGAGACCAGAACGCCATTAGCGCATCCCAGCCCTCGCCTTACACAACATCAAGTGCGGGAGAAGGCTGAAATGATGACCCGATCCTTCGACCGTCCCATATCTGCCAATGGCAGCTAACCAATTTGGTGCCGCGCAGTGCATTAGTGCCCCGCGTTCTCCCGCCGCCTGTCCCGCCTTCTTGTTGTGTCCCGGTACGAATCACGATACACGAAGAGGCGGTGCCACGGGTGCGGCACAGAGGCCTGTGATTTGATGTTGGCTGGTGGTGGGTTGTGGTCGCTTGGGGTTGTGGGCGCTGCAGGGCGTCGGGGTCTAGTGGGGCGCTGCGGCACAGCACCAAGCACAACCTCCAGCTCCAGCGTGCCTGGGCTGTCGAGGGAGAGAGACGGGGGAACCAGGAGCGGGGCGCTAAACTTCCTGAGGGTGGTGGGGGCCGGTACCTATTGTACGGGGGCACGAGATGCGACAACGAGGGAGAGCAGAACGTTAAGGTGTGGCGGACCACGCCGCATGGGGATTTGATTTGGTCTCCGTGTGCTACTTCAGGAGGGATGTTGAATGGTTCTCTTGGCTGCTGAGCCGCTGGAAAACGTCAAATCCATTTGGAGGTATCCCGGCAGTGGTTTATTGCCGGCGGTGGTTTATCTCCGACAGTACTCCGTAGCAACGAACCGGAAATACAAGAACCAAGGAATTCACCTTGCTTTGAAGATCAGCATCCTGCGAGTGTCGGTGGATGGGCTGTTGTGTCTATTTGCAACTGTGCCTTAGGTTTGCACTCAGGTTCGTGGAACTCCGGGCAACACTTCGGAGCCCGGCGGGTTTCCAGGTTGTGCGGACGGTGCAACATCGGTTGTTGTTGCTAAACCGGCGGTTTTGTCCAACGGGAAAGCACTTGGAGGCGGGGGCTCCTGCCTTACATAGTGTACTGTATCAATTTCGAACCCTCAATCCGCTCTCCGACCCTTGTTCCCGTGCAGGTTGCGCCTGCATCTTTTCAACCCCTTTCAGCTTCCAGATTCCTCCGAGGGTTGCAATGCGTTGACCTTGCACAGGAGGAAGCCACGATCGCGTGGATTTTGCCGTTTTGGCTGCGTTTGGCAGTCGGCCTGCCCGAGTTGCCGAGGTGTACAAGAACTCAAGACGGAATTTGCCCTTATCACTTTCGTGATTCAGACTCCTGTTCCATCACGGCGTTTGTCCTACCATCCGGCGGTTGATTTGTCAGTTGACCAGTCACTGGACTGCGCGCCTCCCCGTGACTTTGGCCGTTGGGCATCCACAGCTCCCGCCGGCCACAAATCCGGCACCAAGACTTCTAGATTCAAGTCAAACTCCCCAGATCCTAGAAGGGTTCTTCATCCTCATCCCGACGCCCCCACGTTACAAGTCGGCCGGCCGGCTACTTCGTTTAGCGCCGCAAGCCACCAATCCGTTACAACCATCCTCCCGGCATTCACCACCATGGCTCCCACCATCTTCCAATCCGTTCTTGTCGGCTTGGCCACAGGCATCTTGGCTCCCGTCCTTGCGGCGGATCCTATCGTTACACTCCCCGATACCAATATCGCGTACCGTGGCACCACCACCTCTGCGGACAGCATTGAGCACTTCCTCAACATTAGATTTGCCCACGATACCTCCGGCCCACGCAGATTTGCCCCGCCAGAGCTTTACACACCTCCTTCAAACTCCGTGATCGATGCCACGGTTCCTGGCCCAGCATGCCCCCAATCCAAGCCCGGCCTTCCTCCGTTCTTTGTCGACACCCCGAATATCAGCGAAGACTGCCTCAACCTGCGGATATCTCGTCCGGCTGGGACGACTCCAAGTGATAAGCTTCCCGTCGTAGTCCACATTCATGGAGGCGGCGTAGTCAAAGGATCAGCGTACGATCCGCACTTTGACCCAGACAACCTTCTCAGCCTTTCCAGCGAGCTCGGTCAACCCATCATCTACGTCGCGTTGAACTACCGGCTCACCATCTTTGGTTTCCCCCGCTTGCCGATCCTCAAGGATCAAAACTCACTCAACCTCGGCCTCCGCGATCAGCGCGCTGGGCTGGAATGGGTGCGCGACAACATTGCCGCCTTTGGCGGTGATCCGGAGAGAGTTACTGCCTTCGGCTTGAGCTCCGGCGGTACATTTTCCTCCATACATTTGGTGTCGTATGCCGGCGAAAGGGGCGTGCCATTCACGCGGGCATGGATGATGTCTGGTCCCCCGGGAACGGCGTTGAATATGTCAAGCGAGGTGACAGAGGCGCATACGAGGGCTGTTGCGGAAGAGGTTGGCTGTGGCGGAGAGGAGAAGGGTGACCAGGAGGTGCTAGACTGCTTGAGGGCGGTGCCATTTGAGGAGCTAACGGAAAAGGCGATGGCATATTCCGTGCAGAATCATCCTCCGGCAGGCTTGTTTACGTTCATCCCGTCGGTGGATGGAGACTTTTTGCCTGAGAGACAATCGGTTTTGTATCGCTCAGGAAGATTCGTCAAAGGTCAGATTCCCCTTGATAACATCCCCCACCCATTTTGGGGGTTCAACAAATGCTGACAGAGAGACCAGACGTCCCCCTTGTTCTTGCCTGGGCCGAAGCCGACGGCGACCTCAACGCCGGCCCAGCTCCGCTTTACCAGGCTGAAGCTGACATCCGCACAGCCATTCAGACGTCATTTGCCCACGCTATCACTGATGCCGACTACGAAACCCTCTTTTCCCTCTACCCTGTTTCCGACTTTGAAGTGGACGTCAACTCCTACGATGCTCGCCGCAATGAAAACGACCCCGTTGTCTCGGTGCATTACTTCCGCGCATCACGGATCCTGCGCGACCTGTTGTTTACTTGCTCTAGCATTGACTTCGCGCGGGCTTCTACGTACTACACTCGCTTAGATGGCCATGACAGCAATGTACGGCTGTACGCCCTTAACCAGAGTGTCTTGACATCACTGTTCCGCGGGGCGGGTATGCCATACGTCGGAAATGCAGTGCACGGGAGTGATACCCCGTACTTGTTCAACGGAGTATATCCGGAGGGCGAGATTTCGGAGGAGGATAAGGCTCTAAGCAGGCAATTTGCGGGGGCCTTTGTGAGATTTGCGCATGGGGGGAATCCGGAAGGGGAGCGTAAGGGCGAAGCATTTGATGCTTGGCCTGAGGCATTCACAAAGTCACCGACGGAGGGAGAGGTGGTCGGACAGGAGAAGGATGAGAGTGTGCGCTTCCTGGTTGTGGGTGGGCCATTCGGAACACGGAGTTACAAGGTGAACGCGGAGAGCGAGGACCAAGGTGAGCAGGGAGAGGGAGATGGATTGGAAGGTTTGCAGATCCCGATTACTGATGATGGAGTAGAGTATGGGGAGATGGGGAGCAAGGAGGCTGGGGAGGGGGAAAAGGTATTGGAGGCTGAGAAACTGATTGAGCGGTGTCGGTTCATTAACTCGTTGTCGGAGAAGTTGGGGAATTAAGGTACGGGGACAGCCACACTTGTTGGACTGATGGGAGCCGTTTAACTTACAAGAACTTAATTACTTGTCTTCCTCCAACGTTTGCGGAAGTAGTTATCATGTAACCATTGAAATGTAAATCTCCCTGATTCTTAATGTGCGCTGATTTATTTCTGATTTATTTCTGATTTAATCTTTTTGAGAAACTTAATGGGCGGTTCCTTAGTTCTGTTGGCTTAATTACTGCAAGGCAACACACTCGATCCTCCCAGCATAGATCGACTCTCGCCAAAGAGTTTTTGTCATTCACCGGTTCCCTCCCAAACTTGGTTTGTGGTAATTGATCTTCTCGGGAGTTGCCTGTCTCTATGGGTCCAGACGGTGGGCGTTGGCTTTCATGCGGGAGGGAGAGACCCACCACACAAAGCCTGGGAGTCTTGGAGAGTGCCGACAGGGTGGGGTCGACGCCTTGGAAAAGACAAAACAGAAAATAAGTGTGGCTGTGTGGATGGATGTGTGTTGTATTACTACGACGGTCCTGGGTGGATGTGGTGAGAGAGCATCGGGGGCTGTTGATGGCCTGCATTTTGGTGGGGGGGGGTACATAAGGTGGGGTTCCACTTAGGGGGTTGTGGTTACTGGTGGATTTCTTCGGGGGTTTTTATCGGACACTATTTTTCTTTGGTGGGGGGTCTGCTTTTAACCTGGTGTTGTTTTTTTGGTGTGGTTCGGCGCTTTTCGGTGGTCACAACATTTTGGGCGTTCTGCAGGTTGATGGGACCCGAGTACATGTAACATTATGTATGTATGTACATGTACCTATGTACCTACTCAATGCAGGTTGGACCCCCGATAGGCTTACTGGGTTTGGAGCTGCAGGCAAGAGATTGAAGGAGGTGCTGCTACTAGCAGAGCAGGACAAGGCCAAACAGTTTCGAGACGATGGGACAAATGTGGCGTTTTTCTTTCCTAGTTTGGCTTTGGTTCCATGCCCCCACGTGTGTCGATTGAGGCTGGTTATGTGGTTTGAAGGGAGAGGTCGAGGCGCTTGAAATGCTGAGATACGATAAGGCGAGTGGGTTTGGCGGTCTGTGAACCCTGGGGTCCCTGGACGGGCTTTGACGATCGGAGGCTAAAAAAAGGTTCGGCTGGCGTTGGACTAGCGGGAGATCGTGGTTTTCTCAGGGGCAACCATGACAACTGGAGGTGGGTGTGGGCGGGGCCAAGAGAAGAAAGGTGGAGGGCGAACGAAAGGGCGTGGGGTGGTATCGTGAATTCTGTGGTTGCTTCTCGGTTGGATGTATGCATGAAAGTTGGAGGCCTGGGTTCTGCGGTCTTGTGGTGTTCCTCTGTCTGCAGCTCAGCGGTTTTGCGTCCATCGGGTTTCACAGACGGGAGAGATGAGCGGAAATGGACTCTTTCAGCGTTGGCAGACACAAGGCTCTATATGATAATTGGGCCGGAGGTCGTTTAACGAATTAGGCGGGCATTTGGTCAGCGGCGCAGTGGCCGAGACATGCTTGGAAGGATGTGCTGAACATGCTGTGTTCCGGCGTTGAAAAGGGCCGGACCAGAACAGCAAAAGAGAGGGTCGGCTGATGGTTTGTTTCCTTGATGATCCTCTCATCCGTCTTTGCATCTGCCCAACCATCCATCCGTCCGGCGGTTCGCACACACTTTGAGGCAGATCCGCCTGCCCTTCACCGAGGTTAGGTAGTGCCCCGGAATCCTCAAGTTTTGTGGTGTTGCAAGGCAGGTGGGGCAACTACAGGGCAGCTCGATCGCCCCTCTCTCTACCTTACCGCTTATCAGAAATGGTATTTTCGGCTCGACTTGACCGACGAACCGTTCTGTCAGTCAGCATCATGTCAGTCAGGTTGTCGTGATTCCTTGGGCCCAGATTTGTTGGCGGAGCTTTCCATGTGGTGACTTGGTTGGTGGGCTGGATTCTTCCCAGGCGCCAATCCCCCCAACGATCCCCGGAGTTCTTGAGGTGTTCAGGTGTGGGTGGGTTGGTGGGTGTGCTCGGCGGGCCTAAGCGGCCATAAGAATCAGGCGGACGCCCTTTGATCTAGAAACGCCACACTCTGAAAATGTTCTCGAAAGAAACGACACATTGTCTTTGGGATTCTTGAACCTGAATCACATACAACTTGACCGTTATTCCCAAACCGAAACCCAAGCTAAAGATGAAGTTTGCGACTCGGCTCATTGTGGCCCTGGGGCTTTTGTTGGCCCCTGTACTGGCAGCCCCGATTGCTGTCGAAGGTAAGATATCCTTGGCACATCATGGAAGCTCAAAAGCCTCCACCTCCCCTTCTTCACCTGTGGACTAACAAATCTGTGCACTTTTTAGGTGCCAACACGGAAATTCAACAGCGAGACGGCTCCAGCGAGTTCGACACTGATCTCTGCGTTCTCAAGAAGAGGGAAGCGGCTAAGCGGGGAGATGTCCTGGGCATTGGTATCGACAACTGCGACATGTGAATTTTCGGTGTGGAAAGGTTGTGTAGCTTGTTCTTTCGGGTTTAAAGTTTGGATGGTTTCTTGGCAAGTACCGCTGTAAATTGCACGGGAATGGGCCAGAGCAGCCACATGGGACGGCTGTGGAAAAGGATGGGTCGTGTAAGCTAGGTCCTAGTGATTTTCTTTCGGGGTTTCGGAGTCGGGTCAGGCGGGTCATTGGAGTAGGGTGGTATTTTCGTTAGCGGACAGACTCCGGCTCGAGTCTGGCCATTGGCAGTCGGGCCATATGACTTTCAGTTGTTCAATGTCTCACTCTCTCCTACCTGGACTCATATCATAGCAGATATTAGTGAGACATGATTCATGGCATGACCCCAAAGCCGTTGCACAAGAGCGGCTCAATATCAATCACGTCTGGGCGATGGATGAGACAGCATCAACAGCGGCAGCGCTGCGAATACTGTGAAAGAAAGAGTTACACATTCGCCAGTCTCCGTCCCCTTGCATGCGGCACGGAGTGGCTGGATCCAACCGTTTGCGACTCTGTGATAGGAAAAGCATGCTTGCGGGGCCCCCAATATGCAAGCACTTAATCGTGGGCCCTGGTGGGCGAAAGTCGCCCCGATCCTCTGGGCTTATTACCCAAAACGCTCTTCGGTGAACTTAGCTGCCTCGGTTACTCGCGCCATCTGCGACACAAGACAGCCATCCACGTTGTGTCCAGGTTTCCGTCCTCGGCTCCTCATCCGATCACTGGCTCCTGAGTGTGCGCTGGCCTTCCACAACTGGAGCTCAACTCGGGGCCAAGTCCCAACGCATGGAGACCCTGTGCCATGACTCTGCCGTCCCCACCTTGGGGCTTCCCTTCTTCGTTCCAGCATCCAGACACACTGCCTAGGCGGTCCGACATCCCCCTCAGACCCCCATCCTCCTCCGGAACACCCCCAAGACAGACCCCCCGCGCTAACCCCGGCCCCCTTCCCTCTCATCTTACCTCCCCAATGCCCAGTGCCTGACCCGACCCGGTAAAACCACAGCCCTGTCAATAATGAGACCGTCAGGCGTCCAAACCACCTCAACGACCGCTTGACTGTTTCAACGTGAATCTCGATAATGATGGTACCGATGGCCAACGACGAGAAACCACAATACGCCCGTCTCCTCACAGAAGACGAGGCCCAAGACGAGGAATCAACGGTCCAAGACGCTGCGGCCCATAATGACCTAAAATGGAGGCGGAGGTTCTATATTCTCCTCGTCAGCTCAGTTCTCGCCATGGCTACCGTCATCGGAGCAAGCATATACAAGATCAAGACCACCGAATCTACCTTTTCGTGTCCCATCCTTCCCACAAACCACGGTGGTGTGGATGTCCCATATTGTACGTTCTCTCCGAACATCAGAAGCGTGTTGAACTCATAATGAAATCGTGGACCATATCGCTCACATTTCTTAATTACAGCCCCTGCCCCTGTGAAATACGTCAACAAACTCCTCGTGGGCGACCCAGACACACCCAAGTTCATGGGCGAGCCTCGGCCTGAAATGGACGCGGCCTGGCATGACTTGCTTGACGCCACGCTGATCCGGTACACGGACGAAGAGCTGCTGCAAGCGAACAACGCGACGTCTGTACGGCATGTTGATGGCGGGTATGTGGGCGGCCTTGGGATTTCGCATTCTTTGCATTGTTTGGTAAGCCCCTTTTTTGATGTCTTGACCTTATCTACGAGACTGCGAAGGTCCATTACCGCGATAATCAACTAACACTCCCACCAGAAACGTATCAAGCAATACCTACACCCAGACTATTACTACAACCACGAAGAGCAAGACTGGAAAGAGCTCTACTCACACGTCGACCACTGCCTCGAGTCCCTGCGCCAGGAGATCCTCTGCTCGGCGGACGTTAACGTCTACACGCTGAAGTGGACCCGTCACAGCCGGGTGAAGCCAACCGTCAAGGTACCACAACCACACGCGTGTGTTGACTGGCAGGCGTTGCACGGGTGGATGAAAGGGAGGGCGGCGAAGTTGGATGATATGGTGGGACCGCCGGATAGCTTGTATGAGGGGTTGTAAAAGAAGTTGTCGTTGAGTAGATGTGGGAACCTGCGTAGGATTGTATTGTGTTTTGTGTAAGACCTGATTTTTAAGATACCTGTGTGATAACAATTGACTTAATGGAAAACGTACACTGTGCATACCTTGGTCCCTTGCAATTATGCCGTTGTCTCTTGGGGGACTTGATCCCGCAGTCTCGGCTCGTTGTTATCTTAACCTCCTTTCCTCATGATGGGTGCCTGTCGGTGATACTTTGCAGCTGTCAATCACTCAACTAAAGGGAGGTGGATCGAAGGCGTCATTGTCTAATATTTCTATCTCACCTCGCCGATAAGTTTGAATCCCCACAAATACGAAAACAGTTCCCCGTCGTACTTGGCAGCTCAGTTCGGTAATTAGTTAGCTCACCAGAGATACTCTAAACGCCGGTTATCCTTTTAGATGCGTGACTCGACATCCGAGTACGACTTTGTCACGAGATTGTCCCTGCATGTGGCGCTTTTGACATGAATGAATAATTGAAAAGCGTGTTCCCAGGAGCGGCGGGTACGGTACCACATGCACAGACATCGGGTGGGGATTTTGTTTGTTTGGCTGGCGATCGATCCCTTCGATAGCCGAATTATGACGGCCTTGATGGCATGGTTTAGTTGGATCGGTGTTTGGTGATCGGGATGGGCCCGACGAACGATCGGGTCCAACCAAACTTCCCTCTCTGACTTATCCTGCCGAAATGATCCTGTCGTTACTCGCTCAGATCCAAAAGCGCCTGTTTTCGGTCATGCGCTCAACAAGTTGAAGACAATGGATCGATTAGCCATTATGCTGGTTGTGATTTCTCGCTCGGATTCCGAGCAAATGTCCATTCGGGAAGGCATGTCTCGGTCTCCCACCAACACTACTGGTGGCTGATCCGGGTTGTTGGTGGTCCCTTCCTTCGAAAACTTTCGCACCTTTTCGAGAGCCGGCTTCCTTCGGGTTTGGAGCGCATTTCGATCTAAACAAACATCAGTTGGTGCTGATCTTTCAATATTCTTTGGTCGAACCCTTTACTCGTGTACACTGAGGATATCGTCCGGGTTGACAGCCAACTGACTCCAGAAGTGCCGGTCCGTGAGTTAACCGAGGGTCGTCACCAAACTGCGCAAAAAAGCGAGAGCCAGTCAAGGGGTATTGGCGAAAGATGGCTGCGAACCCAAGTCGATTGAACCAACAGCCACAGCCCCGAATTAGGAAGGGTTGGCGAAGCGAGTGCGTAATCCAAAATGCAGAAGCGAAGACCGGAAACTTTATGGGATGCTCCCTTGCTGGTTTTTCGTTCCTTCATTGTTTGCGTTTCTTGATCTAGAACTTTTCTTTTTCCAGAGAATATCACATTTTGAGAAACCTCGAATCTCTCAACTTTCCCGAGTGTCTAAAACGCTTTGTAAGGTTCCGGTCCCCTCCCCGATGATCAACAAACGCCACGCCGTTGGATCCGTGGCTAGCACTGTTACAAACGACCATCGTTGGTTCCCCCCAAGACACAGGCTTCCGACAGACAGCCCCAACGACGAATTCAAACCAATCGTGGAAGATGATAGGGAAAGGTCCCGGAGACGAGGCGGTGGGGAAAGCCCGCCGAGAATCTCACTCACACTGTGAACTTTTCATGTCTCTTTGAAGATTGGGAGTAGCCTATCCGTTTTCGTGGCGCCCAGCTTGGAGGTATGCATTTGACAATGCTTGCTACGGGCTTCCCAGCCCTAAAATGGAGGTGTCCCCCTCCCTTGACTGCGTGAATCTTGTTCGCGCGTGTTGCTCGATAGGGACGACATTTAACTTACCCGACGACTTTCGACTCGCGGAGTGGGAAACCACCGTGATATGACGGACGACGGCGCAACGACGAGCATGCGACAAGCGGGGCAACAAAGGCGCTAAGGACGACTCATGAGGTGTCGTTCATGCCAGACTCAACATATCACCCACTGCCGACTCCGTGATGGGCAACGCGGGCGATGCGGCGAATATGGCAGATAATGCTGAATCCACCGCCATGAGCACTCTTTTGGCTTGCGCCTTGTGCCCGCCAATTGCTGCAGTCTTTGTGGCTCTGCGACTTTACACGGCACGGACGATCTTGAGAACGTTTCACCTCGATGACTGTGAGTGATGAGAGAGTGTACCCAAACCCCCGAGGATCTGCTTCGCCAAACCCCGCTGACCTCCCGATGCCAAACCGCAGGGCTCATCCTAGTAGCGTTGGTACGAGTTGATCGACGATGCCGAGAGAAAATGGGAAGGAAATAAGTTGACTGTTGGGGCCTGACAGGTCTTTTCGATTGGGTACTCCATCAGCATCGGTTTTCGTACGTGCATGTCAACCATTAACAAGCAAACCAACACGCCAACTCGTAGATGCTGACCAGCTTCGTCTGCACAGTCATCCCTTATGGTCTGGGGCATCACATGGCATATCTTGACGCACACAGCTGGCGTGACATAAGCTGGTTTTCGCTAGTATGTTCCATCACTGACTCTTCACGCCCGGGGAACACGGCCCGTTTGCTTCATACGTCCTTTAACTCGAACAATAATAGATTGCCCTCTTCCCCGTCCTCATCACATCCAACCTCGCGGCGCTCTTCTCCCGAATCTCGATCCTCCGCTTCTATCTACGTTTCGCCACCTGTTGGTATTTCACCTACAGCATTCACGCCCTTACCTTCATCGTTGTTGCGGCCTACATGCTCGGCGTCTTCTCGTTCCTGATTATTTGCCAGCGTACCAGCGACCAGTTGAGGTACTTCAATTTATCAGATCATGGGGCGTGTCTCAACGCGGATGCGTGGTATGGATGGATGGTTGCCTTCTCGTGCTTGACGGATGTGGTGTTACTGGTGTTGCCGTATTGGATTATTCGCCCACTGCGGGTGAGCTGTGCGCAGAGGGCCGCCCTGGCTGCAGTATTGGGGACCGGGGGATTGTAAGTTGTTATTATTTTTGTTCTTGTTATTTTATTTCCCTCTTTTTTCCTTGTTGGTGAGGTCTACAGAGCTAACTAGTAGCAGCGTGGTGGCCGTGAGCATTGTCCGGTTTGTGGTTGTTGCGCAGGGATGGGGTAGTTCCGACTTTACCTTTAGGTTTTCAGCCAACTACATGTGGAGGTAATTAGGCCCTGATTCTCGCTCTTATTTATCCCTGGATGCTGACCTAACACTCACAGTGTTGTTGAGCTCAACGTTGGCATCTTCTGCGCCTGCGCTCCATGCCTGCGTCCCTTAATCAGCCGATACGTTCCGGGGTTTCAAAATTTCGGCCAGCGGAGCGATAGTTTGGATCTCTACACAATTCCTGTTTCTCAAGTCCACACGCGGCTACCTGCTACACCGGCTAGCGGGCAAGAAGTAGAAGCCACCAGGATGACAGGCACAACGGCATCAACATGGGAGGAACGAAGAACTGGGAGATCGGGTTGGCGGGCCAAGTTGTTTCAAACGATATCGAGGGAGGACAAAGTGTAACTTGGAATTTACTACTAATGTATTACTTTGTAGCGTGTTCTGCTGAGTCCACTTTCCAACAATCCCCAGGCTAACAGCGTCCACATCCCTGAAGACGTCTTCGGACCATCATCAACCACCCTATTCATCATAAAACACCAAGCACCGCACCTCAATACTGTGCCTCCCCTTCACACCCTCCGGCGTGTCCGGGTCAATAAACGCCGTGTGCGGCGTCAACGCCGCGATCCCCTTCTTTCCCCCTTCCTTGCCCTCACCCCAGCTATCAAAGCACTTGATAAACATCGCCTCATCCGGCGTCATATCCTTCACATACCAAAACTTATGACCCCCCTCCCTCTCTCCATCGTCACCCTCCTTCGGCAACACCCCATACGTCTCCCCCTTCACCTCATACCCCTCCGTGCTCTTCGACCCCACATGGTTCGGATCCGGCAACTGCTCCTTGCCCCGATCATCATTACTCCCATCCTCCCGGTTCCGCAACGGATACAACAAATCCACCGGCACCAACTCCGCAGGCGTCGTCGTCCGCCAATCCACAACCGCCAACGGGAAATCCGTCGCCGCATGCCCAATCGGCCGCCACACATTAATCAACTGAAACCGGCGCTTCAGCAACGCAGACAACTCCGGCTCCGCGAGGTCTGTCACATGTCGGCGCACGCGCACCTCAGCGGCACGGGGGGTCTGGTCGACGTGGACTTGGCGCACCGGTTGGCGCGGGGAGGTAGGGTCGTGTTTGCGGATAGTGTGGTCGAAGATTTCGACGCGGGCGACGCGGCCGGGCAGTTTGGCGCGGAGGAGGGCTTCGACTTCGGCGTAGTAGCCTGTGCGGACGGCGTCTTCGGAGGTGAAGTCCTTTTCTTGCGCGGGGGCGTGGTAGACGGCGAAACCGGCTACGTCGATGTCTGTGCCGAAGTTGCCGTGGTGGGTGGTTGTAGATGGGTTGTTGAGGTGGGGACGGATGTTGTGTACAGTGCGGTCGCGCGGGGTTAGGGTGAAGGAGGTGCCGCCGCCGTCGACTTTGGTCCAGGGCTTGGTGCCGGGGGCGATGCTGGCCGGGTCGAGGTAGCGGAATTCACCGGTGGTGGTCATGGTGGAGGTTGGGTTTTAGGCAAAGACGGAGATAATAGTTTTGATGATGGTACGATGGTTTGCAAGAGGATATGAGAATTAGTTGTGAGTTTTAATTAAGTGAGAATAAGCGCCTGAGTGAGAACGGATTGAGACTTTTGATGAGATGAGGTGTGGATGATATCAAATTCTTGCTGCAATGCCGTTGGATGTCCCCTAAATAGATGCTTCAGATGATGGATCCTGCCCCGGATGTACAGCGGGGATACCGACTTAAATGCTTCAAAGCCGCGCCCTTGTGCAATGGCGACATCGAATACCCGTGGACATGATGAGTAATATTGGAGATGCGGAGGTGGAGTGCGGATCACAAATGCAAAAAGACTGCAGCCAAGACGTCCGTTCGAAGCTCTAATTCGGAGCAGCTCTCACTAATTAATCAGCTGTTTTGGTGCGGGACAACGATTTTACAGCGCCTACTGCGGACGCCGTGATTCAGGGAACAACAAACCAAAACAAGGGCGACGCTTGTCGGAGCGAGTCAGGTGCAACCGGCAACTGAGTCTGTCTTAATTAAGTGTTGCAAAAAAAGACATGTCTTTCTCATTATGCGTGTTCCGTACTCATAATAGGTTGTCCCATGCTGCACTGCATCTAAACGTTTCCCCATGATCTCCCCCCTCTGAGTAAACCCCGGCCCGCCCGATCCGATGCCAGAACATAACGTAGAAAAACCGTACAACCGTGTCCGTTTGCGTGATACCCGTAAGCCATAATCATGTCAGCCGCCCGTGATCCGTAACAGATTCCATCCACGCCCTTGAGTCCTTGACAACTCCGCATTAAGACTATCCGAAGGTTCCGAACCCTCATCCCTGTCCCCGATAAGTGATCCAAGTAAAATAGATATTCCATCCCATTCAACAAAAACACAGCCTGGAAACCTTGGAGAGCCCACCTCAGCTGTCAAACAATGGCCCGTACGCCGCAATCCCCCTGCACTCCAGCCCATACACCAATTTCTTCGTCATTGGCGGGTTGCTGATGACAATTACCGCCTGCGCATCAAAGTCCTTGTACATCCTCAAAACCGCCGGCAGCATATCGACCCGCCCCGTCACCGACGTATCAATCACCAGCGGGTTCTCGTCCATCCGCCGCACCAAATCCAGCGTCTTCTCCCCGTAGGTCTTGATGGGACTCTTGGTCTGCCAGACCACCCGCATCGCCGGCCGCTTGGCGTCCTCCAAAAACGACAGGCACGGGCCGATACCAGACCCTGTCGTGACGACAATGATGCGGTCAAACATGCGCACCACGTAGCCAAAGCCAAACGTCGGGACACCGCGCTTCCACAGGTAAGTAGGTGGGTTGTTGATGACATCGCGCGTCCAGTCGCCCGCCTTGGACACGAGCACCGAGAACTTGGTGTCGGGCGCGTCAAACGTGTCGGGGAAGCTGGCGAAGCCGTGCCAGTCCTTGAGCGGGTGGCGCGAGAGCGACATGCCGTGGCCAAACTTGACCTGGGTGTGGGAGAAGTGCAGGCGGATGGCGTGCGGCGAAAGGCGTTCAGCCTTGACGGGTACCTTGCGGAGCAGCAGCCAGGGGTGGATGGTTGCAGCCGTCAAGATGATGATGATCCAAAAGGCCGGTAGGTTGATGAGGAAGGAGGAGAGGTTGGGCTCCTGTGCGCCAAGCAGGAAGATGAGCACCCAGAAGAGGACGAGAATCGCCCAGTTAGAGAAGCGGTGCGTGAGCTCAAAGTAGTCGTGGTACTTGCGCCGGAAAGTTGGGTGTGCCACAGCGATGATGGCGAGCAGTAGCGCCAGTACAAACCAGACCAGCGTCAGCACGGCGATGGATATGGGCGAGGGGACAAAGTGGTAGGTGTATGTCCCGGCGAACCCGATATACCACACGCACGCGGCCACACCCGTTCCGCTGTGTACCCCGCCGAGATGGCCAATCTTGCAGGCCAGCCGCTTCAACCACATGGGTGTTGATCTTGGCAGGCCACCGAAGATCATGTACAGCATGTTGATAACCAGCGGTTGGCGGCACAGGCCACATATCGTGATGTTGATGGCGGACGCGTTGACTAGATCCAGTGGAGCCACCCCTTTGTACATGAGGTAGATGAAGGCGATAGCGTTGCCGATGAATGCCAGACTGAACAACCGACGGTACACCGTCATGATCATGTATCGGGCGTGCCCGAACCGCTTGCGCTTGAAGTCGTCATACTCGGGATCTTGGGCCTCTAGGTCGGACAACACCGATGAGTAGCTCTCCCGCTTGGTGTGGTTGCCGTGGATGATGGAGAACACCGAGTTGTCCGTGGCCGTGGAGGCCGTGTGGGCATGCCCCTTCACCCACCCGTTCGGTTTCCCACTCCCCGCCTTCTCCTGATGCGCCTGTACGTAGACATCGGATGTGGAAAACGCCGTGGCCGACGAGACAGTTGATACGTTCCGCGTGTGTGCGGGCTTTACGGCCTGGATCTCGTCGGCCGTGGAATACGCCGTGTCGGAGGAAGCTGTCGACGGGTTCCGGGAGTGCCCCGGCTTCTCCGCCTCCGCCGCTTCTTCTGTTGTTGAGTACGCCGTGTCCGAGGAAGCTGTTGACGCCATCCTAGCATGCCCAGACTGGTGGGCGGTCTGCATCTCGCCCTCGGTGGGCGAGGGTTGTTGTGGTATCGTTGATTGTGTCATGGTGGTGGGCTGTATGTGGTGTCTGAGTGTGGGAATGACTGATCCAACGCAACTCGGTGAGAAGATGCAGGATCCGATTCAGAGACCACGCGCTAGCCATATATGCTCTGCGTTGGCTCACCTTGCCCTCCCACACCCCCGCGGAGTATCTCCGACCTTACCACCTTGCCCTCTGCATCAGATCGCGCCCGCAGTCGATCCGATCTGCTTCGCGCTCCTAATCCGGCCATTTGGCCCGCACAGCTTCTCATCAACAAGGTCTGCTCCATCCATGCTAAGCAGCCATCTGCACGGGCAGGACGCAAATCGTGCCCACCTTCAACCAACATGGCGGCCCAGCCTGCGGCCCGCCGGAGTTTCTCTCCCCACGGCGATGCCCGCCAGAACCAACACCAGCTGAAGCCGCCCATCCACTGGCCCGTACCCCGGAGCGGGTTCCATACACGGAGGAGTAGTCGCACCCGGAGTCGGCCCCCGCCAGCCCTCGGAGTATCGTATGTGGGTTTTGGATGGGGCCAGCTGTGCAAGGGGCCGGGGTCGTCAGGTCCACCGGCGATCGGAGATGCCAATCGGAGTTTACCCGCTCGCTCCCACAAGCCAGCGGTCTCGGGCCACGTTGGGGAGAAAAAAAAATTGAACAGATGAATTTGGTGTTGAAGATTCCTGATGGCGAACCCGTCTGCGAGTGTTCAGCATCCATGATAAATCTCGCCGCGTTGTTAACCCCTCGAGTCAACCGCCAGAGCGTTAACTCTGTCAAGGCTGGTTGCAGGTGCGGTCTCATGACACGACCGATGCTTGCGACATGATCTTGCATTGAGCGAGCCGCGATCCCGCTCATTGCCAGCCACCTGTGTCATTGTCCAACGCCATCCAACACCCCCGTTTCTCCCCGCTCGTCGCGATTTTCGAGGCTGGGGACCGAAAACTCTGTTTCTCGAGTGATATGCATTCGGTTCTGCCCGACATTGAGCACCCCCTCTTGGGTCGCAGTCAAGGACACGAGAAGCTTGTGGACATCCGCGGGCGGGGACGTGCAAACGGGGACCGCTGCTCAGCCCCGGTGCTGTGGTCGTCTTGCTCTTCCCGGCCCCTTGGGTCGGAGTGCGGACAAACTCTGGCGGTTGTCCATTGTGTCTCCACTTATCGTTGCTTGGTGGTCCCTCGGAGCTTGGGAGCCCTCGACTGAAAGGTCTTGTCAGCCCAGGGTCTGACTAAAAAAGTAACCGGTTGGCTTCAGGGCCCTATATGTTGCTTCTGTTCTCGCTGGGATGTTGGTGATGGGATGCCGCAAGCAAGATGTGGACGTTTCCTCGCAGCTGCTGCCCGATTGAGGATGTCAAAAGACGAAGTTGTTGGGCGTTGAAGAGTCCAGCGCGGGGAATTGCTTTTGCCAATTTGGACTTGGCACTCCATGCTGATTGGATCGTGTCCTGTGAGGCCCGTGCTCCAGATCAACTCTGTGGGGCAGTATGTGGGTCGGTCCTTGGCGCAGGCCGATCCTGTGCTCAACGACGCCTCACCGGCCTTCGGAGTGAACATGTCAAGCACAACAATCGAACTCCAAGCAACCGTTGATACTCTCTGTCTCAGCGCCCGTCAACATGCTTCTACCTGCGGCTTCGATACTCTTGCATCGAGTAGTATAGAGCACTCAGTTCATCACTCCCCGCCATGCGGCCTTATCTCCGGAACGACGGGAAGAAACTGTGAACTTGAGACGATATCAACGCTCCTTCATGATAACCCGATAATTCATGGCACATCCACCACAGATGGGCTGGGGATCCGGCAGGTTCAGCTGCCTAAATCACGCCGCTGGCTAATTCTTCCCACGAGTTCGCCGCAGTTCGTACAAACACCGCAGCACTCTCTCATGGTGTGATGCTCCAGGTGACAACGATGATTGTCATGTTCCCTGCTTTTCCCGATCCTATCACTATCACCCTCGAACGACACACCTGTCAATGTTCAGGGCGGAACACAATGAGACACCATGCACATGCGCGGAACTAGTCACGGCCCGCAAAATCCCAACTGGCTGGGGATACTCCCGCTTGCTTCCGCTGGCTGACCTCGTTGACAGGATCTTGCGTTGACAGAATCTTGTATCACATGTGCGGCGCACCTCCGCCGTCAGCAGGCCCTACGTGACAAATAGCCGAGTCTGTCAAGAAGCCCGACATGTTTAAGCCAGGTTTCGTAACCCGCCCAAAATGCAAGTTGCTTGATCCGGGCCTGCAAAGTACCCCCTGGCCCCCGTCCCTTCAAAGAATTCTCATCCCAATCACTCTCTCACCTTGATGTCTCGGAGTGGCCCAATAGCCAGCCGTCCGTTCACCCGTAGTGGGTCGCCCGGGTCCTCCATAGAGACGAAACTTGGCTCAAAAACGAGAGAAAAGAGAAGGGGGCAAGCCATTCAACATCAACACCCCCACCACCACCACGAGGTCATTGATTGAGAGGCAGCAGGGCATTCGCTGCTCGATGACTAAGTAAAACTGACCAGCGACCTATCTACACTAAGCCTGCGAGATTCACGTCTCCCAACCGGAGTTCCGATCTTAGCATCCCGCGTACCGTTCTCCACCCACCATTTGCATACCGTCGACTAATCGTAGTTGCCGACGTTGAGTGGAGGAACAACTCTGTCACTGTTCCAGTCAGGCGCCAATTTTGTCTCAGTTCCCGCGGAATGCTAGGAACCTGTTTTCAATGTTTGCCTCTTAGCAGTGAAGGCCCTGTTGTAAGCATCACAACAACGTTTTCGTTGAGGACGTGGAAGGGATGTTATAGCCGCACGAGGGGAGAACCCCTTTTAGCATTCTGTTAAAAGACGTGTCAGGGCTTTCGGTATCATCGAATCGATGGGAAGAGGAGCGGGGTATAATTAAGTGTGTAAGAGCAAGCAAAGCACGTCGGTATATGTCATTGGGTATCTGAACTGTCGGGGAAGCGGGGGGTGGGGGGGTATCCCCTTGACCAGACGTTAATAGATGCACACATCCCTACACACACACGAAGCAGTTTCGGGGGAGTATAGGATGGTTGGTTGGCCCATATGAGGCCGAGGCCCTTCAGGCGCCCGGATTTGGGCAAAACGTAACGGACGGGGCCTCGGGATGAGAGGAACGGTTGACCGGTTGTGATTTACGGTGGCCATGTTACGAGACCCTTTTAAGAGCGGGTGTCGGCAAACACAGATGGTTTAGCACTACGAGACCATCGAAGCAAGCTTGAAAGTACGCTAATCGTAACAATATACTAATTCAAAACGCCCACGCCCAAGGACCAAAATTCACGCTCAGCAACAGAGCCAGTCGTGGAGAGTGGAGATTGCTGCGTTTATTCACGGATTCCTCAGTTGATCGTAACAAAACTTGATATTTCGACATGTTCTGGGCCGACCCTCCATGGTACCACCACTATCTGAGATCCCCCGCCCTTGCAATGTGACAAATCAACGGAAATTTACCAGCGGACACCTCTTCGCTATCATCTATTACCCGTCCGCCTAGCCGGGCTACTCGAAGCCGGGGTGCGCGAGGGTTGGGCCGTCCGAGCGGGGGGAGGTGGCGTCAGCTTGAGGATCTGCTGCATCCTCTTGATCTTCTCCGGTGAGGATTGGTTGTTGGCAATATACGCAGCAACAAACGTCTTTCTCCACGATACGGGGATCTTCTGTGCCCAGGGTTGGAAATCCGACGCATTGCTGATAATGACTTTCTCCAGCAAACTGTAGTCGGACTGCGCTTCGCGCGCCTCATATCTCATCAGTGTATAGCTGAGGAGGGACCAGACGGTGTGGACGTTCCAGGTCTTGTCCGTGTCTCCGACGCGAGGCAGGGTTGTCGTGTCAGCGCGCAACTCCTCGGCCTGGCCATCTACGCGGAGGTTAGTAAATGCTCGTGGTGCGGAAGGTTTGTGCATCGTGATGGGAACAAATCGCGGAGGTCTATAATACATACCAATGAGAGCGATGTACATTTCCACCGTAGGCGCTCCGTTGAGTTTGACGCGTGCTCGAATATCCTTCTCACCTTTCACACGCGCTGCCATCTTAACTCTAATCTCGCTGTTAGCCCACATAGTGCACACAGTAGTTCATCGGGTCAACCTAGAGCGAGATGAATCATACTGGTCGTCGTTGGCAAAAATGCTCCGGATCTTGGCTCCGGTGGCCACTGCGTTGACTTTGATAGATAGGACCTTATGGTTCTGCATGCCACGGAAGATCCAAGCCATATCACCATCGATGCCGTACGGGATCGAATTGCTATCCAGAGCGTCGATGATGTGTGTGATGGCATTTACACGACGTTCCTGCGGGGTCGGTTGGGGCACAGTCTCGGAACCAGAACCGGAACCGCTCGCGTTTTGCACCGTGGTATTTTTCGTGCTTGTGTTAGAGGCCGCAGGTCTCGTGTTGGTGGGAGCGGCAGGCCTAGCCTGTGCTTGGGAAGACATGGTAGCGATATGTAGGTGATTAGCTGAGTAACTAAGTAGGTAACTTTGGTAGTTTGCTCGGACAGGTAAGATGGTGTTTAGGAACTGTGTTGGATTTGCGAGAGGTAGAGGGGGCATAGAGGGTAAATAAAAACAAACCCTATGCTCCTTAATCTGTAGCCAAGCTTCTTAAAAGTGACTATATATCTCCCAAGAGAATCCCTCTGAGAGCGTAAAGGGGCCGCGATTGGGCTAAAAGGCTGCCCCTGAGGAATTTTAGCCGTCTGGTCCTCACCAAATCAGGGCGTTGAGGCAAAGATCAAACCGTCAGCATGGCCCGCCCCAGCCTCAATTTTGCGTCCGTTGAGAAAACCAAGATCTTTGGATCTTGTGTCCTAAGAGACGACTCAGACGCGGCCATGTTTGGCATCCGGGCCGCTAGGAGCTGACCAAGATCCCACCAACCACGATGACGCCTTGGCGATTCCCGAGATCCTTCAGCCCGATCCCACACTCACTACGAAAACTATACTGTCAACAAATTAACTACCGAAACATAGATTGAGACGAAAAAAGAAATCTTCAAACACGTGGGATATGTACAATTTCTTCCTGGATCAAAGACAACCTTATCGCAGTGGCCTCTGTGCCCCGATTGTACTCTCCTCACCACCCTCTTCCATTCCCCGAGAATCCTTCTTTAAAGATTTCTTTAAAAGCGGCACCTCGACCGCTAGGGCCTCCCCATCGTCAGCCAGTTCAAAAATGACCAAATCTGCCGGCCGCCCACCGTATTTTGTCAAATCCAGTGCCACCCAGGAGATGCAGTCATCATCGTTGGCAGACACGCCCCTAAGCCCAACCACGCCGCGGAACGCCACTTTGCCATCGTAAGCGAGCCCTGTGGGATAAAACCACATGCCGAGGTTCTTGTCCGTTTCATCTGGTATTCCGTAGGCTGGTTTCAATGATGCCAGCACATCGTGGCCATCACTGACCAGTCGCTCAAGGAAAAGTCCGGGTTCACCTTCATCGATTTTGAACTCGGCAACAGTCTCACCACCACCTTCTCCAATTGACTTCAGCGCAAGCGTGTAGTTTCCTGCGAACATTCGGCTCACGTTTTCCCGCCCAGCCTCTTCCGCAGCAGCCCACCACACCTCATTTAGCGCTTTCTTCAGAAACGCAAACGACTCGGATGATCCCGGGCCGCCGGTGAGCAAGGAATACCCCACGCCGTGATCAGGAGAGAGCGCGAGCACAGATATGTACCCGCCAGTTGAGCCCTGCTTTGTGAAGATATCAACGAGTCTCGTCGGCGCGTCCCCGTCCCCGTCCCCGTTCGTCGGGTCAACCGGCGGTTTCGTGGACACGGGAACGTCGAGACGCCAGATTTCCCAGGGCCGGCCAACCGACCAGGTGCGGCTGGCCGTATGGGAGATGGGTTGAAGCCAGCGGCGCGTAGTTACGGGAAGGAGGAGGGTGGAGGAGAGGATGGCGCGGCCGAGTTTGGTAAGATCGCTTGCGCTGGAGTAATACCCGCCTGCTCTGTTGGGGAGAGGGTGTGTTAATTGATGCTCCTCGACGCTAATGAGGAGTACAAGGAGAATATGGGGGCATAAACGTACGGCGCTTCCTCACCAAGGTCCCAGTTCCATTCGTCAAGCTTGACGGCATCAGTATCGTCCGCCGGTAAGGTGACAAAGGTCCGAGTTAGGTTTAAAGGATTGATCAGGCGTTCCGCAACGAGATCAGGGAACTTTTGTTGGGCAATCTCCTCGACAGCATAACTGAGTAACTGGAAAGCCAGATTCGAGTAGGCCGGGGTATGGAAGGTGTGTGATGTGGGGAAAGTCTTGGAAATCAAGTCAAAAGTCTCTGCTGGGTATTAGCAAGTAGCCAAGTAGTCCAGTGTCAGGATAGGTGGCTTTGGGGTACTTGCCCTCTCGGGTGCATGGCGGGACGCCAACATTTCCGCAACGGAGGCGTTCTGTATCATTCAAAGTTGGGATACCTGGGATCTCCGGGGTGGCCGTCGAAGCGTCGCCCAAAGAGTCTTGCTCCTCATTAGCAGTTTGGTCACGCTCACCGGATACCAATGGATCTCCTACAATCTCTGGGAATGCCGCTCATATGACTCGCAAGTGAACCAAGAGTGACCTCAGACCAGTCGACATCGTGAATTGGATCTTGCAATTTTTCCTCGGCGAGCTCTGGGACATACTCGGTGATTGGCTTGTCCCAATACTTATCCCCCAGCTCAACAAGCGTTGTGTAAACGCTGACGAGCTTAGAGACACTAGCAATGCGGTACAAGGTTTCCGAGCCTATTTGGGGGCCATGGTACTGTTCGAACAATGTTCGATTCGAATGCCGCGAGAATACTTGGATGGAGAATGCTGTCGCATCGTTCAAGGTGCCGCTTGCAATACCATCAGCGATCCGTCCTTGGATGGCAACTTTGGCCGCTTCGAATGCCGGGGCCAATGCGGGGTCGCGAACTTCAGGGTAAGATGGACCTGAGATAGGGCAATTCTGGCCAAGGGTGAGTTTACAAATGGTAGCGAGGAGAAACAGGCGGATGATGGGACCCATGGTCGCGTGCCGGTGTTCGTTGAACATCCCAGGATGTCTTGCAACTTGCAAGAGTCGTGGTCTGAACGGGACAAAACCATTTCGGACCGCCCGAATTCTTTGGCGTTTGTCAGGCCCAATAACAGGCCAACTTGGCGCTGCAAATCATCCCAACCCCCTGAAGTTCAGGCCACTCTGCCCTGTAATTGCCCGATTGGCTGACTACGGCTTGTCAGGTCGTCAGCACGGAGGCTCTTGGAGCCGGACCGAAAGAACCGCCTGGACGACGATCAGGGCGGGGGTGTGATTCATGATTATGGTTTTGAATTGTTGATGCGAGAAATACGAATATTGGGCAAGTGAAATACCTAAAAAAGAAAGAAACAAAAGGGGGGAAAGTGTGTAGAGAAACGGGAAAGGGTAATTACCTAAATGGGCAAGGAAAAAGAGGCAAGCGTGCTCGAGTCCTTGACCTACGATTAGCATGGCGACAAACAAAACTTTTCGCCGCTGCCGAACATACAAAAACATCGGACACCAAAGCGAGGCTTTCCCTGTAATCATTTCAACCCCAAAGCGTATCACAGGTGCAATTCCACTCGCGTTCACCGCTAGATGAGCGTCTTCATCTTCAGTCTATTCCTACTCTGGAGGAACCTTCCCAAACCCTCAACCCCAAGGCCTCCGATCCACATCTCGTCCCAACTGTGGGTAGGCGATTATCGCAAGGCCGGCTTCTAACGTCCGCGAACCGTCGTCTGCCCAAATATTCAACGTTACCTCTTCAGCTTCGAACACCGCCGATCTACACCGTATGCAGCATGTGCCCGCAGTATCCCGACGGCTTGCCGGCCACAAGCTGAAGTCCAGGTTTAGCAGGGCAGTGTACTCGGCCAGGACCTCGTCGGCTAACCTCGCCGACCCCGATCTCGACGTCCCATTCCCGGTCTTGAAACCTGAGCGAGTGATTGCCCGTTGCCTGTTGGGGTCATGGTGTATGATCTGAGCAACGCTAACGGCAGCCTAACGAGCTTGTGGCTTGTTGTGGGAGAGATGCTAAGATGATCTTGATATCTTGGCGTTTTTAGGACAATAGGACTGGTTAGAGTGAACTAGCGCGACAATTCGAATATCTGCTGTCGTTAACGGGTTGATCGTGCCTATTTTAACAATTTCAGCACCGCCGCAACCATTCGGAAAGAGAACTGCAAAGGACCAGCATATTCGTAGTTCATCCTCCCGACTCCACTGAGGTCAAAACCGTGGTTGCCGTCCAGGGTAGAAAATTCATATCTACCAGGGCCCTAGTCTCTAAGCCGCACGCTAATAATCAAACAGGAACTGCTCCGTCATCCACGGGGATTGGGGATTGACGTTTTCGGGGCTTCGAGAACCGTCCATGTTTTCGGTAGCCGAGACAACATGGGTGAACGAGGGATGGGTGGGTGAGAAAGTGGTGCTGGTTGACAAGAAGGGGCTGTCCTTGCGAACCAAACTAGGATGAGCTGTTGCCAGTTGGGAGAAATTCTTGCTGAGGTGAACCGAGTTGAGCGTAAGAAGGTGGGGAATAAATGGTAAGAACGGCGATTTTCAGCGTCAGGAAGCTTCCCCGTGAGGGGTCATTGGTGCTTTGGAGTCCAGTCCCCCTTGTATCAAGGAGGGTGTGATTGCATCGGTGGCCCAGCCTGTTGGGTCATTGTCGGAGCCGGACATGAAGGCCGTCTCTTTGTCTCTGTGTCTCTGTGCGTCGGGGGAAGCGTGCCAGACGGATGGGGGTGTTATCTCATCAAGCAGGCTGGCGGTGCCGGAAACGAACAGGGGGCAAAAATGCCGTTCTAGAACCCGTGGAACAAACGAACCTCTGGAAGCCGGACGGAAGGGTGTTCGCATCCCCCACGGGGACTGGGCCGAGGCCAATCAGACACTTCCAATTTTTTTGATGATCACTCTTCTGTCCCGAGCCACGCATAAGCGGGTACCTCAAGCGGAATATAGGCACAGATGAAGAAATCTTTTGTGCCCTGCATGGGCTGACCGACCTTTCTCGTACGACACTTCAAGGATTCCATAACAAGGCATGGTTTTGACATGGCTCGAGGGCAAAGGGTTGAATGATGCTTGTTTTGGGAACTTTCCTTTCCTGGTACGTCAGGCCTTCTTTGCGTTCATGAAACCAACAAATGTTCTATGCGTGATCGGTGTAACCTGATTCGTGGGGGGTGTAGGCTGGGCCAAGGATGCTTGACTAATAAGCACAATATTGCACCGCAGAGATTTACGGCTCACCACAGCGCAAAATCATGGAGGGCCACATGACCTCGGGTTCCGCGGACTTGCTGCGCCTGGGTTACCAGGTAGGTGTCTAGATATTGTCACTATTGACCGTCCTGCCATGATTCTCAAGGTTTATTCTCGACAGTAACCCCGAGCGTTGCCGGCTCTGTCACGTCATCCCGTGTCCCGAGGTATGGGGGCGACAGCTTGTGGCACATCCCAACGTCGCTGGTGCTGTGCGACGGGAGAACGGATCATTGGAGCTGAAAGTCGCAGCGGGGAGCAGACACTAAAACATGCATACCGAGGAGCACAGGCCTCACGGTGACATCGACAACACCCCGGGCTCGCAAGCCACGAGGTTGATTGGAAATGGGGTTAGCTTCTTCGTGGTACAGGGAGCCTGACTACCTTATCTTGTAGCACCGTTCTCGGCTAGAATGGCCGGCGGTGGTCAGAGCAGACCATGCCAACAAGGGCATTTATTGTTCCACTCCTGTGCGTTGAACCTGTCATTATTTGAGCGGCCCGATCCGCTATGCATTCATCATTAGAGGGGCGGCGGAAGAAAACGGGGGGAGGGAAAATAACAACTGGCTAGTCCTACGGATGGGCCCAGGGGGGGGTCAAATCGGCCGCTACTAGGTTCTGGGATTGTGTTTATAAAATCTGGCGGCGCAATTCCAATTTCGCAGAGCCGTACCTTTGCTGCGTCTGACAAAGAGGACTTCAGCTAAACCATACGCCGTCTTAAGAATCCGGAACTGAACTGATACTCCCTCAACTGAGTTCCTATGACACCGCACATGATGAGCTCCACCACAACAGCCCTTCCGGATGGGTACTACATCGCCCAGCTCAGGGCCGAGCACTTGCCCTGGGTCCAAGCCATCGTAGCTCACACCATGTCCTTCGACTCACCTGTTTGGTCTCGCGTGGACTACCCCGATGGCGGACCGACCCAGCGGGCATACGACATGTACCATGCCATGGAAACCTCCTCGCTGCAGTCCATCAAATCGGAGCTCTCCTACGGCGTCTTCTGGGCCGGACATCGGCCAAAGTCCAGTCCAGCAACCCCTGACCAAGCCGAGTCCGTCAAAACCGACACCGGCACCGACAACAGCAGCACCGGCACGCTCCACTGGGACTTCACCAACCCCCACGCCACCCGTGCCCAGCTCCTGGAACAAATGGACTTCCCCCTCGTCTCCATCGCCATGTCCAAAGACGTCGCCGAGTCGTCGTCCACGACCGTCAACCCCTTACCCTCCTCCACCACCATCACAACCCACAAACCCTGGGCCGCCATCGTCGACGGCCACCGCGACATAAGCGACACCCTCAAAGCCCTCGACCCCCGCCGCCCATCCCTCTACTCACCGACTGCCAAGGGCCTCGTCGCCCGCCGCAGCGGCACCCACACCCGCGGCGACCACGCCAACCGCGGTCTGGCCAAGGCCCTGGCACACTTTATCATGCACCGGGTGTTGTGCGAGCTGGGGTATCAGGCGATTCTCATCCATGCTGGTGGGGAAGGGCTTAATCGGGTGTGGTTGAACCCGCCGGCCGGGGAAGGGTTTCGCGCTGAGGAGGTGAGTAAGTTTGATACGAAGGGGTATGTGAGGGAGGCGGATGGGAAGAGGGTGTTTGGGGATGCGGAGGTGGTGTCGAAGAGGATTTGGGTGACGTGGGAGGGTAACAACTAGGTGTGATTGGGGGTTGACACGGACGGGCGGGTTGGGGTTCTCGAATAATTAATGTTGGTTTTGGGTATTTTTTTCAGGAAGATATCAGAATTGGGGTCTTAAAGGCGACATAATTGCCGTATTGCCGTATGTGCTGCCGGCAAGTTTTTTTGGTAGGGATCCGGGTTGAGGACGGGAATACGGATACCAGGTATTAGTTTGGTTGTTAATTGCAGCACTGGAGGGATATCAATCAAGCTTCGGCCGAGAGTCGAATTTCTTGCCAATCGGCTCAGTGTGCAATTTCCGTTACCATCACGTGGATGTCGTTCCATTCCCATTTGCAAAGTAACCATATCACCCCATCGGGCCATCACAGGCAAGACCCCACGCAAAGTCCGAGCTCCCCCGGAATTATACAGGTCGAGGTCCCATCATCCCACCTGAACCATCGGCAACTGAGAGCACCGTTAAATCCGGTCGCCCCACTTCCTAAGGGACGATTTAGTGATCAATTCGATTCAACCCTTCTCACCTCGTTTCTTAAAATGCCAAGGGTTTCCCTCAACCAATTCTCCTCAATTGCGTTTTCCCATCAATCAATCTTCACTCCAAAAATCTCTTCAGCAGAACAGTCACTCTCAAAATGTCCTGCCCCGATTGCTTCAAGGGCACTCTCCGCGGCGATGTTGTCTTGACCGGCACTGAAGAGGTCATCCACGGCATTCCGACCTATGTCGCCCGCCCAGACGCTGGGGTGGAGACCCGCGGCACTATCGTCATCCTGCCAGACGCCTTTGGATGGGGGCTGCAAAACACCCGCGCCTTGGCCGACGCCTATGCTAAGCGACTGCCGGGGGTAGTTTACGTCCCGGATTTCATGAACGGTATGTCTCAGTCCTTCGCGTCTATCTTGCTCGTATCCTTTAGATTAGAGTCGCCCTCATTCCAGCAGTGAATAACCCTTAATTAACACCATAATTCCTCTTAGGCCATGCTGCCCCCGTGTCGTTCTTGTCGGTCCTCGAAAAGGCCGAACCCCCTTCCTCAGCCCCACCCTCCGTCTTGATTCGGGCCATCAAACGTATCAACACCTTCTTCACCTTCCTTTCCTTTGTCCCCGCCATGGCGACTTTCCTCTTCCGCAACCGCGCCTCCGTCACCCAGCCCCGTATCCGCGGCTTCCTCGCAGCCGAGCGCAAATCCGCGCCCACCACGCCCATCGGTGTGGCCGGTTTCTGCTGGGGCGGCCTGCACGCCGTGCTACTGACACATGACGTCCCGCACAACAAGGTCACCGTCGGAGGCGACGGCGTTTCTGGCGGTCAAGAATACCCGCTGATTGACTGCTCCTTCACGGCACACCCGTCGCTGCTGTCGCTTCCGAAGGACATTGAGCAGGTGGTGAAGCCGCTGAGTGTGGCGAACGGGAGCCTGGATGACCATTTCGGCCCCGAGAAGGTGAAGATCCTAGAGGAGGTTCTGGACCGAAAGAACCGCGAGGCAGGACTGGAGGCGGGCGACAAAAAGTATGAAAGTGTTGTGTATCCCGGAGGGAAGCACGGGTTCGCGATTCGGGGCGACCGTACGGATCCGGAGATTCGGGAGAAGGGCGAGCAGAGCGAAGCGCAGGCTGTGGAGTGGTTCAAAAGATGGTTTCCTTAGGAGTGTCCTTTTCGATGACGGCCAACACACACTTGTATTCCTCGTACGGGTAATAATAAGCAAACGCTAAACAGAATCCCAATATGCCTTTGCTGGTGTTGTTTATCCCGTCCTTATTTGTCTTCGTCAGCGCTCCCTCCGAAGTAATAATATTGCTCAACCTTGTTCTTATCCTTCTCGTTCTCATGTTCCTCACTCTCGCTCTCATCTTCATCGTCGTCATCTCTACCCCTCTGGCCTTGAATTAATTACGTGTGCGATCGCGACCATTCCAATCTTGGCCTTCTCCTCCTCTTCCACCCCATCACCGAAGTTGGATTTGGTACTGCTACTGGGGGCTGGTGGTTGATTTTCCGGGATTGCCACCCCATCACCGGGGTTGGATTCGGTACTGCTGCCGGGGGCTGGTGGTTGGTTCTCTGGGATTGCCATGTTATGGCCAATTTCTTCCGCAAGAGCCGCCAGAAGAGCCCGGCCGAGGTAGCGGCCATAGTGGCCCAGAAACCTTTGCCCAACTGAGGCTTCAACAACTTGCTCGGGTCCTTTCGGTAATCCTACCTCCAGGCCAATTTGAGTTGAGCCACGACGTAAAGGAAATACAAGTACCTGGCTCGTGGGCGTTTGTCGTTCTGAAAAGCCAGACGCTGGCCGTTGAGATCCCGGACTTCCATGCCACCTTCGGTGCATACAACATCGAGCAACGGCTAGTCTTCATCGACGATCCTCCATCGATAGCTCTTTGGCTCATCTTCCTCCCACTTTGTCACTTCTTGCGGGGTTGGATCGTCTTTCAAGTCTGGGACAATGCCGAGCGCCCCAGAATACAAGGCCCGTTCCACGTCAACTTGGAACAGGAGGCCGTTTGCCGCCGTATTGAGCTCATTCTTAACGTCGACACCGAATAGAGCGACCAAAACGTCTGGTCCGAGTGTGTGCGGAACAAGATGGGCGGCCGGCCTAGCGCTCTGGGGAAGTTCAAGCCCGGTAGCTGTGTCGAACGATCTCTTGCGTTATGGAATAAGCGACTGATGTAACTCGGCCGGTGGTAGAGTCATAAGTTATAGCGGGCGGCGGTTGTAGCAGCGTATAGTGTATTAACCGCGGTTGAATTCTAGGATGGGGAGCCTTGATAGCGACGGATTGGCGGGGGAGTATTTGTTTTTGTTAAATAGAGGAATTGAAGTGTTCGTCGTTTATGTGTTCAGGTTTAGGGGGGAGGGGGAGAAGGAGCTACCTCAACAACACACGCCCCTGCAATAAGAGAAATGATGACCGGCATTTTTCCTTAGGGAGGGGCGACCAGAGAAGCCCTCAACAACGAAAGAGAAAAGAAAGAGAAAAGAAAGAGAAAAGAAAGAGAAAAGAAAGAGAAAAGAAAAGAAAGGAGACTTTTCTCTCGGACGTGGGTATGATTTGATGTTGCTACATGTCACCGATTAATTATATAACATAGTTACATGATGGATCTGGTTGGTTTGACCAAGAAGTATAAGTGTTACACTAGGCCCTCACCTTCAGGATATGATTTTGATAGGTACCTATCTACCTTATTAAAGCTGTGATGAAAACAATTTCGAAAGCACCACATGTGCAATGGTAGCTAATTATACCCAGCCTCCTTCGGAAAGACCGGGAGCCCTAGCTAGTTATGCCGTATCCTCACAGTCATACCACTGGATGGGCGGGCACCAGCCGTAGTCCCTTTCCATCATATCTATATAATCTGGCTCAATTTCTTCCCACTGCTTTTGTATCAAATCTTTCGCCCCTAGCTCGTCCCACTGTCTTTCGTCCCACATCACATAACCCCACGACTTCGTTGAAGCAGGCGTATAGCCTCCGTAAAGGTTGGCATAGCGCCCATCCCACAACAGCACCCAGGCAAGAGGGGGTCCTCCTGGTGGCCCATCATCACCTGCAAAGTCCATCAAATCTCTCCTCATTTCAGCCTCATCACGAGCCGTGAGGTTCGGCATCAGGTCATCTTCATCCCAGAGTCTCTCTCCTTAGATCATTGTCCTAAGAAGCCAAGGCAGGGGGCAGTCAATTACGAACCAAAGCGTTAGGGACTTGGACATGACAGCCACCAGGGTATCGTGATCCGTAACTTGCAGAATACGAGCGGCTACCTGGAGACCACGAGACGTTGTCCCATCGATATAGTCTATGTGGACGAGCTTGGGTTACGAGACGGTCTGTAAACACGATTGCGGAGTTTCTTACCGTCGTACCACTTCTTGGTCAATGGGGGACCCTTAAGATGGAAACCCCGAACACGGTACTTCGAGCTTTCGTCACAAAGGTCCTGCTGGATCTCGTCCAGGATAGCAGTGTACTTTTGCCGTATGAATACATCGATGCAAGCTATCGCGTCCACTTGCCAGGGGTCGAACACGCCCAGGAACATCTCGTACTGATAGAGCGCGGAGAAAATTCGTCTCAGCTCACTCTTGCTCAACACAGGTTGTTGCTGAGCCTGTACCAGTTCAGCCTCCTTAGTTGCAAGATTGATATCGGCAACTTGAACGCTCGCCTTCTCGGTGAACGCTACTCCTGAAGCTGCCCGTGCTAGATTCTCAAGTGCCCAGATGGCGAAGCGCTTACACAAGAGGCCAGACAGCTGAGACATGAAACGCCGCCAGCCAGCGGCAGGAGCTGGCATCGAGCGAGTCCAAGCTGCTAACTGTATCCTGTCCCCGGGCCAGGAGCGGTACCTCTCCAAGAAAGTTTGGATTGTCTCATCGGTGCGTTCCTCGCCAAAGGAAGCCACGTGTGACTTCAAGCAGGCATAGGCGTCGACGAAGCACCCGTCGAGTTCACGGGCCAGACAAGCCCGGAGGAGTGCGTCGCGGTTCGTGCGGTACTGCGCGTGCATAGTTGGTGAGGCGCGTACGAGAGCTCGAAGGGTGGGGAGATCAGGTATGTGCGAGAGGATAAGGTCTCTCAGCTCGGCCGGAAGGCTTTCAAGCTGCGAAGACGAGTGGGTGGAAAGATCTTGCCCGCTAGAATCGGTTATGACCAACTCCTCGAGCATTTGACGGCCTGAAGCGGCGTCATCGTCATCGTTGTTATCGGATGTAATCGGCATCATGTCGTTGTCTTGACGGGTATTGGTCATCCTTCTCATAAAAGAGGATGAAGGAGGGGTTCGGCTATGAAAAAGGCGAGTGCTTTGTTTCCTCGAGCCGGGTTGATGGTGGGGGTGACAACGGCAGCTCGGAAGCGCCGTCACAAGGCCGCCAACACGGGACTGTCGGCATGCCCCTCAAAGAACGTCGATTACCGAAGGGTTGGTGGCCGCACAAGGATATGGATATTTACAAGAATTTGAAGCACGGTGGACACGAAAAATGAGCTCATGTCTGCTGGTACTTGAAGAATGGGTTTTGCATGGAGAAACCTGAAAGGTCGAACCTCGATTGTGGCTGCTCGATAATCGAGGAAGAGTGAGAAACGGGCTGAGTCACTGAACCGTTGTGGATCACGGGGCGCAACAGGCAGAGCCAGAACCGCCTGAACCCCCGCAGTCTCAGGTTGTACAGAGTTCTATTCGTGAGAACAACAGAGGTTTCGGTAGGAACCAGAGTACCTCACATAATTACCGTAACTATCCGTATCCGGGCACCAAGGGCGCTCCCCGTTCGCAGTCAACAGCGCCAAGCCCAGCGCCAACAAAGTACCTACCTTCATACCGTACCGTGGTATGTAGATACCTTTACTAGCAACCACAATCCATTCACCCTCAACATATTGAGGTGGCCCAGTCCACATTGCCGGGCGCGCCACTATCAAGCACCAGAACACAAACGGCAGAATGTTGTTTTCCGACCCGTCCTCGGCTAGCACGACAAAAGCAAGGGGACGGCGTCGGTTCTCCGGTGAAGGTCGAAACACTTTCCCTGCCGTGATGCGGGCGAGGGAGGGGTTACAGTGAAGGCAAGCCGCAGGTGCTGAAATGGCCGTATGGTGCCTAAGGGTTATCACTGGGAGATGTGCCTTTCTTGAGCAGGTCTCCGCTGGAAACCAGTGTGGAACGGATCACCCGCCAATGGTGTGTCTTTAATCCTCGAATGGCTGTCGCCAGAGTATGCATGACCATGAGCGGCTCATGTTGGGCCGAGAAGTGCTAAAGCGGCCGGGGAGAGGGAAGAGGTAGTCAGGGAGGAAAAGTAAGGCGTTGGCACGTATATAAACCCAAAACTGGCGCCAGTAAGACCATCGGACACTTCCGATATCCTTCTTCACAAATCGCTCTCGACCCTTTGATCTGACGTTTCGCCGGCCGATCTTGACTGAACCTCATTTGTTCAAGCTATCTTCTCACCTGTCATAGCTTTGTGGTCTTCCCCCTTGCACCATACCTCGCTCTTCTTCCGTCGATTCCAACAGATCGTTCCACACTGCCTTCTCTAGATCGTTCCACTCTGACTCCTCTGGCTCGTTCTACACGGCCTACTCCCAAGATTCTTATGCTGGGAAGCTGAAGCCGGGTAAAGATGATCTCTTCAAGAAGATGTTTGGAGAATTTGAAGTCATGGGCGTTCCTATCCAGCAAGAACGCAAGGCTCAGTCTAGCAGGGCTAAGAAGGGTCACCCGGGGGACGTCGAGCGACGGCATTGGACCCCCGAAATGAAAATGCAGCACAGCAGCTATAAAAGACGGGGCGATGAATTAGTCGATGCGAAGAAGACTCAACGGGCATCCGTGGACTTGGCCCGCGAAGCCCAACATGAACCTATGGAGGATAGAAGGGTTCTCTGTGAGAGTCATAATGGAGGACGAGAGGTGGGTTGCTGCTGCCTTTGTGTAAGTCATCTTCTCCTTACACTCGGGCACGGTACCGACTATCAACCGTGATGGCTTGCTTCCTCATTGCAACGTTAGTTTAACTATCAATGCTGACTGGTCCTGTATGCGGATGTGTTACGCTCTATTTAGCGCTGCATCCACTCGCCTCGATTTCATGCGACAATATCCAGATGCCTTTTGCACCAGGTCCACCACCAATCATGTCAAACAGGTTGAAAGCTGCTTGGATTCGGCCAAGAAGGCTTCGTGGCAGCTCCACAAGCATAGAACCCGTAAGATCATGGTTCCCTCCCAGCTTTCAAACTTAGCAAGAGGACCGAAAGGCCCACGCCCACGTGGACAAAAAGAGAAAGCGGACACTAAGTTGCCAAATCCACCTGTAGGTATGGAACATATGGATCGTATTGCCGCTATGAAGGCGAGGAAGGAGTAGATGAGAGTTTGGCATTCGGTCCCACAATCCTGTTCACAGATGGCACGAGGGAGAACCCGGGTGTTTGGAGGTGGGCGAGCCAAGTTAATCGGATCGCCTTATGCGAGTTCGTGAGGTGTGTAAAGTTGCAGGCAATTAATATCTGTATGTCTGCCTAGTTCACATTCGCCCGTGTTACGGCTGTATCCATTGCGCGGATGCCAATAGTCCCCCACTCATCTGCACGGAGGGCTGACGAGGCTCGCCATTGTGCAATAAATAAGGACCTTCAGGCATAATTCAGGTTCCGGTTTCCGCCGCTGCTGCCTTGACGGAAAGCTGGTTGGGGTAGGTAACACAAGCAAGACGTCGGCTCCGAGCAATCATATCATACAGGCGATGATGGCAGTAAATTCACATAATTGCCCTCTCCTAATTAATATACTCTAAGGAAGGAGGGGGGACAACGTACTGCACACTTAATTGTCACTCTATTTGAGCGTCAAGGGCAATAGCGTTTCGCAGTGTATCATCCGCTTCCGTCCATTAATTAAGTAAAGAAATTCTAACGCCGAGTGAACGAGAGAGTTATGGTTTGTGGCCGGCAACAATCAAACTGCGATTCGGAGGCCACGAGCAAGTGTCTCATTGTTTGGCATTCCGCCCGCCACTCTCCAAACGTAGAATATTATCTAATCACACCAGTGCTAAGCAATTACTCACGTAAGGTAGCAAGAGGCATCGAAGCGTCATAATACATCTGAGCTGTTTCAAACTTTGTGACTCCCATCCCCCAGACAGAACATGTAGTACTAGCTTGCCGAACACATGGTAATTATATCTCCTTCTTCCCATCTCTGACGCCGCGCTCACCTATTAGTTCTACAAATCCTTCTTCTTCTCCCCAAAGGTAAACTTCATGCCCAGGTTCACATCACTCCACAGAAAGCGCCACATATCCGTCGCCCAATTCGCCCCGTTCACCCACGGCCTCTTTGTGCCTACCTTAGGCATCCGGTCCCACGCTGAAGTCAAATACGTGGAGCTCAAGCCGACCGCAGGCAACGGCTTCATCTCCGCCCGTTCGACCGGGTCGACTGTCGGGGTTCCAGACGTCGCCCCCGTCTTGTCCATATGCCGAATGACTTTGATCAACTGCCGCACCCGCACATCGGCGCCCGGCGTCCAAGTCGCCGCGGTGTAGCCCGTGATGAGACCGGCGTTCGGCATGCCCTCGAGCATGCAGCCGTTCCAGGTGAAGCGGTCCCCAAGCGAGTCGGTAACCGACACGCCGTCGACGGTGCAGGACACGCCGGCCAGGACGGAAAAGTAGAGTCCCGTGGCGGTGACGATCATGTCGGCCTCAAGCGTCTCGCCAGAGTTGAGACGGATACCAGACGGTGTGACGGTGTCGATGGTGTCGGTGACGATCCGGGCGTTGGAATTAGGATCACTGAGCGCTTTGAAGAAGTCGCCGCTGGGGCAGAAGCAGAGGCGCTGCTCAAATGGGTTATACCAAGGGTTGAAGTGCTTGTCGATGTCGAAGCCGGGCGGGAGCTGCTTACGCATGTCCTTCTTGATAATGCGTTTGCCTGCTGATGGGAAAGCGAGGAGGAAGGAGACAAATAACGTCTCGGCCATAAGGGCCTTCCACCATTGGATATAGGCCGCCCAGGCGATTGGCATGAAGCGCGAAAGGAAGGCCACGGTCTTGTCCTTTCCGGGCAAGTTAAATACGTAAGAGGGTGTGCGCTGCAGCATGGTGACACTCGCCGCGGTTTTCGCTAGCGTCGGCAGCAACGTGATGGCCGTGGCGCCGGAGCCAATGATGATGATCTTCTTGTTGGCGTGGTCCACGGTGTCGTGCCAGGACTGCGGATGCACGACCTCGCCCGCAAACTGGTCGATGCCTGGGATCACCACTTGCTGCGGCTTCTCGTAGCTGTAGTACCCGCTAGCATTGATGATCCACCAAGCCTTGATGATCTTTTCCTTGATGCTTCCGTCGTCCTGCGTGACCTCGATTCGAAGGGTCCAGCGCTGTTCGTCACTGCGCCAGTTGGTGGCCACGACGCGGTGCTGGAAACGAATCTTCTTGTCGATGCCCTCGGCGGCCGCGCACTCTTTCAAATACGACTTGATAGCTGCGCCAGGGGCCATGTTGAGGTCGTGCTGCCAAGGACGCCACGAGAAGCCGAAGACGCCCATGGAGCTATCAGTGCGAAGGCCTGGGTACTTCCAGAAACTCCATGTGCCGCCAATTTCATGCCGGCCCTCAAGAACAGTGTAACTGTGGTGAGGGAGCTGGGTTTTGACCCGGTAGGCGCTGTTGATGCCGCTCAAGCCCGCGCCAACGATGACGACGTCAACGGTTTCTGGTGAATCCATGGCTGAACCGGAATAGCTGCGGCTGTTGTGCGTTCAGTTTGCCCTGAACCTGATATTTCAACCAGGTACCTAGGTAATTATCAATGTCTCGAAACTCCGTCGGAATGGCGAGAACGTTATAAGTTATTCTTTACCCCAGATTTTAAGGGAAACGACGGAGTCGGCACGTGTTCGGCCCCCAGAAAGTCGGTGATGTCCCGAGGAATTTTTTGTCAGGCTCGGAAAGTGTTCCCGGTCCGGACTAGTGCATGATTCCCGACGAGCCTTATTCGGGATAGATCCGATGTGGACCAGGTTGGAGAGTCCCTGGACATTCCAGAATGAGTCAGCACCAGCTGAGGCAACTAAATTGAGATGTCAATTTGATCGAGTTATTCTAATAGTTTATACGAAGGTGCATGTCGTGCAGACCGTCCACAATTTACACGGGAAGGAATGTGTGAAAGATTGAACTTTCAGCTTGTTGTGGTCCACTTTTTGTTGACTTCCTCAACAATTTCCTGTTTCGGTGTTACACACAGACGACGCGTCCAAGCTTTTGCCAGCTCTCAATAGTAACCCTAACCCTGATTCTTAGCCGTTGTGCCGTTCCAATCTTACTTCTGTCCAAGTAACTACTAGTTTAATAGAAATTAAATATCACATACTCTAGCTTGATGTAATATCCCTGAGATATCCAGGCCTCGATGGGATCTACAATTTCTCAATCAGTGTTGCTGGTCCCGCTCTGCGTTTGTTCACTGCAAACCAACGCCGCCCGTCCGGGGCCGTCCCAACTCTCAAGTCCAATCCAGCAATGCAGCCTGCTTGACTAACAATCGGTAGGTAAGCGTTTTACAGACACCAACTGCGATAACTACAATGAAAGAAGTGAATAGTCAAAAAGATTTTGACATGAATACCAACGCAAGGCCAATATTGGCGCTCGCCGATTCATGTTATATGAATCATGGCGGTGCAGTTCAAAGGGGCCCACAGCGGCCCCAGACTTTGCCGCACTCCCGCACCGGGCCGTTAAGTTGTTCCCCCCAGTGTATTAGACCGTAAGCCCATGCATCATGTTATTGTTCGTACCCCTATATCTATGGAGCAATATGTCCAACAAACCCGCCTAAACCTGAAATCCTACGCCTTGGGCAGCCTCCAATTCTTTTTCAAGGCCTTTTTCGCCCTTCCCATGATGCGTTTCCTACGAACCTACAATCACGCCCAACATCATGACGGTAGCCCACCCGTCTAGTCACATAATCAATCACATACCCCAATTTCTTTGATTAATCACTCACCTTTCCTTTACGGTTGAAACACGCCCCCATCACGGTCCATCCCAGGTACCTGAATTATCCGCAGACAAAGTCCCAACAGTCTTGCCGCCATCTTCTCCAACATCCATCACATACTCACAAATCTCCTCCTTTCCCCACTACCCAGGTTACTACTCCAGCTGTTGTCATTCCAGGACCATATTGATTCCCAATACGCATGAACGCAAAGTCCTCCACCCCCGAGTAACGCACCGCAGCTTGCCACCCAACCCATGCATCACATACCGCGGCGAATTATCATGCTCGCCAGTTCCTTTCTCCGTCCAAACCTCCTTCCAAGACCGGACATCATTCGGTAGCTGGCGGTATCGTCCGCTGTTGGACCTGCATCTCCCAGTATGTGTGCTGACGGGCAAGCAACTTAGCTCGCCAGCCCGTCATCACGGACCTGGCGCCTTCATGCCATCATGATCCCCGTGCGGAGATAGTGCTGCGGCGAAGATCTGTGGAGGCATCGCTGACGCGTGCGGCGTGGGGAACGGCAAGAGGAAGCGGTCTGTGTACCCTCGGTGTTTTTCTTTTTGGGCTCGGGTTCGGGTCGGATGGTTGGTGGTAATCACTCTCATCAGGCTATGCGGACGAATGACTGACTGCTGGTTTCCCCGCTGGGGAGGTCGTTTTTCTTCATTCTCTCTTTTGGTTTGTCGCGAGATACGGGCCGTGTCTCAGATGGTGGAGGGAGTCGATAGGTTAGTGCTCGATATTAAATCCCCAGATCTTCATTTTGGGTGGGGGATATCGGTGCCCGAGGTGTGTGTGCTGTCACGGGTAATATGACGAGATCGGGAAGGTGACATTGGATTGGAGGAGTAATGCAGATGAGCGCCGCTCCATTAAGCACGATCTCACAAAGGTAAAACAGATCCGCGTGGGGTAAGTTAATTAACGAGAGATCAGCAACCGGGAATAAGACGACATTCAATGGACGAGTCTCCTACACTAGTGCAGGCCCAATGACACCAACTTGATCAGGTGAGAGAAGAACAACCACGGTGAATTGTTAGGCTGAATGGGCTGGATAGCAGCGTTGTCAATAGCAAAGGTATCGATTTTGATGCCCGGGCCCTGATCTGGAAACACCGGAGATATCGAAAGAGGGTACAACGATAGAATCGGGCCGAGAGTCTTCACAGATATCGCAGTCAACTCTGTAAACCCTAGCCCCAGCGATTAACCTTACTAGGCTCAGGTATAACGGCTGGAGTCATAATTCCCACCTTCATTCGGAAGAAAAGACGGCGATAGCTTGGCCATTTGTATGCACTCACAACAACCTCAGGGGGCCAAGATACGGAGTCATGAAGTTTTGCCACACGAAACAAGAAGTCACGCATACGCGCTCTCGTGGTCTATTAATTGCCTGAAAAGTTCGGTTCACTATGTCTATGAAATATGTCACTCCTTTCTCGGAATGGAAAAATTCTTGACGTTGATTCAGTATTCACGCCTTTCGTTCCCTGATCGCTCCATTGACTCAATGTGATAAGGATTCTCGGCCATTAACGAGGGACACTTTCAACGTCATATAATTCCGTTTTCGTTTTGCTTGGTAAAGCTTGCGGTCTCTTTTAGCTGATTAGACTTGACAGGGAATTTCCCTGCCCAGCGTTTCGCCTGCGTGTCAACACTGAGGATGGTTATGTGGCCCACGATTGCCGACATAATTAATTACACCACTTATCTAAATTTCTTTTGTTTATCTGGGTGGGAAAGATAGGGAGAAGATTTCGGACCGAAAACACCAGGGCGCACATAGTGTGGGAGTAGTATTTTGTGCTGCCCGACAGAACAGGCAAATGGTCTTGCGATGTCAAGAACAACTCGATGCTGGTGCCTGCATGGACAAGGCTCGCCAAAACTTAATTACCCCGCTGGCATTTCGGATTCAACGATCCGTTGGATCCCAAGTTATCCACTCCCACGTGTGGCCAAGTGACACGATTCCCTAAGGTTTCGCGTTCTGTTAATGACTCTAGACATGGCCGAGCCAAGGGGGCCATACTCTACTTCGTAATTGTCACGAACGTTATGGTGAAGATCGCTCCTCCGACTGATTCACAGGACGTGCGCCTTGGCTCCAAGTTAACCTCCAGACCCCGATGTTTCTTGAGACGGTATCAAAGTAACTAATCAAATCATCCACGCATAAATGCACCCGATTTCACCCGACCGCTTCGTCCAAGCCCTGCGGTCTTACGAGTTAAGGACAATCAATCCCCAAAGCGCCTCCAGCGCCAAAAACAAACCAAACGGCCAGCCAAGTTTAGCCAAGAACAGCCAAGTACGAATAATCACAGCCAAAGCAAGCCAAGGCAGGCGAGGTCAACCATCACGGTCCTTCCCGCTCCCCGGGATCCCGGCCGGTGTGGAAGCCGCCAGCTGACCGGCGTGGCAGTGCAGAGGACGGCCATACCAGTGACCTATCGACCAATGTCTCGGCCAAGCTCTTGGCCGCGTTGTTCCACCGTCCATCCATGCCTTTCTCCCCACAATGAACCGCCCCCGACCACCAAACTGTCTCCCCGCAGCTCGGCAACGTGACGGGCTGGCATGTGGCCCCTCTCCTATTTGAGGAATGAGCGACCACCCAGCCCAGTTCCGATTTGTGCCCGACATCAAGCGAAAGCGGGCGTCGTGTCTCGTTTACTCCACGTGTTGACTCCCGGGAGCCGCGATCCTTTCCCGCGGCTGCCCTGTTCTCAGGACGTGGAGGACATTCGCCGCGACCAAGAGCGGCCCAGACGCACGAGCAATGGAAACTTCTGCTGAGTCGCCTTCGGGGAAGCTTTCAAATCGTCAAAACTCATGAGTGACATGCTCCGCTTCCGATCAGGAACATTAGGCTTTGCCTGTGTCATGGAAACTGTTGCGGTTTGCCGACGCTTTGGCGGTGTGGAGGGACCTGGCGCTTGTTGTCGTGCCTGTTGCTTCTTCGGGGTGTGAGCTTTTGTGGGAGTCGCAACTGCAACTTCAATCTCTTGGGCTTCGACGGACGCATCGCTCAATGGGCGTTTCAACTCGCCTTCCGAAACGTCGCTCAGAGATGGCTCAAATCGTTCTCGCATAAAAGCGAACGGGAAATCAAGATCGTCTCCGACTAGTCATTCGAACGGAGGTTAGCGTTTTGGAATTTGAGTTTTGAGAAGGAAATATCTTACCATGAGCCGACCATAATCGGGCATCGACTGTGTATTTGAAAAACTCGTTGTTGACAACGTGGAAGCCGTTCTGGCTGAGCCAGAGCGCAACCCACTCCTCAGCCGCTTTGATAATGTCGGACTTCTTCCCAGGAATAGAAAGTTGCGTGTCTCTGCTAGCAGCAAAGTTCAAGATAAATTGCCGTCTCGAGTGTTCGGCAGCTGTCAACGCCTTAAGAACGTTAATGCGCTCGATGTCGTGAGATGTTGAGCCACGCCTGCTCTCTCTGACCGCTGCGTTTGCTGGCCTGGCCATGACGTCGGTGTTTGTTTTTGTGACAGAGTTTGGCATGGTTGTTGTCAAGGATGTCGACGATGGCGGAAGCAGCGCTGAGTTTGTGGTTGCATCGAAGTCGGCCAAAACACAAAAGAAACCAGGAGGATAGAACTTTCTGGAAAGTAGAGGATGATTCGTCGAACTGAAGGACTGTTGGGTTGAGGAAAAGACAGTCTGATTGCTCGTGGAACCCCGGAAGGTACGGTAGTTATGAGACTTCCAAACCAACTCGATCCAAGACTCAACCGCAACTGATGTCTCGGTGTTCGGTACGTGCTTGTTGTATTGGTAGTGGGGGAGTGGTGGGGGATATGGCCCTGCGAGGTCCGTGATAACGTTAAGTCTTGGGGCAAAGGGCTTGGGTGGTCGGGTGTCACCAGACCACGATCCGCGGAGAACCAACCCGAGGGATGGCAGTAGACGGCCGGATTTGTTTGACTCTTCGCTTCAGCCCTCCTGGTCCAGGGGCCAGTGAAAGATTAACCAAGAGCTCGGGACCCTTCCCGGTGGTGGTGCCAAGATCGCCAAGTACGCCGTGTAACTTGGCGACGGCAGTGGGCAGAAAAAGCGGGTGAGGGATGCTGGGAAGCGCATTTTAAAAAAGAACAGGCCAAGGACCGGGCGGGATGTCCGGCTCTTGAGGAGTTGGTTACAAATATAACCCCCGAAAGATGAGGTCGTTTGTGCTCGATCGACGATTGCCTCATGTGAAACAGGACGCTCACGAGAATGCATCTCAGTGGGCAATCCGCTCCTTTGCGATCGTTCCTTCCCAAATCGTTGACGCATCGAGGTGACTCTCAGCTTCCCAGGAAGGACCAGCCGAAATGGGCCAGAATGGCGCAAACGGCTTGGCAGTCGATCCTTCCCATTCGGGAAATTCTCTGATAGTGACTTGTCTTCATGACAGCACGGGGCAAGTCGCCATGTGGTTTTTCTTTTCTTGAATTCTATTCCCCGGAATCGCCCGGCACTCCATGATAAGAGGGAGACGATCCCCGGCAGGCGGGAAAGCTCATTTGTGGTGCCAAGGAATTCGACGTGTTGCCAGCAGCTGTTTCGGCTGACATGCAGCCGTTTGGCGTGACACCCGTTTTGTTCTCAAGATTCGTTTACCTCATTATCCCGAATTGTGAATGGCGCTGACCCAATGGATAGGTCCGTTCGCCTATGTGCCAAGGGGGCCAATACCTCTTGTCCAATCTATCGCGCAGGGCAGCCATCGGGCTGGGACCTCACCAAGACTTATGACTGCAGGCTAGTTCCGACTTAACTCATGGAAGGGAGGTCTAAAATAGTACTTTTCAGGATTATGCCTGTCGCTTGGTTGAAGGACCGACTTCGCCTAGTGCGGGATGCCCAGCGTTGAAACTTTCCAAGACAGTTTCCGAGGCGATTAAAAAGAATTACTTGGTAATAGTTATCGAATAACTATCCCCCCTGCCAAACTTCCGCCTTTCCAAGTCTGCGAGAATAAATTGGAACCTAAAATGCAATCTAAAGGCTTGGCGGAAGTTCCAACCTACCAGTGGCATTAAAGCCCTCGTACCAATTGCGCACGACATACACCTCCGGTCAACCTGTCCCATTCCCACCGCCCCAGATTTTGGCCTGGACGAGTCGTTGATAAACCACGAGGAGTACAAGATGTTTTTGTAAAGCCTGACAGTGACAGTCCGGGATCAGGTGTCTCGACGTGCAAGTCGTGCCCCCATGGTGGCCAAGCGTTGGGTGGGGAAGTACTTATTATGGGCTATGAGGCGGCTTTGGGGGTAGTACGAATACAAACTGAAAGGAATTTCAAGCCAAGAGAACCGACACGGGCGACTGGCCCTAGGTCAGAATGTTATGTGAGAGGCTGACTACGAGATTTGTGTTCCGTGCTGCACGAATTCGTGGTCTTCGTGAGAGCAGGCGACAGTTTCGTGAGTTTAGTATCGATACAACCAACTAATACATAAGCAAATACATCCATAAAGAGAAAATACGGCTAACCATAAAGGCCTAAGAAACAACTTAGAATACTCGGTTTGCTAACGACCGTTTCATCAAGACAAAATGACCAGGCTACCAGCAGCCTGAACCCCATTCCTTCCCCCTTTGCACACACCACTTAGACGCCAACCCTCGGGCGCCCGAGGTTGTTCGCCCGTACCCGTGCAAGCGCATCTGCCTGTGCCTGTTGCGCAGCTACAACCTCCTGCAGCATCCGCTGCAGATCCGCCCGGCTCACCGAAGCCGCACTGTTGTCGACATTTTTGTTTCCTGCATCTGCCGCGGCCGTAGCCTCAGCGGCAGCAGCCGTAGTACTAGCGGCGCCACCCTGTTGCTGTCCCTTCAACAACCCTAGAAGATCACCTAGCCCCAGTCCCGCAGCACCGGCGCCGTTCTGTTGCTGACCACCCCCAATTAGGCCAAGAATATCCTGCAGATTCAGTCCCGCCAACCCGTTTGCGCCAGCGCCGGCACCGGCGCCGCCAATGTTAAGTTGACCTGTGATGACACTCAACAGCTGACCGAGGTTGAGCCCGGTAGACCCCGAGAGCTTGCTGTTTCCGCCGCCGAGAAAGAGGGTGCCGTTGCTGGCAGCCGCGGATGTCGCGGCTGCGGTCTCTGCGGCAGCAGTTGCGGCAGCTGTATCAGACGAGGCGGCGGTCTCAGCTAAGGCTGCGGCGGTGTCTGTCGTGGCAGAAGCCGCCGCGGTGTCGATGGTGGCCGCAGCGGCTGTTGTGGTAGCCGTGTTGTTGTTGTTATTGCCCAAGAGAAGGTTGCCGGCGAGGATGTTCTGGAGGATACCTTGCAGCTGGCCGAGAAGGGCGACATTTTGGTTCTGGATCAGACCAACGGGGATGAGGAGTTGACGCGGGTGTATGTGGTGGGGAGAGGCATGGGCCGTGATGCAGAGGGCTGCGAGAATGGCTTGACGCCAGGTGAGAAGAGAGACCATGATGGTAGCTCCTGGGGTAATTATTGGTATTAGTGCGGTGAAAAGAGCGGAGCACCTCTGAGGTCGTCTACACGGTAGACAGATAAAGGAATGAATGAATGGAATGACAGAAAAGCCTTTGGAAGTCCCAAGCCCAAGATTAGTATAGTGGACGCAAGAGATCATACAACTTATGAACACCTCACAAGCACCATCATCTATCCCGTCAACGCATCATGTTCACCCCAAATTAAGATGAAGCAAGGGACATGGAAACATGGTCCGAGACACCACAAACCAACGCCACTTATCCTAATATGACCCAACCACCCATGCGTTCAACCATACCAACGAACCAGACGAATCGATCACTAGGTTTTTGCTCCGAACTAAGTCTTCACTTAGGACAAAAGCTTTGGGACGACGCGGGGCTCGGCGTCGATCAATCGGTTGTGAGACCTGGTAGCTAAGGGGTCTGAGCGCCGTGTAAACCTGGAGCGGATTGTGCTCTGCCGCTCACATCCCCTCACATCAGGAGATCTCGAGCGATCCAGCTGATGTTGTAAATGTCCCAGAGTCTTGCCAGAGAATCCATAATGAGCTGTGATGTGCGTCGTCATGAGTCTCATACATGGGTTTGACGTGCCAAGCAGTCGTCCCGTCTCGTCTCATGGGGTTATGCCCCTGTTTGGTGTCAACCCGTTTTATATTCCCCTGGATTTCAAGAGAAGCTTCAGTTTGACCTTTCTTAATTCGGGAAAGGCATTCGGTAAAAAATTCCGGCGTTGTGGGAATGAGGTGGTCCCACTACCCCAGGATATTTTAAACCTCATCCTGTTGTTGTGGCCGCGATATCTAATTATTTGTGTTAATTAATTACATTGGGACTCCCTCCAGAAAGAATCAGGAAGCAACGATAGGTCCCCGGCAATTGTAAAATGTCGATTGAATAGGACAAGCCATATTGCTGGACCCCTAATAACACATATCAAGAGTTTTTTAGGGGCAGGAGTAGGTTACGGATACACTACCTACCTAGTTACTCTGAAACGGTGCCCGCCGGGTTCTGACAGCGGAAGAACATAACCCAAATTTAATCATTCGCCAATTACACATACCCACGAATAGGACAGTATAAACTAAACTATTAACTATAAAAAGGATAACGTTACCTTAAAAATTGGTTACAACGGTGTACCCACCGCCCTAAATAGAACTTTATACGTAAAAAGAGAATGAAAATTTAAAAAGACAAAGCAGCTTTATATTGGCCAAGTAGGACAGTAGTTATCGATGATTAGGGGACTCATCACCGAACCCAGAGACACCATAAGACAATCGAGTGATTCGACTTAGGTGGTGACCTAATCTATTGCAATCTTGGACGGATGTAGTAGTGCAGCTCATCATCAACCTTGAAATGAAGATCTCATAAATTCTAGAAAAATTACCGTCTCGAGTTAGGAAGGATAATTTGTGAATACAATTCCATAGTAATTAGACGTTTTAAGAATTGAAGATGATATGTCAGTCCTTTTGTTTATTAGTTACGAGAAATAATTCACGACAAATGGAACAAAAGAAAATAGGGCTGCATCAACAGAAGCATCGAGATAATCTCAAAGACGAAACAACAAGGCGTCAAAAAGAGTCTTTACAGAACCTTCCAATTCTTCAAACACATCGAGGCAATGGAGTCGCTTCGTACAACTGGATTGTCTCACAATGGCGAGCGAACGAGAGACAATCCTAAAATAACTCGAAACCTTGAGATACGCGGCAAAGCAAGACAACGCCTTTCATCTTAATCATCCCACGGTCATTGACATTCCCATCCACAACCAACCGATGGGAGCTATTAACAAAACCATTCTCGTTCCTGCAGCCACCATGCAAACGCATTCTTGGCGTGCTCTGATAATGCTCCAGCTGCGTCGATTTGAGCAAGTTTCTCATGCCCATTCCCCAGCTTCCACTCCCACGTTCCCACGCGACCTGAAGGTGGTGCCGGGATCCCCCAGTCCTGGGACAACCTGAAAGTTCAGACCAGAGGAAAGAGAAACCCACAACTCGCCACGTACTTGCCTTTTCAGGCGGTTGTGGCCCGCCGCTCCAGCGCCTGATTGGACTGTGTCAGAGCTGCTCTGATCCCGGGCGAGTGGGTGCTTGGGTGCATGCGGATGGAGCCTGGCCGCCAAGACAACTCCCCCGAGGGCGAGGGGCTGGCAGGCGGGGTAAAAGACAGGAACAGCCCTTGTTCAGTTCACGAGTTTGGAAAGCGAATTCACTGGTGCAGTTAGATTTATCTGGGCATTTGTGGAACTTTTGGTAAAATTTAGAGAAAGAGGAATAAGCTATGCGGCGTGCAAGAGTGAGAGCCGCGTTCGGAAGGATAACGTGCAGCATGGGTGCAACCGAGACGCTAGGAAAAGTGCGATGGTGAGAAATGGGGGCGATATAAATACAATCGTGTGCTCCGTGATACGGATTAAATTTTCTTCTGCAGTACAATCCTCATTCAAGGTTTCTGTCCCCAATTGTGTCTCTCAAACCCGTTCCCAACTTCCACTCCCATCTGCCTACGCATCTAAACCAGGGCGATCGGTCAATATGGCCCCACAAACACTCCTTCTCCTCGCCGCGGCGAGTCTCGCTCACGCTCACTTTGGCATTGAGTACCCCCCTATGCGCGCCAACACCCTGAGCAGCGAGAACGAAGAGATCTACTCCCAATGGATCAACCCATGTTTGTGCCCCCCCTCTGATCTCTCATCCTACTTACCCAATGCTTAAGACTGACACTTTTCCCCCTCCTACAAGGTGCCGGCGTCCCCACCAACATCACAAACCGCCCCATCACACCCTGGCCTCTCACCGGCGGCTCCATCAAACTCGACCTCCACCACCCCTGGACCTACGTCTTCATCAACCTCGGTCTGGGCCCCGACGTCGGCAACTTCAACTACACCCTGACTGAACCCTTCTGGAACGTAACCGGCAAAGGCACGCTGTGCATACCACACCTGGAGGTGCCAGCCGACTTGCCTGTGACGGATGGGTCCAAGGGCAGCCTGCAGGTGGTAACTCTTGGCGCGGACGGGAACGCGTTGTATAACTGTGCGGATATTGAGTTTAAGAAGGATGCGAAGGTGTTGGGTGGGGACCAGTGCAAGACGGATGAGGGTTTGTCGGTTGCGAATGTGACTGCGGCTGGGTCGGGGGACGCGACGAATGGTGATGATAAAGGGAGTGCGGCGTCCGGGCGGACGGTGGATGTGGTAGCATTGACGTCGGTCGCGGCGTTAGTGTCGGTGTTTGTCCTGGGCTTGAGTGTTTGAGAAGGAAATGTTGTGGATAATTAATGAGGTATCAGGCGATTGATGCGAGTTTACGAAGAGAGACCCAACCCTTCCCCCCCCCTAATATCCCAAATGAATGTCGTATTTGTTAAAAATGCTCTGTAACTATGTGGTATCGTCCTGCAATCATGGTCCTCTGAACCCAAACTAACATCCCCCCGCCATGACAAATCCTTAACTGTCCAAATTATGGCCCTGATGCCAAATCCGAAAAAGCAAATTGGTATTGTACATAACACAACCATATATCCTCCATGCATCCCCCTCACCTATCCGGGCCTGTGTCAACAAACAACTGGTTGACAATATCCGCCGTGGTCAGGCGCTGTCCTGGGTTCGGGGCTAACATCCCGTGCACCAGCCGCTCTAGCTTGTCGCGTGGGTCCAGGCCGGCCCTCACCTCATTCACCTCATTTAACCACGACCGCATATGCGACACAGCGGTGCTTTGCAGATGCGGCCGTTTCTCGTGGACGTGCGCAATCGTCCAGTACAAGTGCCGGGGGTGTCGACGGTCAGATCGGATATCGGGCCACGAAATCTTGCCCATGACGTACAGCATCACCACCCCCAATGCCCATACATCGCTGGGGGGCCCCCGCTGCCGGAGACCGATGTACTCCGGGGGCACATACCACGGTGTCCCGCCGCCCGTGGCGATGGCACCCTTCTCGGATGATAACCCCATGTCGCACAGCACCGCACCGCGCTCCCGGCTGTACAGGATGTTACCGGGTTTGATGTCGTTGTGGTCTAGGCGCAGGCTGTGGAGATACTGCAGCCCGCTGGCGGCATCTTTTAATATCCTGAGAGCATCGGACCGGTTGCCCGAGAAAAGATCTGTCCCGGCCGTACGCCAGACGCCTCTCGCAGACAGGTCCCGGCCATCCACGGGCTCCATGTAAAGGGATAGGAACCGGGCGTCTCCGCCATAGATCTGCACAATATTCTTGTGCTTCAGCTTCTCCTGGTTCTCCAGTTCCCGAAGCCACGTCTGAGCCTGGCGGATGACGGTCTTGGCGAGTGCACCTTCGTTTGGGTTTGCGGTGGATGGAAGGCCAGTCTTGAGCACCTTGGCGACGACGTACCGGCCAGGTGCGTCTGAGTACTCCGCCGTGAAGACGCTGGACAATGTTGTGGATGCGATCTGGTCCTTTTTTGTGATGGTGTAACCAACAAGGCCTGCCTTGCGCACTTCCAGCGTCTCGTTCGGTTGAAGGTCCAGTAATGGTTGACCAGTTGAGGCGACCAATTCTTGGTTCTTGGCTCCCGCGGGGACGAACCGGATGACGCTGTTCTCCTTCCCGTCCGCGGCTGGGTTGGTTGGCCGCCGTTTCTTCTCCGGACTGGTGATGTCGTCCTCCCCTGAAACAAACGACCGCTTGCCGGAAGAGTTGACGACGTCACTGCTAGATCCGGACGTGTCGGAGGCCGCGGAGAAACTTGAGGCGGTCCGTAACCGAACTGGCCGTCTCTCGAGTAATCGAAAGTCTAGCAAATCGGTCCCGTCCATGTTGATCCGCCATGTCCCAGGCGTAAGAGACTTGTTAAATTCTGGATTCACTTCGTAGGTGGCGCCCCGGATTTCCTCTGGGTCATGTGATACCCTGGATAGAGTAAACGGTACATTGGAACGGTTGGAAAGAATTTGGTTGTCACTTGCAGGATCATAAAAAATGATGCAGGCCAACCGTCGGTCCGGGTTTCGGTAGTCCGGGATGCTCACCGTGAAACTGATGTCACGGTCCGTCTGCCGGACGGCCAGCACCTGTTGGGGCGACTCCTCCTCCTCCTCGACCACCTCGGGGCGTAATGAAAGCGGCATCACATTTTGGTCTTCACGCACAGTCCGGTCCCGAGTCAGCGGCCGCATCAAAATGCGGATGTCGTCGTCCGGTGGCACCACCAGTTTGTCCAAGGGAACGGCCGTGTTGATTGCGTTGAGTTGCTCCGCCCGGGACCGTTGGAGGCGGGTCTGGATCTCGGTCTGTGAAAACGGCTCCGTCTTGTCCTCGGACAACTCCGAGTACTCCCTGGCGTCACCCATAACGGCGCCGGGATAGGGCTTCTCGCCTCAAATCAGGAAAAAAGAAGACCAACAGATGTCGAGTCAGAGGTGCGGGAACGAGTGAGCGCTTGAGTGTTGGTGCAATTGTAAGTGTGTGAGTGTGTGTGGCAAATACGTGGGTTCTGGCCGAATCGACAGGGCAAGGCGTCCGGACGCAGGGGCGCAAAGAATGAGCCACCCGGGGTAAAATAAGAGCTAGACTGCGGAGGCAACCAGGGCAAGAGGAAAAGCGGAGCGACGAGCGAGTTACGGCGACTGAGAATAGAAGATTGGGGGGGGAAGTTGGGGGAAAGAGAAAATATGGGATTGCGAAATAGATAAACAGAACGAGGACAGAAGCGATTCCTACTTTTGCGAGTCCTATTTCGCATCGGTGATGGGAAAGGACGACACCTCGCCTTGAGGACAAGAGATACGTCTGATGGATGACCATCGAAGCAGTCAGATGGGCCCCCGATGATGGCGCGCGGGGGACAGAGGCGAGCCCTGCTGATGGGGCATCAGCCTCATTCGGCGCGCGGTGATTGGAGAGGTGGCATCGAAACTCTCAGAAGGGGACAGGCGACGGGTGCCTGGCACCGGGCCGTCGTCGCATGTGGGAGGAAAAATGAGCCACAGAGCCACAGTTCAAGGTGAGCGAGATGCCCGCCTGCGCCCTCTGCTCGACTTCGAGCCACAGGAGCGAGGTGGCGTATGACATGAACCGTTAAAAAGTAAGGAAGGGTTGAAGAAAGGATATCAGCTGTGGTGCTCAGGTGTTAGATTTGGGTACTGGGGCGGGCTATTTGTTGGTTTGATTTAAGACCCGGGTGCTCCCGCCAGGCTTCCCAAGTCATGGTTTGCCTTGCGACAATGGGATCCCTTCAGCTCGCCGGCAGGACTGGTTCGACAGAGAGACAGGGAAATGGCGGGCGCAGGAATCTGCTCGAGATCTGGTCGGGCGAACTGGTAGTGGGGCTGTGGGAAATGCGCGCGCCAGCTGGCTGACAGTGCTTCGCAGCCGGATCTGTTCCTCGCCAGCCGTGAGCTTCGGCCGACCGACTGCATGAGAGCAGTCGCGTGGTTGGCTGGCTCAGCAGCCGGGCAAGCCGGACTTGCCGGCGGACATTTGAATTCGACAGGTTTGGGGTTGCCTCAGGCCAGATTTGCATCCTCACGCCCCCGACGCCATCGTCCACACACCCTCCGAAAAGAACTCCGATGGGAAGCGCTGGCGTCATCACGAGGCCACCTGCAGCCGCCAGACCCAGCGAGGGCGAGATCTGAAGCGCTGCTGGGTTTCAAACGGGGCCGGCCGGATGGCTGTGTTTTTGCCTTGCCACTCGTCTTCCCGGGCCGCGAAGGCTGACGCTTGGACAGACAAGAAGTCTCGTACCATTTAACCTGGTGCACGAATTGCTAGCCAAACCATACCAGTGAAGACATTTTGAAGAATTGTTCTGCCAGGTGGTGAGCGAGGAGGAGGGGAAACAAAGCATTGGGGTGGAATGAAAACCCCATTGCCCCCTTCTTCACTCTCCTTGTTAGTTAGGACCAGGAGGAGGACCGGGACTTCTTTGGACAGTTGGACAGATTTGGTTGTGTGTGTTGGATGACCAAGGTTGCGACACAAAGGTGGCACCGCCGTAGGTTGATGCGTTCTGCGATTGGACAAGACAAACGGCTGATTTCGCATCCTGCATTCAGCCCTACTCATGATTGGCTAGGGCTGAAAGGGAGGCCCACCATGCAAAGGTCCCTGCAAAAGAATGTGGTATCATTGGTGTGAAATGTGGGGATTATCTATCCCTCGCAGGAACACAACGTATTATTGGTTGAACTTGCTGCACTCGGAATGGGGCGTGGCACGCAGGTTTTGTGTTCCCGCATCGGGCAGCCAGGATCTCGCCCCCACACCCGATTTTCCAACACTCCGTGGGTCCCCGGTTCTAGGACTCTGGTCCGCCCGGCCGCCAGCAACACTCCCTTTGACCATTTTCACCTTTGTCTCATCATCACTCATCAACACGCACCCGCCATTCGAATCGCATCTTCTCCTTTTAGCCAAGGACCTCAACTCTCCACAATTCGATCAATTACACTACACAGACGTCACGATGCCCTCTTCGATACCCCTCGCTTAAATGGCTCGCAAAACAAACATCACACTCGAGCCTCACAGTACTAGCAAGCACTCGCATTTTACGGTTCCCCCTTTCGGTCTCCTCTCCAGCAATCCTATTGCAGGACTCACTCAAACCTGCCAACGCTTTCAACCCTTTCAACCCCTTCAACCCTCGACAGCACACTCCGAACCCCAATCACCGGCCGCCGGAGGATGGACGATCCCTCCGATTGTAGTTGGACATGGCCCTTCTGGAAATTCGGGCTGAAGAAGGACGACCTGTTCGGCGCTCTCCATGAACGCTATAACACGGTCCCTTCCCCTATCCTTGACCCCGAAGCCTTCCACCACGACGTCTACGAGTTATCTCAGAAAGCCGCCAACCCCGATGAGTTCCACAACCTCCTCCAGTCGCGCAAGGAACAACGCCTTCGCGAGCTGAACGAGACGCTCGAGTCGGCCGCTGTCGAGATCATCGCTAACCCGACCCTCATCGGTACGGAGCAGTGGCAGTACGCTGTCCAACTCTTCCGCACCAAGTCGCTGGACTCACTCGTCCGCTATTACGCATCATACCTCCCATCTGATCACCCCTGGTACAAGTCGGCGAGCTCGTCGACGAGCTCCGAGACGGGTAGCGTTGGGTCGCTGACGGACTCGCACGGCTCGTTTGAGGACGAGGAAGAAGAAATCCCGTTCATGGATGAGCCGTTTGAGTACCCCAGCTACCCTAAACAGGCTGCTCCTCTTTCTCCTCGATCCATGACGATGTGCTCCGACTCATCGGTTGCCTCGCCGATTGGCGCGTCCCATCACGAGTTCGATTTCGAGGAACAATCCACGCCTGCCCGAACACTCTCCTTTTCCGAATCTGAACCGGACTGCTGTGCGATGTCTACGTCCGGCTCGCCCTGCGGTTGCGAGGAAGATTCGAACCAGTCATCCACATCTACGACCGCGTCCAGGTCGGTTACCCATGGTGGTGAGCATATCGCTGCCACCCCCTCTACAGAACCATCAACTTCGGGAGCGGCCACACTCCCAAAGCACACTCTCGATACCACAGACTCTGAAACACCAACACCCAAACCCGAAACACATACCACATCATCATTCTTTGCCGATACGAAGGCGACACCCAGCCAACAACGGCGACACCGCAGTTTATCACCATCACGCCCACACCCCCTCTCGGAGCGCGATCTGGACCAGGTTCTTAGCGCGCACCGCGATCCTCGCAACGCACAGCGTTTGCAGCTTAGTCGGAGGGAAAAGGGGAAAGAGAGGGAACGTGAGCGGGAATGTAGCCCAGCTATGCACAGGCGAAGAAGAGGAAGCCCAGGTGAATCAAGTACCAGGATACAGAAACCGCTGGCCGAGGTGGGACGGTCAAGGCCGCGGACCCGGAAGTGGGCGGAAGGCAGCTAGCATATTCTGTGGCGTTTATGGAGTTCAGGAGAATTGGTGGTGGATGGGCGCGCCGATACCCTCTGTACATATGTCCTCTACATATTTTTGCTTGTTTACGGTAATGTTTTTCCCGTCACCATTTGGTGTTGTTTTCCAGCTGGTGATATCTTTAATGTGGTGTTGTGGTTGCAAGTGCAACGGTCTCGTGATATCTGTTTCCCCGCCCCCGCATTACCGGTTAGGCTTCCCCATACCCCCAGGCTGCTTCTGACAACCTCGCTGGCCAGACGTTCATCTCAGCGTCTCCTGCTCTTAACAGTGCATCGAACATAATCTCTCCAGGGCCGCGCTCAACTGTTACCTACCTGCTCTACTCCAGCTCCCAGCCTTCGTTCATTCCCCGAAATCTCTCATGCCTAACAAGCAGGACTAACAACTCGACGTCAACCAAGCCGTTGCTTTCGCCCAGGGTTTCAGGCCAGCAAACCGCTGCCCCCTCCTCCCCATCCCCCATTCTAGATCTTCTTTTTTTTTTCTGTGTGCACACATGATGACTTCTGACCCACCACTAGGCGTGTTCCCCGGTCTTCGGGCCAGGCTCGCCAAACCGCAGTCGGGCGTTTTCCGAGACCAGTGTGTTTCCGGGCGACCAATCTGCTCGCGTGCCCGACCACCCTCTGGTTCGGGCCATGGTTGTTTCCGTGACCGCCGTTCACGGCATAACTTAATTCAGAGGCTTGTGTGTGCCAAATGGTGGATGCTTAGGACAACGCATCGGCGAGGGCATGTGCCAACTTACCGGCCTTGTGAGTTCTCAGGCCAAGTTTTGCAAGACCTGTCTCACCTCTGCCATCAACACCCGACTTCTTCGCGACGCAGCCTCTGGGAACCTTTTCCCAAGACCAAAAGGTCTGGTTTAAACCGGCTGGTGCCGGTTTCCTGCTGGATAATACAGCAGGCTGATGCGGAGATCCTGCATCCCGGTGACGCGGTTAGCAAACGCCCAATGCCGGACAGCCGCGTCGGTTCCGCTGACTATTCACGCACATGAGTCAAGGTTTTTAGACTCGAACGTGCTGAAGGAACGATGCGTTTTTGTCAAGGCTGAACGGTAAAGTCTCAGACCATTTGGTTGGACGAAATCGACCCAGTGAGGCGCAGCCTGGTGGTGAGCCTGGTGTGCCTGGGCCTGATGCTGACGAGATTATGGTGGGTAACACACCGCATCGCATCGTATGTGCACTCACAAAGTAATCTACGAAGAGGTACTATTTAAGGTAGGTGCAGTAGACATTTGTACCGTTGCCTTGTGAGATGCCTTGCTATCTTCCTGGTGGCGGTTGGGACCAGGCCGTGTAGCCCAAGCTGAGAACCACCGGTGCAAACCTCGGCATGTAAGTTCGAGCACTAATTTTGTCGCGTATTTAACACATAATGCGTCCCTTTATTCCCGTCCCTGCGTCAGCATCATATTTACTGTTATTCGATTGTGAACCATGCCCAGAATGATCTTTTTCTCACCCTGAGCGCCTTGCGATCTTCCGACTTTCCAGGCGTCAACCACAGAGGCAAATCGGTCTCTCCCGTGTCAGCTACATGCAAGGGTGTGCACAGCGGCCAGCAAATCCAAGCGGCCCATCAGTTGGAAAGCATATTCGTAGATCACGGTGCCAAAACATAAGTGTGTGTCACATATCCCCACCCACATTGGACGTTAACTTGCATGCGTGTCCGGTGCTTCGTCCCCACCCCCTTCTCTGTTGGCCCCCGCCAGTTGATGTTGAGCGGCCGCTCATGAACTAACTATAACGGGTGGGGTTCCGGATAAGTCGCACTCCTAGGCGGACACATGACAGTCGTCAGTCTGTTAAACGTCGACCCATACGTAAAGGTTCAATACATGTACCAGGGTTCACGACCCTCCTTGGCTTTGCTGTGCGGCCTATCCATTCCCACAGACTTACCTAGAATGGTGGACTCAGCACTTAATTAACACATCCAAGATGGTATTCCAAAACTTAGTACCGATATCTGTGATCTTCACCACCGCCTTCTGTGGGAATTTCGTCAGCACCTAAGGGATACCCGTGATAAGCAACTGTGACTGCTCTTGAACCAGAGGGAAAAATTGGGGTTTAAGATCAAGATTTTCTCAGAGTTGGGGACATGGGAAGGGGTATATAAGATTGCCCTAAATTGAAGGTTCCCAGACTGGCCGAGGTGATAGATAGACAATAGGGTTATATCAAATACTGCGGTTGTAGTTGATAAGCAGATAAACCTACTACCTCCTGCACCCCTCATACCATTTTCAACCCTCGTTTGTAGTAGAGTGGTAGGTATATATATGCCTTGCCTTCTCCTCATATGATATTACGCTCAGCTTAATTTTTGGTATATTCTTTAAAACATCTTGTTTGCAACCCATCATATTCCATCTCCGTATCCCGCCTTCTTGATTACCGAGCACATGAAAACCCTGATCGGCCGGTCCTGTATTTCGTGTAGCCGAAGTCGATCCCAGATAGCCTCTGCCGACATGACTGATCGACGATACGTCCAGTTAGCACCATCATAACGAGCCATTCATTTCAACACACATCGGGTAATGATCACGTACTTGCAGCGGGGTGGTCGATCTTATTGCCTAGCACTAAGAATGGTACCCCATCTTGCGACAGAATCAAGAATTAATTATCATGGTTAAGAGTGCGCAAGATCGAATGATAATGGCTTAAACCTGGAGTGTAGGTGCATGGGAAGTTTAATTGAAGCCGTTGAGCAAAGGGGGGAAAAGTGCGCCCAGAACCGACTTTACATAGGTATACACAAAGACCGCCCTTCACATATGTGACATCAGCCTGAGTCGTCATCTCAAGAATTTAACACAGTGGCGTTGCTATGAAGATACCCGTTCGGGCACTTCCAACCCCCGCTTTGGCGGGAATTAACCAATCACAGATATCATCATAGTATACACCAACAACGTCCTACGTATCTAGGGATACTGCGAACATTAAGCTGGTGTTTCGCTGTGACTGGTGCTCTTCCACGGTCAACCTCCCACACACCATACACCGCCTCCGTTCCGAACAGGAAAGCTTACCTAAACAGGATAGTCGCGCTCAACCCTGCACGTATGTTACCTGCGAAGCGGTGCTGCGATGTACACAGGATGCGAAGACCGTTTGGAGGTGAAAGGGGGTCGGGAAGGGACGTTCGGGCCCTTGCATGTCCCTTCCTTATCGCTGACTGGACGCCGCGAGCCTCGACAAGTTCGCGACGGTCACCCGTATCCCTCTGAGGAAATCTTGAACAGAAGGCGTGGTTTGTTCGCACCTTACATTCCGGGTTGTCGCAGTTCTCCTTCGGTCTTTCTTTAGTTCTTTCGGCCCATCGGAGCCTCGGCAGGGCCGACCCTCAGGTCCCCTCGCCCATCGCCAACCGCGCACGCACCCGCGTTTTCCTTTTTTTTTCTTTTTTTTTTATGTTTTTCTTTTCTTTTTTTTTTGTTTTAGGTATTCCTTGTTTTTATTTTTGTGATTCATTTTGTTTTGTTTTGTTTAGCGATAGATTTCCGATTTCCAAGGCCTTCCCGGGCGCGACCTAGCGTTTAATGACAACACTCAGTCGAGTGGTTGGCGTCTTCCTTTCTTCGTTTGCCTACAGAATAACCTAGTCCTTAAGCTATAGGCTTTCGGGGTCGGCGATGAACTTCCCATTTCTGTAACCCAGTCGAGCTAGTCGTCAACAGACTAGACATTCTTCTTCTTGACCTTTCGGAGGATTCCGGTCCTTGAGATATGAGCTTTCGATATTGACGACTCAAATCCGATTCCATAGCCCGGTGGTGTTAGCAGTCAACGGACCAGATCGTCGTCTTTGGTTCGTCTTTTGAAAGCCCTGGGCCTCACAATATAGTGGAGAGCCTAGCCCGGAGTTACCGCGCTGTCGTACTCTCAAAGTGTGTCACAAGCCTTGCGTGAGCCATCTCTCCGCTCCGGGAAGGGTGCATGATGATGATGAGCTAATGTTTATTGCCCAATAGTACCGCCACGGGTGATCCTCGATCACCATTCATGTTTTGTACGCGCTGAACATCGTCACTCCCAAGTAACATACTGCCCACCTGTTCCTGGATCTACAGCACCACTCTATCACCACTGGGGTTTCATTGACATCACATGCTGCTAGACGACGGCTTTTGCTGTGCTTTATCAGTGCCAGCTTCTTCACCGGCACACTAAAGCGCTTATCTTAGCGTTTAATTATGCTGTCGCAGACCAGTTCCACAAACGAGTCTAGCGGGGGTGATCATCCACATGTTATTTATACATCAATGTGTAACTACTCTGGCCGCCGGCGTTTGCGAAGAAGACTCAGCGAAAAAGACCCTTTCTCGACAAGCAACGACTCTTTTTAAGTTAATGCACGGTCAACGCAGAGCAGGGAGTACGTATCCCTGGACCCGTTTCCTGGCGAGGATCTGAGGATGTTCCCTATCGCGCCGGCAATGGTCCGTCGTTCTTATTACCTCGAGGTGACGTGGGATCGATGTTTGCGACATGGTGGGTGATTAAGGGGCTGGGATCATTCGGTGAAGTGGCTCCATCTGGAAAACAGACCGAAGGAAGTGTAGGACTGACTGTCTGGAAGATGAGGGATATGCTGTACATGGTTTGACATCATCGTTAAAAAAGTGGTTTAATTACGGCATTATGGAATGCAAATATTAATGAATCCAATGCAGTCTATCAGCCTTTTGTATCTGTGAACTCGAGTTCGCCCATCGACTATCTTGAGGCCATGGCACGCCTATGATTATTACTTGATTACACTGCTGAGGTTATCCTTCCCCGAGCTTTGGTGGTGCAGCTTTTTATTTGTACCACAACCGGCTCGGTCGAATGTAGCCCACGTGGCATGCAGTCAACAGTCAGCAGTCATAGAAAAGTCATAGGGTCCGTAGGTACCTTGTATTAGGTCCATGTTGTGCTCGAGATTACAAACCTGCCGCAACAATGCTTATCCTCACCCGGTCAGGTAGCGGCGGACTCCCCTCGGGATCTGGCAGCATGACTGACAGACTGAATCAATGCGCCTAAACAGCAATCGGGCAGACAACGTCTGGTCGGATAATACGCCAGATCGGTTGGCGAATCAACTTGTTTCCTGGGTGATCCGGATTTAAGATCAAGATTCCGGGAGCGTCGGGGACGCAAAAAGGGGTGTACGGGATTGCCCCAAACAGAATGTTCCCGGGCTGACCGAGGTGATCGATAGGCAACGGGAGTATTTTGAGTGCCGCCACTGCGGTTGGTGGGTGGATAAGTTTCGGGTATGCAAGCCGTGAGGTTACTTGTGATTAAAAACCCCGCATCGGGGGTGCCGAAAGGAGAGATCAATCGTTTGGGACATTCGTGTCGTTGCCGGTGACATGGCATCCACGAAACACATCACAGTAAGAAACTCAAACGAGTGCCTCTCAGTTGTGTTATCAATGCGTTCCACCGCCACGATGTGAAGGCACACAGGTGTGTGAAAATGTCATTTCCGTGGCAGATCTGCGAGTATTTCCAAGGGGATGTTCAAGACAAAAAGCCCCGCAACTAACTTTACCCCGCCGAACCGGCGTGCTGCCCCTCCAATGTCCCTCCGCCAAACCAAACCCCACAACCCCCGAGAGCAGTGGTTCCAACAAAGTGCTGACCAGCCGCATGACAGGCCAGTAAAAAGCAGGGACAACGCCGGAACAGGCATTTTCCAGAAAACTAATCAACTAATCAACCGATTACAAAGCAATGGAAGAATTCCAACCTCGGACGGCCCCCACCAAGTCTTGATCTTTTGCACAAACTTCGTCTGCCTACACCCCGCAATAAAATCCGAAAATCCGGCGCGATGTGATGCGGGTACACATGGAATGTCGTCACAGTCAAGAACTATTGCGATTGATTGTAACCTTTTTACGACTCCTTGTGGCCCATGATGGCACTTGGTCCACAGTTTTAACCCAGCAACAAGAAAATGAGAACGGTGGGGTTCCAATAGATCGAGTCAAGGTGACAAGGTCCCTGTCACCCTCCCGCGTCTAAAAGGGGGGTCGGACGGGCCCTGGGGCCGTGAGGAGGGGCAGCTAAACCAAATGGTGCCGTCATAGGTAAATAAAAAGGCACCATGTCCCGCTCGTTCCCATCCCCGACTCGGGTGACTTCTTCCCAGCTCTATCAACTCTTCTCGTTTCGTTCTTCCTCTTCCCAGGCGACTGGACCTGTCAATTGGCGCGCTTTTACAACAACGACGCAGAAACAAACGCAGAAACCACCCGTAAACATGTCGGCCCCCGTTGTTCCCACCGCCTACGACCCCAAGGGGATGAAGTTCCGCTACTTGGGAAACACTGGTCTTCAAGTCTCGGTATTCTCCCTTGGTGGCTGGCTCACTTACGGTGGTACTCAGAAGGGCAGCATCGTCAAGGAGATCCTGCAAACCGCCTGGGACCATGGAATTGTGAGCACCTCCTGTCAAATCTCGTGATAAAAAGCTATCAATAATTAACCCATTGGTTCCAGCAAACTTTCGATACCGCCGAAACCTATGCCGCCGGCGCGTCCGAGGTTGAGATGGGCAACGCCCTCAAGGAGCTCGCATGGCCCCGCGACGAGTACGTTCTGACGACCAAGGTCTTCTTTGGCACTGGCCGCAAGGAGCCCAACACCCGCGGTCTCAGCCGCAAGCACATCGTCGAGGGCCTCAAGTCCTCGCTTGCCCGCCTGCAAACCCCGTACGTCGACGTCGTGTTCGCTCACCGCCCGGACCCGGGCACGCCCATGCTCGAGATCGTTCACGCCTTCACCCTGGCCATCAACCTGAACCTAGCTTACTACTGGGGTACCTCCGAGTGGAGCGCCACCCAGATCACCGAGGCCATCGGCCTGGCCGAGAAGTACAACCTGATCGCCCCCGTCGTCGAGCAGCCGCAGTACAACGCCTTCCACCGCGAGCGCTTCGAGGTCGAATACGCCCCGCTCTTCCGCCAACACGGCCTCGGCACTACCATCTGGTCCCCACTCGCCAGCGGCCTGCTGACCGGCAAGTACAACGAGGGCATCCCCGAGGACTCGCGGTTTGCCACCAACAAGGCCTTCTTTGAGAATACCGTCAAGGAGCTTCAGTCCGATGCGGGTAAGGCCAAGATCGAGAAGGTCCGGAAGTTGACCAAGGTTGCTGAGCGTCTCGGTGCTTCTGTCACACACCTCTCGCTTGCGTGGGCTGCGAAGAACCCTAACGTCAGCACGGTTATCCTTGGTGCTACCAAGATTGAGCAGGTCAAGGATAACCTGAAGGCCCTCGACCTTATCGACAAGCTCACCCCGGAGATCATTGAGGAGATTGAGGGTATCTTGGATAATAAGCCCAAGGGACCGAACACGTTTGGCCGGGAGCGCTTGTAAGGGAAGGTGTGAAAAAAATGGTGGGATGTGAGAGGGGTGCAGAGCAATTTTGATACCATGAAAATACAATATGCCACGTTTCAAATAACGAAATGGTATGAATGTTTAAGGACTTGGATGTACGTTACATATGACACGCCCAGTATAGTCGCCCAACACTGCTTGTGACAACATTATGCCCACCCAAGTAGCAAGGGAACGCTTCCTAGGGGTGCAGACCCTGGAGGAAAACCCATGAACCAATGCAAGGATCACCTTCAGGGGACTATCAAGTTAGACATGCGGCAATTGACCTTTCACCCAGCCAGCAGGGGGCACACCCATGTTGACTTGGAGAATGGAGCGAGCTCACAAGAGGTGGGCATTCGAGAGGTGAGATTGCTCACGGTGAACTTGGGGTACGCAGCCTGGACTCGGGGTTGGATGAGGGCAACTAAAGGGGACTAGCTGGATGAGATATTTGATTGGGTGCCTCATAGTTCCCGTGCATTCTTGTGGCGGCACGGCGTGTTCCGTGATATCACATCTCCCTCATAATAATTGGTCCAGCCCAATTCAATGAACTCTACTGTCAAATTCCACATAACTATGAATATCTAAGGCAGCGATAAGCGCGCCATCCCGAGAACTACTCTAACGCATGAGTTCCCAGTTACAACCTGCCAAGGTCTCCTCCGTTAACAGGCCAAACGCAGTCTATGATTCCCGCCGGTCTTGTCTTGGACATAAACCAACATCGCGATTTGTGGCTCGTGCCAGTAATGTCGAATTTGGGTGCTGAAAGTGGAGGCGATGGCTGTATGAGGGTTCCCGCTATTTGTATACGGTGAGGTGTTTTTGGCTGTCACTGCAAAGCTTCTTGCCCGTCTCCATATTCTTGATGATGGCCAAGAGTTGAATGTCGCCAGAATAGGTTACAGGCTTGACGATGAACCCGTACTCGACCCGGTAATGCTCAGACTCTGTGTCACTGAGAACCTGAGACCAGGACCACCGGGTCGTAACTTTCTCTTCACTAATTCGCGTGCCTCTCTTTGGAACTTCGGTGGGGCTAATCGCGTCCAGTTTGGGCTCCAGGGAGCCAACGCTTCTTAACCCGGCCACAAACTTGTGATTCTTCTTTATCTTGAGTCGCACGGTAATTTCTTGTTCCTCCCCAACTTTGCAATAGCCTGGACCTTCCGGCCGTAATGTGATTACAACGTCTAGATCGTTAGCGTTGGCGGCCATGGCTTAAGAACTGACAATTGCGTCTGCGGTAACGGTTGCCTTCGGTGTCTTGTAAGGTGATTTCAGGGTTTCTGATGTATTGTTGTTGTGTGACGGGGACATCAGAGGAGAGGGAATTTAGTAGGAGTGCCACCGTAGTTTATATACCCATCTGTCCGACCGTGATAATACGAGTGACCGGCCCTGATCATGGCGGCCGTCATCATGCGAGCAGGCGGGCCCATTCGTCACAACAAAGAAACTACAACTTCGTCCCATTATATCCCGTTAATTCTCGCCAACCCGTGGGCTGGTCATGAATAAAACAATTCCAGTGGACAAGCAGATGAGGAGTGTGCGGCTGATGGACGTTCCTGGTTATGGAGGACATGATTTCAGGCACATGGTGTTGATCAATGAATGTATTCGTGTAGCATGATTTTCTGTCTTCTGGGAAGTTGGAGTTTAGCTGGATCCCATCAAATGGTGGTTCGATTGACTGCCATCAGGGGAGATCCGAGGGTCCGTGATCATGGCTTCAACAAAGGAAACCAACTTCCGTTCATTGATTTTTGGCCCCCTGAACCCCAGCGTAACCGGCCAACCCTCACAACCCACGTCCTGCCTCCCCCGGCTGCAACAAAAATGTGACCATGCTCCTGAACGGCACATTTCCCGTGACCGTCCCATCCGCACCAACAGCTACTTCCACCTCATCACAGTCCCGCGTGTTATCCGTCACCCACGCCGATGCGCTCCCAACAACAAAGCCACCCCCAACAGCAACGGACACAGTCTGGTCACCACCACTATTAATCACCTGAACCGCGACAGTCCCATTCGCATTCAGAAACGCCGTCGTCTTGACACCGCTCCCCCCTGCCAGTGAAGACGACACCCTGATCGCTCCAGGCCTCACAAACCGGCTCCAGTTAGCCATCGCCCACAACCGCTTGGACGGGTCGACCTGGCCGTTGACGACACGGATCAGTTTACTGTTGGTGTTGCTCGACCGGTCCTGCCCACCAATCCAGTACAAATACGCCGAGACATTCCCCTGGGTGATGGCCGAGTAGATGTTATTTGCCCAGGTCATGCCTTCGCCGGCGCCGCCGTTGGCGTACCACGCAGACGTCCACGCACCGTTGTTATCGCCCCCTTCGGTCATCCAGGTCTTGAGGGTGGTGGATAGCGGAGCGGACGGGCCGGAGGAGTAGCTGTGGCCTGTGGCGATTCCCAGCAAGGCTTGGGTGGAGGCTCCCATTTGGTTGAGCATGGTGTTCATGGTCGACCAGCCCATGGTGTCGCAGCAGGTGATTTGGACTGAGGTGAAGTTGTTTTTGTCGAGGGTTGGACGGAGCAGTTTGATCACATCGGCAGCTTGCGTGCCGGAGGAGCTCATGGAGGCGTAGGAGGTGCTGGGAGTTTGTTAGTCATGTTGTTAACAAGTGTGAAAACAAGTGTAAAAAAGGAGACAGGAAACAAGCAAAAGCTTGAAATAAAGATGGAGACCGAAAGATACCGACGTCCAATCTGGCTCATTCAAAAACCCAACATGGGTAATCGACACGCCCGCCTCAGCATAAAACTTGATATACTGCGCCAAATAATTCGCATACGCCTGTTTCCAATCCCCACTCGAGCACGTCGCTCCGCTTACACCACACAGACTACCCCCATTTGCATCGTTCCCGTTCGTCTTCATGTACCCCGGCGCGCTCCACGCATTCGCATAAAACGTCTTAACCCCATACGTGTTCGCCGCCTCGGTTGACACCCACAGCTGACCATTATCCGACCCGTCCCAGACATACTGCGGTTCCGCGTTGGGTCCGCCGGGGTTCCGCGGCTGGATGGAGACCATGTGGTCGTCTGTCATGTCGGGTGAGGAACCGATGCCGTTACGCAGGATGGTGAGGCCCGCGCCAGTCTCGGTGCTGAAGAGCAGGTCGAGGAATTTGCGCTGCTCGGTCTCTGAGAGCTTTTTCATGGTGAGGGCACGCTGGAAGGCTTCGGATGTGCCGAAGCCGTCCATGGTTTGGTACGTCTTGTCGAGGTTGACAGTGATGGTGCTGGACTGGCGCGGTTCGAGGGCCACGGCAGCGGCCGTCTGGCCTAGCCCAGTCGCGATACTGAGTAAGGTGACGAAGTATAGGGACTTCATTGTGCACTTGGTTTTGAATTTACGCATATGGACAATGTCTGGGAATCACGGTGAAAAATCCGGAAGGGAGAAGGTTATGAATTTGTACCTAGTCTAGACCAATATGACTCCCTCGTTTCTTCAAATTTGGGTCACATTTCACATTGGTCCCATCGTGGCCTATACGTAGCAATCATCGTCTAGAGGTTGAGCTTACGGCGCCTCTTACTAGCCGTTTATTTCTCCGTCCATTAATATCCTCGGCTCGGCACTTTAACCTTAGGTAGCCCCTCTGGTACTGGCATCTAATTTTTCCACGTCTCGTGTTGGCCGGAAATTCTCAACGTGCCGTTAGAGGCTAAATCGGGACGACGTTGCAACGACCGAGGCACCCCAGAATCTACTATCTATCCCGTAATCTACCCAGTCTCACTATGGCCAAAAAAAGCGGCACACCAAGTCCCTGGATAACTTACTTTGCTAGAAAGGTGAAAAAAGACCAAAAAGAATAAACCAAAAAAAGGGAGCTCAGCTTACTAGTGGACATGATCTTTTTACTTCTCAGATTCAAGTCATTGACCAGGGGGCGCTGAGTAGTCTCTGACATTTACTCACTGCAATAATCGCCAACGAGCCCCAGCCTGTCTCGTGTGTGCCACTAGTGCAGGGCGTTGTCCATGGCACTGCCACGCCCGCATCGGAACCCGGGCCACCACGATGCATGATGCAACCGCTGAGAGGCCATCGGCGGTTCATGGTGAGGCATCCAATGAACCATGCGCCACAGTCAACAGCAAGCGCAAGGTCCAAAACAAACCATAAGTTTCATAACAACGATGAGGCTGCAGAACAAGGTGGGCTAACCCCAATGACCAGGGCGGGTATCATGGCAACATACACGCGGAAATAATACCGAGGCCCAGTAACCGGGCATGCCGGGCCCAGGAGGGGTTACAACACCAGCCCCCAGACGGCTTGTTGGTTCCAGATGATGCTCTTGGACCCTGTCATTGGCCTTCTAATGCAACAGTCGGCCCCTTGGAAAGCAACCAAAATGGGCAAGGCTCGGCTGCATGCTCGGCTGCATGCTCGGGCGGCTAAGAACCCTCGGCGGCAATGGAAACCTGCTGCACGAGGCAGACTCTCGCATTCTGGGTGCCAACCAGGCCTCCCATGCTCCCTGCTACCTTGTCACTGTAAATTCACCAGATGAAATATCAAGAGAACGACGACCCGCGCTCAACTGCATCGTTTGTTTTTGCGCTCATACATTTGTGTCACGTTCCTCAATCTAAACCCACCTTCTAAAACCTGCCGCTAATTAACCCAAGGTTCTCCTGTCCCTTGACTCAGTCGCTCGGTATCTAAATTGTGCCAATTGCGTCTCCATCATGACCAGGCGAGTACGTGACCCCCCCCAGCGTTCCCGACTCGATCAAAAGCGCTCCCGTACTCCCCAATTCGCACACCTACAGCTTCCCTGCCGGTGTCGCAAACTCCTGGATCGGCTGCCTTGGAATCAGATAACTTAACCGGGGTAAAACTCAGTACAAGCGTAGTAAGGTAGCTAACAGGTGGAAAGCGTCTTTTTCCAGTTGACGGTGCGTCTGACGGTGCTGGACCCAGTCGAGCACCCGCACCGGACAATCCCATACCGTCCATCGAAGATGATGTATACACCGTTACGGAGACGACCGCAAGTCGCTCTCCCACCCCATCCATCTCCGTCAGCGACCCCAGCGAGGCGGAGCCCGGGGGCCCGGAGCCAGCTTCTCCCCGTGGTGCCGCAGAGCGTGATGCGGGATCTGAGACTGAGAGTCTCCCGGACCGCCTTCAATGGCTCCGCCTCCGTAACTCCACGAGCTCTTCTGCTTCCACCGGGCTCGGATTAGGCAGTCTGCGGGCCGCGCTTCCCAGCGCCGAACCTGGGCGCCGAAGCCAGACCCCCAACCTTCTTCTACCTGATGCCTCTCCAGCTGCATCCCCGGGTGGGCGGCGCAGACGTTCATCTTCAATGGGTCAGCGACGGTACGACGTGAGGGACGAGGCCCCTCCACAAGACCGGTTCCACGAGCCCGCATTCCAGCAGGGCCTCGCCGAGGCACAGACTCTCATGTCCCGGCTGGCTGGAGTGCTCGGAAGCAGTACCTTGCATCTTGAGCCGGATTCCAGTATGAAGGGTCTCCAAGAGAGGGCCGACGAGCTGGCCAACTTCCGGTGTCCCCCCACCAGGACCGTGGGTCTTGTTGGCGATTCCGGTGTTGGTATGAAAATAAGCCCCTTTGAAGAAGCCCCTTTGCTCAGGCCATGCTCTAGGGTTGATGACCAAGAACTGACAATGAGGTGCCCAACCAGGTAAAAGCAGTCTGCTTAACTCGCTCCTGGATTATCGCAATTTGGCCCGAACCGTAAGTGATCCTCTCTATTTTTGCAACAATTCCAGCCGAAGATCAGGGCAAGGCAGCCTGGCTGACCTGAGATTCTAGAGCAACGGCGGAGCGGCATGCACCTGTGTTGTCACCGAATACTACCACCACGACCGTGGAGACTTCGTAGTTGATGTTGACCTGTTCAGCGAAGAAGAACTGGAGCAGCAGCTTCGCGACCTGGTACATGCCTACCGCCACAATCACTTCCACTCCGCGGAAATGGATTTGCCGGACGATAGGAGACACTGGGCAAAACGGGCCAAGTTGGCTAAGGACACATTCAGGGCCATGTTCGCGGATCGCTTTAGGACTGCCCTGCTTCGTTCAGAGAACTCGGAGGACACTATCGTCCAAACGTACCTGAACTGGGCCATGGATCTGCGTCCTATTAACGAATTCGACGGTCGTACCGTCACGGATTCGTTGGAAGACTGCTCGAGTTTGTTGATACGGCTGACTTCGGATCTCGATGGCGCTGAAGGCCCAGGGTGCTGGCCTTACATCAAGAAGATCAGGTATGTCAATCGTCTGAAGTTAGACCACATGATGCCCTAAAAACTAATACAATGGCAGAGTATATCTGGATGCGCATATTCTGAGCAAAGGTCTCGTGCTGGTGGATCTTCCAGGTACGTCTCTCATTTGATCTCCCTAAGCTCTCTGCGTCAATCTCTTTCTCACAACTGGTGTCCCGAACCAAGGCCTCCGCGACCTTAATTCTGCGAGGCGGAACATCACAGAGCGCTATCTCCACCAGTGCGATGAGATCTTCGTGGTCTGTCCCATCGGACGGGCCACCACCGATGAAGGTGTCCAGCATCTTATTGAACTGGCTCGTCAAGCAAAATGGTCCAACGTTGGCATCATTTGCACCAAATCCGATGTAGGCCCCCATCCTCTGCCCAAGGTAGGTATCTATCAATATTCCACCAGCTCACAGCCAGTCAGGATATTCGAGCCGATGAAGCCCAGACAGACTGGGCCGGCGCGCAGGCGACGGAAGTGCAGAGATTACGTGGTTCTGTAGCTGAGGCAGATCAACAGCTTGCTGCCCTTACTGAGCTGCTAGTCGACCCGGATGGTCTCGAAGATATGACAGTCGAGGAAGAATTAGAACAAGCTCAGCTCCTTGTGCAATGCGAGCGGGCAAGGTATGTGCCGGTCTATTTTCGGTCTTCAAATCAATATTCGTGACTAACGTTCCGATAATTATCACAGAGGCGAGATTGAAAGCCGCAGATTCGAGTAAGTGGAAGTCCCGGCGACTCATATTTTGCAATTCACTGACCTGATACAACCGCCGTAGGCTCCAACGATACCTAATCACCACGCGCAACGACAAAGTGGAAGCACGGCTCCTTGCTAAATACCGAGGCAAAATACCGGGAGGCAACCTGCACGTGTTCTGCGCCAGCAACACCCTCTACTGGGAGAAGCGTGACTCGAGGCCGCTTGGGGTGACCATCCAGTTCCTCGAGCTGAGCGGTATTATTCCCATACGAAGGCACTGCATGGGACTAGTCTCGCAGAACCAGCTCCGGATCGCCACCAAGTATCTCCGAGACGACATTCCCAACCTGCTCAGCAAAGTTGAGCTCTGGGTTCAGACGGGTGCGGGAACGGCAGATGCGGAGAAGAAACGCGCGGTTCGGGAAGCTCTGGACCAGCTCGAGGGTCAACTCCGGAGGGTAAGTAAGTGACCGCATTTCGAGACAAACAACCCCGGAACCACAGCTAAGATACGTGCGACCTAATTAACAGAGTCTCGACGGGGTTACATCTCCGCTCAATAACCTGGGTCGCAAACTTACCGATGCGTTCCAGGAGACACTGTACCGGCGTGAGTAGCTTCTTGCAGTCAATTAGCGTCACTTAATCTCCGAGGTCCCGTCTCGTTCTAACAGTCACTAGGGAGAAAAATTAGTCGATGGACTGAAGGAGCTATCCAAGCCGGGCAAGTCTGGTCAGGCGTACGTGTCTCTCTCCCCCGCCAAATACCCCCCTCTCTTCCCAATGACTTCTCCCCCAAAACATAGGTACCTATTCACTGATTCATGTCCCTTACAGTGGTATCATTGTAGGTCGAACAACTTTTACTAAGGTAACAACGAGCCAGAGATGAGAACTCTGTAATTAACCTCCGTGACGTTTATAGCAACATACGCTGCATTCTGCAGAAACTACGGGACGTACAACACATCGGCCGCGGGATATCACTGCTGGAACGAAGAAGCGATGAGGTCAATGAACGACGATCTTGCCGACCCATGGGAACGTCTCGAAACCGAAATCCAGCGCCAACTGGACGCCGGTCAGACGTTTGTCTCCGAGACTCTAGACGGGGCTGTTGCCTTCCACCTTGGTTCGTATCAGTGTCGCAACTCTTTATCAACTCCTTTCTGCAAGGATATCGGTTACTAACTGATTGAAACTCCCCTCTGAAAAGAAGGCAATGCGCTCGACTCATTTCTAGATACGGTCGGCCCCCTTCGGACTGCGTTACAGTCCGGCAATCGGCTTCATGTCAGGGCCATCGAAGACCTCTGCGAAACTTTCGAAACAGATCTCAGGTATCTATCTACCTAGCCACTTGCAAACTATGGCGGCTCTTTTAAATGCTGCTCCATTGTACTGACGCTCACCTCCTCTAGCAAACTCCGAACCGATGCTCTCTCCGGCTTACGCACATCATACTTTGGGCAGAGCATGGAAACCACCTACTGGAACGCAATCTGCGAGGCAGGTCGGTAACCCACCACATCCTCCCTCCCAGGATAACGGTAATATCGCAACAGAGGCTAACATAGCAATCAACAAGCAGGGAAGGGAAGCTGGGACCGCAAAAAGGCTATCATCAACGGGGCTCTCCGCCGCGAGGCGCTCTTTAGAGAACTGATGCAGAAACTCAAGCGCAAGTTTGAAGACCTGGCCACTCAGCTCGAGACGGACGCGCGGGCGGCAGTGGGAGAATACCTTGACGGCGTCAAGAACTCGTTGGATATGGTCAGGAGCGAGAATGTGGCGCTCGAGAGCGAGAGGGACCCGGAATTTAGGACTCGCGTGGCGAAGGAGCTGGAGCGTGTCAAGCGACGGATGGAGCATCACGAGTTCTAGGGTGGAATATTCGACCTTGGCTCCTTGGGTGTTGTAAGAATGCATAGAATGTTTTCACGGCTCATGAATTGAGAGATATTGACTTTTGGATTGTTTCTCGTTACATTTTGCTCCGCATCCTTCTAAGTTCTCTGGTATCTTTACAGAGCTATAATTAAAGCTCTACTTGTATGACAACTGAGACAGCCGCAAGCCCGATACATACCTGACTTTCTGTCCCGGTCTCCTCGGGCACCGTCTTGGCATGATAAGAGAGAGTGGACTCAAAGTTCGGTGGGACAACACAGAAGGGCGTCGCACGTTCTTGTGCAACCAGCCCTTGAGATGACACGATCCACCGACTCAAGTTCAGGTAGTGGGTACTGTACGCCTTTGGTTGTGCGTAAAGAGCGGTGGATCAAAGTAACTCCTAGGCCACGCCGCGTAATGTTCGCACATGGTACAACAGAATACGCACACCTCATTATCAATCCTTCCCTCACGTTAAACCCAGCTTAATAACGAAGTGGAAGGTATTGATTGGATCTCTTGACTGGCCCGGTTCGGTTCCTCGGATTCGGGGGCAGCGGGGGGAAATACATTTATTCCCGGGCCAAGACGCAGAAAAGTGGGACCCCCACCTTCCGCTTTGGACCTCCGGTTTGCGCCCGGTTTGACAGAAGCTCCACTGCAACGTCAAGGAAAGGGCGGATGTAGGACAGGACCGAGTCACCGAGGAGGGGAAGGAGGGCGAAGTGGTTACAAATATTGATGTGGGAGCAAAGCAAAGCTCTAAAACCTTTCTTCTTGGCTTCTTTGTAGACCCGAGCTCTGATCTGAGATTTGAAATTTGATATTTGAGAAATAACTTCACCCGGTAACTTACATTGTCAGCACCACCGCGAGCAATAATGTCAGGACAAATCGTCTTGTTTGATATCCCCAGTAGGGAGCCGCGCACATGCTGGTCTCTCAACCCGTGGAAGAGTAAATTCTGACTACTCCAAGTCGTACCTAATTCTGAGTCTTATCTAACAATTGCAGCCCGTATTCTGCTCAACTACAAGGGCCTCGACTACCGTACAGAATGGGTAAGTTCACCTCGGCGCTGTAAACAAAACCCCCTCTTTCTAACGATAGACCCAGCTTGAATATCCCGACATCAGGCCCCGGCTTGAACCTCAGTAAATCACCCTCTTGATTAGCACCTCTCTTTTTTTATGCCAAAAGAAAAAGAAATCTAACAAGTTTCAGCCTCCCCCCCAACGAAGGCAACATGAAATACACCATTCCCACCATCCAACTCCCCTCAGGCGAATACATCACCGACTCCGCCAAAATTGCCGACGCCATCGAGGCCGCCCACCCTTCGCCCCCTGTGCACCTGGACTCCCCAATCCTGCCCAAAATTTACGACATTGCGGCGCGCGTGCGCACCCCCATCCTGGGGCTCTACGCGACTGGCGTGCCGGAGTACATCCTTGCCGAGGCGAGCAAGCCGTACTGGTACGAGACGCGAGCCAAGTTCATTGGGAAGCCGGTAGAGCAGCTGAAGGCGGAGATGGATGTGGACGCGGCGTGGGCGGAGGCTGGGGCTACGGTGCAGGAGGCCACGGCGCTGTTGAAGGAGAATGGGGACGGGCCGTTCTTTTTGGGGAAGGAGATTAGTTATGCGGATTTTGTGTGGGCTGGGTTTTTGCTGTTCTCGAAGAGGGCCAGGCCGGGGCTGTTGGATGACATTCTGGCTCGGTCCGGGGATGCCGAGGCGCATTTGGCTTTGCTGAAGGCGCTGGAGCCGTGGACGGAGCGGGATGGTCATTAAGGAGGCCGCGGGAGAATAGTGTCATGCTTCGAAGGGCAGGCGATAGTGGGCCAGTGGCACTTGGATAGCGCAGCTGGAATAGAGGAAGCACCAGGATCGCTTTTGACACCGGCGAGACCGAGTGAATATGTTCCTTGTTGAAATTGGTATTAACTATGAAGTTTAAAACGCAACGCTATGCATGTATGCTCCCACCACATCCACCTATCCTGACATCCTATGACAACAACCACCCCTGCCTCACGGCCCGCCACCAAGTATGCTCCCCACTATGCCGTTTCTTTTCATTCTGTTCCTCCTCCTCTTCTTCCGTCTCACTTTCACTCTCCTCCTCCGACTCCTCACTGACCACATACCCAGCCTTCCCCTGCTGACTCCCATTTCCATTCGCAGGTCCATTCACCGTCCCATTCACGCCACCTAAACTCCCATCCGTCCTCATGCTCATCCTACTCGCGTCGTAATCACCCAGCCGTCTGCCGTCGGGACCCAACAACCCGTCAATCACGCCCCATAGTTCTCGCATGGCTGCGCTTTCCCGGTTGCCGGCTTTTTTACCGAGGTCTTTGCTGCTGCTGTGTGTATGTCCCTGTGCGTGTGTTTGTCCTTGTGCCTGGGCTTGGGTCTGTCCCACGCCCGGTTTCAAGTTATTGAACACACCGCCAGGGGCGTTCGCAAGGTACGGTGTCCCGCACGCATCACCATCCGCGCTATTATTACGATAGTGCTGCTGGTGGTGATGCTCCGCATGGTAGTGCGTATGCCGGTGGTGACTGAGCTGACTCCACTGACTCCGCTGACTCCGATTACTATTCCTCGAACTGCGATGCATCAAGTCGTATGCACCGTACCCTTCGGAATCGTCGCCCCATCCTTGGCCGTCGTATTGGCCCCAGGGACGTAGCTGGTGGGCGTAGGTGTGGAGGGGAGCGTTGGCGGGTGGGAAGGAGGAGCGGCTGTGTTTGTGGCCGCGTTGGGATCCGTGGGTGATGTGGGAGGCGCGGGAGTGGACGCGGGAGATGGGGCCTGTGCTAGGTTTGGGGCTGGGGCTGGGGCCGAGGCCGTGGTCGGGAATGGGGTTCAGATCGGGGGCTAGAGTGGGGTTGAGATTGGGGTTGTTGAGATTCGGGTTGAGGTTGACGTTCAAGTTGAGGGTTAGGTCGGGGTTGGAGTTGGTGCGTTGAAGAGAGCGGCAGTAGGACCGGGAAAGAGTCCTGGACAGCGCGCGGGAGTGAGTGCGGGATAACGCGCGCGAGTGAGAACGAGAGAGGGCCCGAGAGTGGGAGCGCGGAATGCCGGCGATCGACTCGCACTCGGAGTCGGACTCGTCTTCGGAATCGCCGCCAAAGTAGATGCTGCGGATGTCAAAGTTGTCTGCGCTGTAACTGGCCCCTACCGCCGAGTAGATGCCGCTGCTGATGCCAGTGCTGTCGCTGGCGGTCGTGGATGCTGTGGTCGCGCTGGTGGTGGTGCTGGCGCTTGTGTTGCCGCTTTCGGCGCCGGGCGTAGCGGCTGTGTGTTTGGGATAATTGTCTGAGGCCGTGGCGTCCGCGGTGTTGTCCTCCTCGGCGATGGGCTGGCATGGAAGTGGCTTGTTGTAGTCGGGGAGGGCAGTGAGCGTGGCTGAGACTGGGCGAGTCCGCCGCCGAGAGCTGCCCCTGCGAAGCAAGGTCCCGGTCTGTGGGATTATTTTGTTTTGTGGGCTCGAGAGCGTGATAACAGGGGGCCGTTTCCGTGGCGGGACCAGTGGCGCCGGGACTGCATCTGGGACTGCTGGGACTATTGGCCCTGTTGATGTGGGTAGGTGTGGCATTAATATTTGTGGAATTTGCGAAGGTCGTTGTGGTTGTTGTTCTTGTTGCTGTTGTTGTCGTTGGGTTTGTTCTTCCTCTTGTCGTTGCTGCTGTGCTTGCTGTTCTTGCTCCTGCCGTTCTCGCTGTTGTCTTTGGTACCTCTCTAACGCATGGAGCGGTGGTTGAGAGTACAAAATACACGGTGAGTGCTGAATCGACAACGGGGACATCGAAATTGTCGTATCGAGCATGGTGTTGTCGTTGTCCTTGTCATTGACATTGGCATCGTCGGCCTTGGCGTTGGCCTCGTCAACATGATCCTCCGCAAGCCCCGCCTGCGAACTAGCAGGCCCATTTTGCTGGCCGGCAGGGTTCACAGAAAGCCCGGGGTTGTTGTTGACTCCGCCGCTTCGATCCTCCACACTTGCCGGGCCGGGGCCAACAGGCTGTGCTACCCCCAAGCCCGGCGCAGACACCGTCAGTTGAGGTGCGGGCGGAGCAAGATGAACGACAGGCTCGGTGTTGGCGCGTGCGGGCCCAGGCCGGACGACGGGCGATGGTGGGAGAAGACAGGGGTTGAAGAAATTGAAGACGTCAATGTCGTCAAAGTCGTCGAGTTTTGCTTCGTTCGGAGGTGATGGCGGTTTTACCTGGTATGCTGGGAGTTGTGATGGAGGTGGAAGGACCTGGATAGGGGGTCGGAAGGAGGACGTTTCAAGTGTTGGTGCAGGTACTGTTCCTGGTACCGTTGCTGGTCCCGGTACTGGTACAGATACTGATCCTGCTGGTGGTGGTGGTGGTGGTCGTGCTGCTACCGGTACTGTTGTTGCCGCAGGCTCGGGCCGAGAACCTCCCACAAGAACGGGTTCTGCTCGGCGCCCGTGTGGGATAAAAAGCGGTGGCAACATGTTGGGCCGCATCCTGTATCTCGGTTTCTGCTGCTGAGAGAAACTATCGCGGTGTGTTCGTCTCGCAGTGCTGCTGCTGGGACTAGCGGCCGGAAACGACGAAGGGGCGTGGTACGGCGGTGGGCGGCTCTTATTTGGCCTCCATGATGGCCGGTACACGTGCGTGCCATGAGTGGTCGGCCACGAGGGTGTCATTATGGGCGAGAGTGCGGCACACACACTGACAGTCGGCGGCTTCTAATTTCGAACATTGGTGCAGGAACAACAGAGACATTCAGGAATCGCCACACGGTCGGACATGCGGGCTCCCCGCGAATGACGATGGGGCGGGCACTGGCCCGACTTGTAGTTGGGCATCCTTCAAAGCCCGGCTAGGGTTTTGATGGGTTTCTGTGATTCACAAGTCAGCATCCTGGAAGTTTAGGCCTCTGATCTTCACAGCTTTCCAAGAACGTATTCGGTCTCGCACATTGCCTCCCGAATCATAAACTAGCATGCCCTTGTGCCCCTGCTTCAGCCTCCAAAAAGGACGTTCCGGGGAACAACAACCAAGCTTGCCCCTGGCTTATCACAGTCGCTTGTGGTGTGTTTACTCTTTTTTTGGTCTTTCGGCTCCCCCGTCTTGCCCGTCAACCCCCGGACTCCAATGTCCATCCATCTTTCGTTCTTTCAAGAAATCGCAGATCTTGGCACCTCCAGCGTTGTTTCCGCCATGGGTTAGCCCCTGTGGATGCCGTCCGACAATAATAGAAGTCGGCGTCAAAAAGACACCGATCTCACCCAGCCTCATCCCTGCCCCTTACCTCGGCTTTTGAACAACCCTAACCCTCCGCCGACACGAGAGCTGAGTCAAGCTGAATTGACAGCTCACACGACAATTCATCAATTTCTCTTCCCTTTTCGATAAACGACGAACAAAGTCAAAAATAAAACCCCAGGAAACAAAACCAAAAAGACATGGTCAAAACTAAGACATTCGAGCCACTGCGCCTTGTCAACCGTCATCCTCACCCAAGGAAAGGATCAACACCCGAGACAGCCAACACAGAGCGAACTTGTGGGGATGCTTACTTTTAGTGGCTACTGGTGGCGTGCGCTTGGTGCCAGCGCCAACGCGCTTGAGACACGCTTGGTTGCTTGGTTGCTATTTGCAGCCCACGAGACATGAACATGAAAAGAAAGTGCGCGTGTCGATCACACACCTGTCCCTGCATTTTCAGCATCTGCCAGCAATTATTTTTGCCGGCTCGGCTGTGCCCGAGCTCATTTCGATATGTCGGAAGCTGAACGGATCTTTTTTTTTTCTCTCTCACCCTCTCAGCTCTCGTTCACGCTCCGTCTTGATTCGATTTGTTGACATCTCGGATGCGGCAAAGCACACTCGCAAATCGCGCGATCGGCTGTCATCGTAGGGCCAAATGACGGATGTTGCAAACCGCTTACCTCCGAAAGGGGCGGGTTGTTGCCCGCGGACATTCCGCGTCTGGACGACCAACCCGCGGAGACGGAATACCTCCGCCGCTTCATTCCGGCGCATATTTTGATATTACAGCGTAGCTGTGCATGGCGCTGTGCATTTGGTTTGTGCTTGCTCGGTTGTGTGCACGGTCCTTCTTATCGAGAAGTCGATCTTGACGTCCAGAATAAAAATGGAAGGTTTCTTTTCTCGTCCCGCCCCGGTGGGTATCGTCGATGACACCTGATGGCCCCGTCGTTGTCTCCCCCACAAGCATCATCGGGCCGTCTCCGAGCCGGATGACACCGGTTTCTAAATGGATCATGTACAAAACCAGGGAATTCACAGCCTTGACAATATAAACAGCAACTGACCCCCACCATGCAATGTCAGGTAACGTTAACGAACGTCCAGCGTATTCCGTATTTCGCTTCGCAACCCCCGGCCGAACACCATGCAAACAAAAACAGAGAGATATGAATAGTGTAGACGGACAAATCAGACAGCCAAACAGCATAACCCTTCCAAAAGAGAACGCCTCCGATGCATTTGACCCTGTCCGCCCGAAGAAAAACAAAACACTTGGGGAATAATTACAAGAACCAAACACCGGGCACCGAAAACCGGCCGCGCAAGAAAGGGTAGTAGAAAGGGGGTAGCAAGCGAAAACCCCGACCACAAAGCCGGCTTGGCCGCAACAAGTCTGTCACTCCTGAACCACTTGGTCCTTCACTCACTTGCTTCCTCTCATTAACGAAACACCCTCAACACCTTTCTCTCACTCTCCATGTCAGTTCTCCCCTCACCACCAAATATCCCCTCGCTGCCCAACCCCACCAGGCCCGGTCACGGCGACCGCTGTCCGACCCCCATGTGTCGGCGACCCGGAGCTCGAGCCGTACCCATTCCCACTTCCACTTCCATTTCCGTTTGCATACCCCCCACCATACCCGTTTCCGCCCCCATTTACCATACCACTGCCATATCCATTCCCAACACCATACCCATTCCCATTACCGCTACTATACCCATTGCCATTACCGCTCCCAAATCCATAACCGCTCCCGGTCGAGCCCAGCCCGGACGCCGAAGTAGCCGACCCCGGTGACCGAGGTAGTCCGCCGCTAGCAATCATGCTGTTCCACACCGGGCTGTTGACCCTGCTCCGGACAGTGGGCGTCCGTCGGCGGAGTTCCTCGAGCCGCTTCAGCATGTGGCTGCGGTTCCAGAGCCGGCGCACGTGCAGTTGCTTGGCGGGCGCTGGAATGGGAGTGGGCGAGTGAGGGTTCTGGTGGTGTTGTAGATAGGAGCCGGAGCGGGATTGCGGGTGAGGGCGGGAGTGGGAGTTGGAGCGGTGGCGGTTCTCATTGGCGTCGTCTTCGTCGTCGTCGTAGTAGTGGGAAGAGTGGTGGTTATGGCGGCCAGGCGTTGATGGTGGGGAGGCTACCTGGGGTACGTGCTCAAACAGAAGCATGGCGTCCGCCCATCGGGCGGCAAGTGCGGCGTGTTGGTCCATGAATGTGAACGTTACGGCATCCTCGTCGTCCGGAAGCCGGCAGGTGATGAACCTTTAGGGTACGTTAGACTGTCTGTTTCTCACACATCGATGGGACGAGGAAGAAACTCTGAGCACATGTTGCGTTGCGCTGCGCTAAGCTTCCTTACGGGCCTTGACTCACCAGGTGATAAAGTTCGGCAGCGATAGGGTGACCTCCTTCGAACTTGTGTGAAGTTGTGGCGACCGCTGATACCCCGGAATCGTTTGATACTGCGGTGGCCGTAGGTCTTGAGCGCGGAGATAGGCTGCGTAGGCAGCTGCGACGGCTCGGTCTGAGAAGACCAACCGCATGCGGTCGTCGATGACCGACACGTCGATGGCGACGAGGTTCGGCATGGTGATGGTGGGTGAGGATGTGAAAATCTCGCGCGAGATCTCACTCTGGTGTTTTCGGTGTGGGTGGCGGTGAGCGGTGAGCTGGATCACGGGTGACTCTGCAAAGGGGTCCTGGTGTTCGACTTGCACGAATGGCAAATCCGTTAGTTACGCTGTTGAGCGATGATGTGTCTGGTTAATGGTTATTGCTTCTCCTCTCCCAACAGCCTTTGGTTCCTTCGGGTTGTTCTTGAGGAGAGCAGTCCAGCAGAATATCTCAAGACCGAGCCGCGCCGAGTCATCGCGGTTTTCCTCCTCCTTTGTCGTGTTGGCAATCAGTCCACTGCGGTTCTGCTGGCCCCTCCATCCTGCACCAATGGTAAGGCTCCAGTTGTTCGGCTCGTGGTGTCCTTTGCCCGTCCTGCAGATGGATGCTGCAGAACCGTTCCCACTTACTCCCCCCATGCAGCCAGTCAACAGAGCCCCAAGCCCGCCACCGCGATGCTCCAACTCTCAGCCCAGCCGCGAACGCCTGACCGCCATCCATACAAGAGTGCAGTCGACCCTCCTTGAAACGCGATGTCGTTGGGCTGCCAGTCCCAAGAGTTTCAGTCAGGTACAAATGAGTGGGCACGCCCGCATTTTCCTCCGCCAAATTCTCGTCGGTCGGCCTGGACCCAGGCTGCGAAGGACGGCAATGGTTGAGCGTTCGGAAGCATGGAGCTCAAATCGGTCGAAATGGACCAAATCCGAAATATCTACCGCGCAGTAAGTGATGTGCGAGAAAACGGTGAGGTGATGCAGGCTTAAAAAAAGCCGGGTTTCGCGACGCCATTTCCCAGCCGTTGCCGCTTTTTTCCCCCTGTGGTTCCGGCGCTGCAGAACAAGACTGCGGAAGCGTTGCAAAATTTTCCGTTGGGCCGAGAACGCAGCCCAACCCAAATGTCTCAGGCTACGAGCATCCCGCCACCATCGTTATCTCTCAATCGTAAAATAATAAATCCCAGTGTCGACATCGCGGTAAATAGTATTTGATGATAACGCTTCGAACTTCTCCCATCCTTGGTGATTGGGAACATCCTCGATCGTAGCGGTCGCCACGGAAAGCGTCTCAGGACAGAGGCGAGTTATTGTCTCAGCGAGCCACAGCGGCGGCTGAAGGCAACTCCCTATCCTTCCTCCCAAATTTTTTCCGGGATCCCTTTTTGGGAAAAGAGAGGCTCTCGTGTGTTTTGTTTCGTTGGCGTTCAGTCTGTGGCAGAAGCGATTCCGGCCGCAACTTGGAAAAGTGGGTCTACGCTGAGGAATCCGTGCGAAGTCAAGTCATCGTGAAGCTTGTGAACCGAATGGTGTTGGGCCAAGCTGGAGAGGCACTTAGGCAGTGATAACCATGTGGGAAACAGACAAGACTCGGAGAAAACGTCATAAGATAAGCATCAGAAATTATTGTTGTGTTTCACCTGGCAAAATGCGGGAGCCGCAGTCCACGAAGTCCTTTTTTCAACGTCCATCGGAAGGGGCGGTCCGGCCTGTAACCAGGTTCGGAAGGTGGGGCCATGGCTATCAAGGTTCTCATTGCCGGTTCCCACAAAGCTGAATTTAAGGATCATGGTTGCCCTTTTCGAATCTTGGGGCTCGGGAAAGACCATGACCGTCGAGTAACATGTCCTGTTCACGGCACTTGTACCTTTCTCATCACCTCCCGCTTCTTCACACCTTTGTTGTTCTTCAGTCCCCTTCCTAAATGCCAAACCCCAGCCCTCATTCAACACTCGAATTAATTTATAACTTTGTCGATGTTTGAAGACTCAATTTTGACCTTTAAGATATTACTGGCAGACAGGGAAACACCAGTAAATTTTACCCCGAGAAAAGAAGAGGATTATGTGTGTTTGCTGAGTGTCTCACCAAATGAAATTGTATGGTATGTGAACACGAAAAGCCAGAAAATGTTGCTTGGCTGGATAGAGGCAAAGCAACCATCAAGGTTCTCACAATTTCAACCGTCAGGATTGCTCGGCAATATTGCGTACATTCTGGGCATTTCAAAAGCCAATGAGCTGTCTGATAATTCCCCGTCTGCTCATGGTTGCAAGACCAGCGTGGACCTCCTGGGCTCGGTCACTTGATTCTGTGCGCCCTGCAGACGGGATGCCACCCGGGCTTGTTCCTTATGCTAAGGTTATTCGCATCCCGAGTGAGCGCGAGTTTCTTCAACACGCGCGTGCCTCGAGACACATATAGGAGACCATGAATAGAGGGAATGGGGGGTGAAAAACGGCTTTCGAATTTCCATTGTTCTCCCTTTAATACCGCTCGCTCCCCGACCTAGTCTAAACCATTTGATCCTTTCCAGAGAAGACTTCCAGCCCCTCTCTATACAGTCACCAACGTTTTTACCAAGACTCTTGGCCCGTGGGGACCAACGATATATCTTTCTCACGCCAAGTACGGCACCTTGACGACTCAGTTGCAGCATGGGTTCCCTCGGTGTCTCCGCAATCATCCCGCGCAATTTCCCTTGAGCGTATGGCTCATAAGTCGATCGCGTGCCCCAAGTAGACAGGAAGGGGAGTAGAAACCAATACTCTGAGCGTGCGTCAGTCCGCTGAGTCTTATAACGGGTGGTCACATTCACTCTTCACATCTCCGCCAACAAAACCACACGTCTGCTGTGATGTTTCGGCACAACACCGTCCTCTTACTCGCCGCGGCGTATTGGGGGGTTCCAGCCACGACCCTCGCTGCGGTGACACCCACGCCGACGGAAGCCCACAGCGCTCCCGTCGCATCGAGCTTCACTGCCGTGTCGGAATGCCATCTCCATGGCAGCGCAGTATATTGCGTAGCTGGGACCGCCGAATTTGAGGTCCACGCTAGCGCGACGGCTACACAAGATGTCCCGCCGGCCTTTACGGGGTGTCATAGCCATGGGGCAGAAACGTATGTCCTGCCAATTTCATTAACAACATTAATTACCGCCCGATTTGACTGATATCATTTTTGTGCAGATTCTGCCTTGACCCCAACGGAAATGAAGTAGAACTTCATCCTGCCGGTGAAGAAGAACACGAAGACCATGAAGGACACGACCACGAGTCTTCAGGCGAGAATTGCCATTTCCACGCTGGTGTTGAGTAAGTCCTACTACCTGACCACCTTTTTCGCGTCCGTGTCTGCTAATTACTTAACCACGACAGGCACTGTACCGGCGGTCATGCTCACGAGGCCTGCGAACTGATCCAGAGGGACTACAACGTGTCTCTACGTGTCGGCCTACTGTTCGTCATGCTTGTAACCAGCTCCATTGGCGTGTTCGTTCCGATTCTAGTTGCGTCCTATGTTTCCCCCAGCCATGCGGTTTTCACCATTTTGCGGCAGTTTGGGACTGGTGTCATCATTTCGACGGCTTTCGTCCATGTGAGTGGGGTGTTTCATTGTCGACCATACTGGTTTGCTCCGCGGGTAATTACTGACCTGATTCAAGCTTTACACCCACGCGAACCTGATGTTCCAAAACGAATGCTTGGGAACGCTCGCGTACGAATCGACGGCCTCCGCAATTCTCATGGCTGGTCTATTTCTTTCATTTCTGATCGAGTACGCCGGCAACCGCCTCGTCCAATGGCACCTAGGAAAAGCTGGGTCTGCAAGCGTTGAGTCCGTCAGCTCGGGGAATGTCCACGATTCCACTCCCGCCGCCCGCACCGACATGGTAAACATCATGGTGATGGAGGCGGGTATCATCTTTCACTCTTTGCGTTAGTCCCTCCATTCGCTCTACCGTTCGCTATCCTCATAAACATCTAACAATCTACCAGTCATCGGTCTTACCCTTGTCGTTTCTGGCGACAGCTTTTTCCTCACCCTCTTCGCAGTCATCGTATTCCACCAAATGTTCGAGGGGTTGGCCCTCGGCACCCGTATTGCCGCTCTCGGCCGTGCATCCCCAACGGCCACCATTGACAACTCCTCATCCACAGAGTCAAACGACAAGACGACGACAGTCCACAACGTCACTTCCTCCACGTCTAGCACCGTCACCATCGCCAAGAAGCTGCTACTCGCTTTCCCATTCGCCCTCATCACCCCGCTCGGCATGGCCATCGGTATCGGCGTGCTACACCGCTTCAACGGCAACGACCCGGCCACGGTCATTGCGCTGGGTACTCTGGACGCGTTGTCGGCTGGTATACTGGTGTGGGTGGGTGTGGTGGAGATGTGGGCACATGACTGGATGATGGCCGGCGGGGAGATGACGCGTGCGGGAGCGGCCCGGACGGCTTTGGGTTTGGGGGCATTGGTGGTGGGCATGGGGGTGATGAGTTTGTTAGGCAAGTGGGCGTGATTTATGAGCCGGGTTTAGGTTGAGATGTGTGATGGGGCCACGTGTAATGTTGAAGATAAAGAGGCAGTGCATAGTTCTTTTGTTTCAACAGTATATGGTGTCATCGTATCTTCCTGTCCAACGCATGCTGGCCGAAAAAAAGGTCCGGCTGATATGGTCCGGCTGATATAATTCTGTGAGAGATGAGACTTAATACCAGTCAAAAGCACATGGCCCGGATCACGTCAATGCAATAAGTAGAGTGGAGGTCATATGAGAACCCGAATTTGACACTATGGATCAAACCAAAGAACATATTCCAAAGAAACCTCGAGTGAGATGCTCGGTCAGTGACATGTTTGTAGGTGCTTGTCAAGTCTTTCATGGGGAATACAGCCCGCTCGACGGCCAAGTATTTAAGGCGCGTATATTCCGGTTCCCTCAAGACCCAGAACTTACCCCGGTATGCTAGACGCAAAGGAAAAATCCAAGAATAAGACAAAATACACTAACAGGCCAGGATGTCCAACTCGAACAAGCCCCAAACTTCAAAGTCGCCTTTCTCCACTGGCTCCTCCCCAAGTCACCGTAAGCCAAGCCCTGATGGCATTGAACTGACCACCTTTTCCTCCAATGCCGCACCGTCCTCGAGTACGGTCTCGGTAGCTGGACCTTCGCGGCCCACAGGGCAGCCAACGAATAAGAAAGACGCAAAAAGAGACGCGTTGGCTGTTCCCGGTGGATGGAACTCCGTCGTTGACAGGTGGGCGGAACAGGGGGAAGCCAGAACGAGTGGAGGAGCAGTCGGGAGTTCGAGAAGTGTGGATGTATCAAGTACTATGGGAATGTACGCTCCAAGCTCCCATGCTCCGTCCACAGGCAGTAAGGATAATTCGAAGACGTGATCAAGAAGCCTAGGTAGTTTCAGAATTTAGGTTGAGGGCAGGGAATTTGGGGGCCTGGGAATGATGGGTGGGAATGTTTTGAGGATTGAGTGGCCTGAGACCAGCTTGGCCTTATCTTGGAAACGGCCGAGGGAGGGATGGAAAAGGGGAGTTGACATTAGGACGGGATAACGGAACAGCACACCATTTGCGTTTTGAGATCTATCAGATGAGAAGCTATTTAACTAATGTTAGTTTAAAATCAAGAGGCTTGGTATATCGTAGCTCCATCGTCACATATTGCTAGTCTTCATGGCGTTAGTATGCAATCCGGGTCTGGCAATGGTCAAATAACACTTTGTAGGCCGGACTCCCAACGGATTAATTTACAGAACACAGCAGACCTGTGACATGTCACACCTGTTCGTAGCAAGCGGACTCGCCCGGTCGGAACTGATGACTCCATGTTCCGAAAAGTCTAGCTGAACAGAGCTGGTGACCGAGAGCGAGAGATTGAAGACCCTATTGGAGACCTATTTTGCTACTACTTAGTCGCTGAGATGAAACGATTCGCTATCAAGTTGTGACTGGACAGATGAAAGCCACAGGGAAAAGTTAATTATATCCTGAGTTGTAAATAAGAAAATGGAAGGGATATATTACATAGATATCTAGAGCCGAAAGATCTGAACAACAAATACCGTAAAATCGAATTTGGACAAGATGAAAGAGTGATCCGATGTACGCAGAGCTGATATGAAGAGATGAGGGTGATAGGTGGCAACACAGGGCATCCATTTTGGCGTTGCTAAATCGGAATTTTCTTGTACCATCGTCGAGTCACCGCGGTGTATGTAGGGAATGGTTGATCAGTGCTCAATGACGGACGGTCTTCTACGAACAGTCGCCATGTTCCGGCACACTCGACGTTGCCGCGCGGCCAAAACTTCCTGTCTATTTAAACAGGCCATTTACCTGGATCCATTTCATCCCTTCACACCCTCTTCAACTCGCACCTGCTTCCACTTACTGCCTTACCTCCCTCCTTCCCTTCTTCAAACCAAACCATCCTTTTTCAAACTCAAATCTCGCGTTATTGATTCGGCATCTACCCAACCGCGATAGAACCGAAGCCGAGAATTTTTATCCACCGGCAGTGGACGTACAATTTTATTTGTAATGGACGCTCCTGCCGCCACTCACTATGTCCACCGCGACTATTATGCCATCCTCGAAATCCCGCCGACCGCCGATGAGGCTCTCATCAAATCGAGCTACCGGCGCCTGGCCAAATTGAAGCACCCCGACAAGAATCCGGACAAGCCAGACGCGACGTCCGAATTTCAGCTGGTAAGTCGCCCCCGCGAGGAAAAAAAAACGCAGACATTTGCGTGAACACCGAGCATTATTCACTGATACACTCGATCATCTAGCTCAGCGATGCGTACTCGACCCTTGCGAACAGCTCCAACCGACGGAAATACGACGCCAAGTACTACCCATCGGTTTCGCATCGGCATGCCACGGCGGGACATTCTACAAGGAACCCTTATGGCTTCCCTCGTCACTCTTCGGAAACTTCCGCCCCTTGCGCTGGGCCCGTCCCGAATGACACTATTCCCGACCCCATCACACACTGTAACGCAACAATCGACCTCTACACCCGACGTGTTTTCGAGCTCGACGGTATACTCAACGGCCTTTATGCCAATTATTCCATCCTATCCATGCAGCAGATCACCGCGGAGCAAGACATCGAGAAGACCGAGAATGACCTCGCAAACGTCAAGATCGCCATCAAGCGGGACATGGAGGCCATCCTGAACAAATACAAGGTCGACTCTACCCAAGAAGAGGCTTCCTCCCCAAGGTCCGCTCCCTCTCCCCCAGATGATAACGAAACCACAACCACGGCAACGGTCACTGATACCACCTACCGCAACACACCCCTCTCTGAAGCCGACTTCAAGACTCTCAACGACTGCATCGAGAAATACCAGAAAGACAAACACGCCCTTGAAACCCAGCTAGTCAAGCACAACACCACCGCACACAATCTCCAAAAGCGGATCACCCGCCTCGATCGGGACATGTCTGTGGTGCGCGACCAACGTACCTGGGCCCAACAGTCCCTCAACACTGCCATGTCGGAGAAGAAGTTCTGGAAGGCTGATATGCAGGCCCAGAACCAGGCACGGCAGCAGCAGTACCAGCAGCAGCAACAGCGGCAGCAGGCGGCTGAGGCGGAAGCTCAAGCTAAGGCGGAGGCAGAAGCCCGAGCTGCGGCGATGAACAACACGCAGGTGGGGTCGGCGTCTGCGTCCGAACCGGGCAAGGGAGCGGAGGGCAAGAAGAAAAAGGAAAACAAGGATAAGAAAGTGAGGTGGCAAGTAGAGGAGGAGAAAGCCGAGAAGAAGGTGCTGGATGCCTGGAGGCAAGAAGCGCGGGCCAGGGAGAAGAGGCGTGAGGAAATGAAGCGAGAGAGATGGGCGCGCAAGAACCCGGAGCAGGAGTCTCTTCACCGGGCGTTTAAACAAAAGTTGGACCTCGAACAAAGGGTACTTGAGGAAATGGAGGCTGAGGAGGCGGCCGCAGCGGCGGCACAGCGGGCTCGGAAGGAACAAGGAAAGACTACGATGACGGAGGAGAAGGAAGTGGAGGCGCATGATGCTGAGGCGCCCCAAGATTCCAACAACTGATCACTCCCGGGGGGAGGCCCGGCTCATGCATTTCTCGGTTCAACATACAGACTCTTAGGCTGTCGTATATGATTGTCAGTGGGCTAGAGTCGAGTCCCACAGCCCACTCGCACCAAGCAGGGGATATTTGGCCAGCAGCCTAGGAGGAGGACAAGACAACAGGTGGCAACGGAAAGGCGTTTTTTTTTTTTTTTTCGTTTTCTTTCTTTTTTGTGGGCCTACATGGGTTATTGCCATACACCGAGATACAGGAGCGATCTCTGGTGAAATACTGTAGGAAGGTGATTCAGGAGTTTGGGCGTGTTGCCCTATTTGTTGGGATTTTACAGGCGAGGCTCAAGGGACGGCGATCCGAATGATCGGAAGAACAGCTCAAGACAGGAGCACGATTGTTGTAGCAAGACCATGTAGATGATTAGAGGCGCTTTCGTTGTAGTAGTTAGCCAATGTAAGATATAAACTCTACTAATACGCAGGGTATCTCCGAAGAAAGTGCAGAACCATCGCCAATTCCTATAACACAGTGGCATCAACCTGTAATGCCTTTTCGTTACGCAACCATGCCAAATACCAACCCATCATTGTACCATGTACACACACAATGCCCTTATTAACCCAATCACTTCAACACTTCAACTCGCTTCTCGTCTCGTCTCGTCGTGTTAACCTAAAATCCAGCACCCCAAGTATTACCCGCTCGTCCACCATTCGTCTCAACCTCGTACCTTCCTAAGCTCTCTTGCCACGTTTGCCAGTCAAACCCTTCATCCATGTTCGTATCCATATCCTCGCCGTTGCCCATGGTGGGCATCTGCATGATATCGGGTGTGCCGTTCGCGGGCCAGAGCCACGTGGGGAGGTTCTCATCCGTACCGTTAGAGTTCAGAGAACTTTGCTGGGGTAGGCCGTGTGGTGTGGGTTGTTGTGAGCCTTCTTGCTGTTGCTGCTGTTGGGATTGTGTAAGATTGAGAGGCATGCTCATCGACGTGGAGGTCCTCCCAAGTTGCTGTAGGGTGGGAATTGATGACAAATTAATATCAAAAGTTCCCGCGGACGTACCACCAGTTTGGGTGGGATCATCGGTCGGTTGGTACGGGAGGAATGCAGCACGGGCTAGGTCTGTGGGATCCGCCGACGCCCAAAGAGGTGCGAAATCGGTTGGGATAGAAGACGGATCCGCCATAGCGTCGTCGATGAACTCCATGATTTCCGGTTTGGCAAATTCTGAAGCGGCTTCCGGTATGAAGCTCATCGAGGCCTGTGGCATGGTTTGGCTCCGTGGCAGCTGGCGCGGGAATGACGATGGTTGAGGTTGTTCTTGCGGTTGTTGTTGTTGTTGTTGTGGGGCAGAGATATTAACAAGCTTCCGCCAGCGATCTAGGGCAACAGCGCCCTTCCTTGAACTGGGAATAGTACCAAAACCGTGGGGCGGAGAAATAGGCTGGTCCTTGAAGTCCAGCTCTTGAGCTGCTTCGGGGTCGGTTTGCAACCGCACAATCTCAGCCTCGCGATGCTTCTTCACCTTGATGTACAACTTCCGCAGCGGCATCCACACGGCATGGTGGCTAGCCAGCTTCTCGAGTTCAGCCGGGTTTGGCGACTGGTATGTCAGATTCAATGCGCCCCAAGCTCGTTCGGACTTGGGGCTCCAGGGTCGATGAGAGACTTCGATTAACGTGTACGCTAGCGCATGCCAATGGCTCCATGTCTGGAACAGCCAGCGCCATTGTTTGCACCGTGGGTCTGTGTTGAGGACGTGGCTGTACTCGAACACGTCGAGGGCAGCGTTAAGAAGGCGGGCCCGCACTGCATCAGAGAGCTGGTCGTCGTCCGGCCCCGGAAACAGGACAGGCTGATAAATAACGAGGGTCATCTTGGCGACGATGATGCGTGTGACGATGGACGCGACCCAGTACATAGGGTTGGAACTATCTCTAAGGAGCGAATTCTCCACTTTGTTTGAGACCTCGGACAAGAGTGCCTCACGTTCCTCGAGTGTTTTGTCGGCTTCGGCTGCCGATGGTGGGGCGATCTCGGCTGATACTGTGTGCAAGCGCCGTGACAAGGAGCAAATTTCATAACGAATCAGCGAAAACGTCATGTCCGTGGTGCCTTCTCTTGCCTTGGGAAGGCTCGTGCTTTCGGGCGAGATATCGGCGTCATTAATGTTAAGCGGGATTTGAGTGTCGAAAGTTCCGGATCCGATCGTGAGCTCGGTTCCTTGGTCTTCGGCGGAGCGGAGGTCGAGGACGCACACGGCCCAAAACAGACGGCGGCGCATTTCGATCTGGAAGGGTTTTAAGTTCGGAAAATGGGACCCGTCTCGATGAAGGCCCAGGGCTTGGCTGAGGCGAATCAGCAATCCGGTAAGGCTCCAGGCAAAACGGGTGTCATCGTGCCGACGGACGAGGACGAGGAAGAGCATGAGAGCTTGAACAATAGTGAAATCAGGCTTGGTGAGAAACTCGGCCTTCGCCAAGGCCTGTTCGACAGCGAAACGATACTTTTGGACCAGGGTCTTCTTCTGGGTTCCAAAATTTAATTGTACCTGCGACGAGTCAGCATGTGGCTCCATCCCTCCCATGCATGATATCGTACCTCTTCCTCGTCCAGCGAGGTGATAGCGGCATAATAAATCGAAAACATCAAGGCCTCGGTAGATGGGTTGAGATTATCAAGATTATGTCGAATGTCTTTAATGATCTTGCTCATTGACGGCACGTGGACGACTTTAAGAATGGGATCGACATTTTCCTGATACACCTGCCAGATAAATGGGATCTGGGAAGGCATGGGGTGCAGTTTCTTAAGATCGACGTCAGCCGACCGGTATCCGACAACGAAAGATTGGTGTTCCAGTCGCATTCTCTCGTGCTCCGCGGAGTCAGGGCTGCCCGCGACATCTGACACAATGGACTCGTCGTCACTGAGGTCCTGGGACTCCTTCCGGAGCTCGTCGAGCTAAACCATTGTCAGAGCTACAACAACAAATCTCGGCTTTAACAAATGGACATGAGGCTTACCTCATCATTAATGGATGACCACAGCGAGCTACTGACGTATCGCGTGACACCCCTCTCGTTCAATACCAACCGGCCAAACTGCTTATGCACATCGGGTGACGGCTTGCCTAGCGAGTCCGTATCTGACAAGGAGCCGGATGTCGGCCTAAGCTGCAGCTTCGGGCCAGACGCGCCCGGTGAGTCGTGAGCGGAGCTGCTGCTGCTCGGGGCATTTGGCCCCGCGCCCATGCGGGCCATGATATTGTGGTGATCCTCCTTGAGATATGCAAGCCCACCAGCGTCAGAGCCATGATCTGGGCTGTACGGATGGCGAACCGATTCCACCTCGATCTGGCCGCTGAGCTCCTCGACAATGCCCTCCAACTTCCGCAGGCGCTTCATCAACTCGATCTCGCGCTCGCTCGACGGCTGCTTCGTTGGGGCATTGGGATCCTTGGGACGTGGTCGGCGTGGCGCGCGGCCCGGGGCAGGGAAGATACACGGTATTAGGGCGCGGCGACAATTGGAGCATGGCATGTGCTTGTCACAACGGACCTGCCGGTGGTTAGCCAACCCGTCGGACGTAGGATTACGGGGTTAGAGGGGAAGACCGTACCTTTCTCCTCCGACATGTTACGCAGCTGCGCGGGTTGAGAGCAGGGGATGGGGTAGCCGAAGGGGGGTAAACAGAGGCGCCGGGTGGAGGGTGGCGGGCGAGCGCAATGATCTGTTGTGGATCGTATGTGTCCCCAGCGCCGGCGACTGCAGAGTGATCAGTCGACCGCGGGCTGTCGCCGACCGGTCGGGTGTCGGAGTTTGCGTCCCCATCCATAACCGTAGACACTGTGTAGCCGGCTTTCGTTTTATTATATGGACGGCCGGTAAAAACGGCGCACGAAGTGGACGACAAGAACGGAGGTATCGGTTCAAGTCCGGTTCAGGCCGGACTCGAGGGGCCTGAGGTCTCAGACGGCGGGTCTCGAAAGACTGGGGGTGGAATCTAGAAGCGGATCAATTCGTACGTATTATTCAATACAGGGCGTTCGGGGGGCACCGCAGGCTGCCAGCAACCGGTATGTACAGCGTCTTCGATGGGGCGGCGAGAATGAATCGACGAGGTACCAAATCTTCTAGTCTCCGGGATCGATGATGATTCGGAGATAAATGATTCCCTCACCCAGCAGGGGCGGGAAACGGAAAACATTCCATGGTGGGGTCACACGGCACTGGCCAATGCCACACCGAGGCCCCTGCTCTAAACAAAGCCCCCGCAGGAGCCTGTCGTGAAGCCCGCCGACAAGCTGCCGCTTTGGGGCGATTTTTGGCGACTTGTCCCTGGTTCTTATTCCCGCCAGTTCCTTCCGGCAACCTCAACTGGATGGTGGGGATAACGAACGCCCGGATCTGACGGCCTCGGGTAGACACCCTGGAAGAAACTGCAGGAAACAGTCACGCACCTGCATCCTTTGCGTCCACGCGATCATCTGTGCTTTTCCATGCCCGTCGGACCTCCCGTGGCTCGGCCGAGGAAAGCTCGCCATAATTACTTTGGACTTTTCGCTCCATTGCTCATTTCTAATATATCCCGTAAACGGGGTACCCCCAGAAGTTGCCCATCTTGCTTAAGGAAATCACTCTTCCAACGGCTTCTCATCACCCACTCCATGCAAACGGCAAGCGGTTAACGGCTATCCCCGACCAGCGTTTCGATCTCAGGGTGATCCTTGAGCAGATTGACAATGGGCAGAAAAACTTGGGGTGTCTCGTCGCCCCCCGCAATGGCAACCTTGACGTCAGCCCAGGACCGCCATTTCCAGCTCTCGCACTTCTCAGGCTCTAGAACCTATTCATGTGTCATGACTCCTGATTAGTCGATACAGCCTTGTGAGGGAAAATTGGGCCAGCGAAGTGGATATACCTCCGGTTCTTGAGCCTCATCAGCCCTGCGACATAACACAAAGATGGTAATGTAGTGCTTCGTCGCACTAAAGACATCGTTGGTCAAGGCTAGGAACTTCTCCGCCTTCACAACGAGCCCCGTCTCTTCAAGTGTTTCACGCTCGGCGCACGAAAAGTAGCTCTCGCCAACTTCGAGATGGCCGCCGGGGAACTGCCACTGTCCTTGATGTTGGTCAGTGCATGTTCTTCTGTGTTGAGGTTCTGGCCATCGCCTTGGGGCCGTACCGTGGCCGTGCGAGCCCTTGCGAGTGCCAGTGACCATGCGTCCCTGCGCATCTTGCACAATCGCGGCAACGCCCACCCTGACAACTGGAGCTGTGGCCATGTGTTGGTATTCTTTCGGCCTAAGTCAAGTCTGTGTCATAGTTTGTTTCGCTTGCCCCTCCGTTGGCGGCCTTGTCTGGCGGAGAACCCCCGAAACGGCATTGTTCCGAATTAGGTATAGCGCCATGCAAATTGACATTTTGCTCAACACCAATGCCCCGCAGCGGTTGGGCCCGCCGAACAAGGCCTACCATGATTTTCCAGGCCATCGAAGTCGGAGCATTCCTACATTCCGGGTTGCATTGTACACTACCTATTTGGAATAATCTTCGGTACCTCCCAATCAACAAGAGACGCCAACCACAAATCCAAGATCATTTTCAAGTAGCTTCGGTCTTGCGCGCGCTTGCCCGCTCGGCTCTCATCCAATCCTGAAGCAGTTTGTCGCCTTTAGCAAATCCAGCCAGCGCACTCTGTTTCCACTCCTGGTATAAAGGAATGTTTGCTCCGTCCTCCTTCCCCAAGAAGCACTTTCGTAACCCCTGGAAAAGGGGCTCGAAATCGACCATGTCTTGAGGTATGCCGCCCCCCATGAAAAACAAGCACCGTTGCCATTTGCGGCTCCGGCGGATCAGCTCTGCCATATCAGCCCGCCCACGCCGTTCAAATATAGCAGCAAACTTGGTTTCTTCGTCAGAAAGTTCGTTGCTTCCATCATAGAACTCTCCAACCAGCCACATCATACAAGGCGAACTAAACGCGAGTTCTTTAGCCTCCGCAGATGCAAACTCCCAATCGATCACTCCGGTAATGTTGTACTCGTCATCGACCAGAATATGATCTCCTTTGTCATCGTAATGTCTGAGGTAGAACGGCCCAGTTTGAGACGCCGACTCAGCCACAAGTTCGGGCAAGGTCTTGAAGCGCCAGAGAAAAGCGAGATAGTTGTCTACCGGCAAGCCGCTAACCTCACGCGTGGCGAGCATGTATTGCTGTTGCCTCACCAGGGCTGTGTATGCCTCTGTAAGTGTATCGAACGGTCCCAGCGCTCGATCTGGGGTGACGAAGCAGGGCGCTTGGGCAAAAGGTCCCACTTGGGTACTTCCCTTGTTGGTGATTGCCGAGTTGGAAGACGGAACAAGAGAGCCGGTCAGAGGGATCGGGTGTTGTTCGAGCTCGAGATACAGATCTGCGAGTTGCTCCATGACCCGTGTTCGTTGATGTTCAGTAGCATCGCTCCAGTCCAGCGGCTTACCGGATAGCTTCTCCATAAAAATATAGGAAACCCCCACGGCGTTGTCCGGCGAACTCGGCTCGTACGCATACACCCGCGGTACAGGCACCTTAGTGTCGGCCAAGAATTGAAGTGTTGCAACTTCACTCAAAAATATCCTAGCCTGGACCTCAGGTGGTGGCAGCAGAGGATCATCCAGGCGAATCCGCGCAAGCCAAATGACACCGTCGTTGAACTCAATCTCAAGGTGGCAATTCTGACCACCACACCGGCTCATAATACGGTCAACCTGGGCGTCTGGTGCAACATCTTTTCCAAGAGATGAGATACTGCAGGGCGTGCCGTTGCGAGCCCTACTAGCCGCGGCCTCCAATGCCTCCACATTGATCTTTGCCAGGAGAGCTACGAGGTGATATCTCTTGGCTGTAGCATAGGCTACACCGGCGAAGAAACATGTTTGGTTCGCAGGATAAGATTTGAGTATGAGGGCGAGGCGGCTTTGCGGAGGGGAAGAGGAACTCCTTTGGAAGCATAGGAAATTGTAGCGAAACTACAGCCCGGAAATATAGCCGTAATTAATCCAAGAAACTGCAGCGTTGTGGGGAGTAGAGGAGGAATAAAATCTGTACTCAGCTAAGCTGAACTTGAACTGAAGCATTCAAGAAAGGAACCAGAATTATTTCTCTGGGATTGAGACCTACTGCATTGCATTAATTAATTATGGGAACCAACGGCCATGAGTGAACAGCAAGACAAACGACAACTGCATACCACACAGTGTCAGAACCCAAATTTACAGAGTCTGATACCACTCGGCTTGAAAGGGCACGGAGGGCATGAGATCCTCTGGCTTATAACTACTGAAGGAGTGAGTAGTGACCTAGTCTCGCGGCTCTTACAGGTAGAAATGCAAGCATGAATTTATCGTCGAAAGTGTTGATGGTACCCATTCTCGAAGAGAGGGAGCATGGCGCACTCAAGTATTGCCTAGCCGATGCTAGGGTTCTCGTCACCACATATGAGAAGCACTAGTGTAAAATGGAGCTGGGGGTCAGAGACAAGGAGGACTTGAGGTATTAACACTTAACCCCAAGGGCTCAAAGCATGGTCCGCGTCGAGGACGGAAAGGATATGAGCAGGAGGTGTAAGTACTGTAATTATTAGGTCAGTTTTCCAACCGAGTGGATCCAACTATAGTGATCTTGGGGCTCAGAAGGGCGCACTGGCACTGGCCGCAGAACGGCGCACTGGCCGAAGTGGTTCGAGGAGGTGCTTCGGCATAGTCAACACCGACCAGAAGAAAAGGCTCTGTGTTTCCGATATACCTAGGAGACAGAAACGAATAAGAGAGAGCAAAGACAAGGACTCGGTTGAACAACGCACGATACACACGAAATACTGACGGTTTTTGGTGAACGGCGTGGAAAAACTTTCTCAAGATGTGCACTGGTGTGCAAGGCTCGGCGAAAAGTGCAACGACGACCCTTGTCGACCCCCACCTGTGATGCAACACTCCAAGACCCCGGCATCCTTGTCGCCGGAATCCGGGAGGCGAAGAAGACCCCAATCCCGTTCACAGCAAATCCAGAAGTTTTTGCCGCTGCCAATGACTCGAACGCAGGAATGTTTGGGCCCAAAAAACTTTAAAAAAGGCGCACCCGACGTGGGACTCGAACCCACAGCCTCAAGATGCACTTCTACAAAGAAGGATTAGAAGTCTTGTGCGCTAGCCAATTGCGCCAGCCGGGCCGGATTATTTCGAATTCTCAAACCCAGGCGCTTTGTACGTCGCCATGTCAGCACTCCCAGGGAGCGATAACAGTCATCTAGCACGCTGGTAAACGCCGGTTGACATAATTATTTAACGACAGCAAAGTAGCGGCCTTAATTTGTAGTGCTGAATTCGGTCATGAGTTGTGTTTCGCTTCTACTGGAATACAACACCTTAGTAGGGACTTGCAACGTTCGAGAAGTGAAGAAGTTAAGCGAGGTCGTGTGTTACCATGATTCCATTTGTTAGAGAACAAACAGCAGAACCACTAATACACGCCCGGAACACCTCTAAGTGCTATGAACATTCGTTGGCAATATGTTCAAGGGAATTTTATCACTCTGATGTTATCCACAGCTCAGATGGGGGTACCTATGTTCCATACCATTTACAGGGCGGACTTAATTTATGTATTTTTGTTTTGTTGTTTCCGCCCCTTATTACTTTTCTTTTTTAAACCTTTCAAACTTGTTTCCTTACCGACCGCTGGCTCCTTCAGAAAGCCAAAGCACAATGGAAACAGTTTTCTACCACAATTCCTTTATTTGTCACGAATGATTCCATTCTAAATCCAACCACTTGGACCCTCAGACTACCAGGTATCAGCCATCCTTTCCCCACGTGTTCCTTTCCTCCTTCACCCAGCCTGTTGACAGCGGACCATGACACCAAACCAAACCCCTCTCCCTACCCTCGCTCCATCCCAGCCGGTGGTATCTCCATGGTCATTTAAACATAGAATCCATGACAATATGCAACGTGATCATTCCCCAATTTAAAACCGTCCTATGCACCGCCCATCCAGGATTTTCAGTGGAAACAATCTATCCGTGTATGTTTGCCCATCCTGGTATCCCAGAAAAGAATTTGCTAATATGTGGCCATCAACATCAACGTCGGCATAAATAGACATCAATAAATGTCCTGCATCATCGTCTGTACGTGAACCAATTCCCCATCAACGTAACCCACCGGGGCCCTTCTCCACCACAAACCGGATTGGTTTCCTCACCCTCCGTTTCCGAGCTCCTCGGGGCGGCACCACCGGCCGCATGACGGGACCAGGCCCGAGGGGCTTCATCATACTAGCTGGGGGGTGGTTGATGTTGCCGATGCCGGGCCCTAGAGAAGAAGAGGACTTTTGCAGTCCGCCCCCGACCCCGCCAGCGCCAATCTTCCCTCCCTGGACATGGAGGAGCGCATTCTTGACCGCCGCAGCAGCGGCCGAGCTGGACGAGTTGGAACCCGAAGTGTTACTACCCCCAGCAGCAGCGATCGCCCATGCCCCTTCCTCCGTCTTCCTCTCATCAAATCCCCATCGCCCCACGCCGCCTCCGACAAGCCAGCCTCCCAAATTTTTACACTGGCTCACATCCACCCACTCGAGCCTCGCACACCCTTCCAACACATTCTCAACCCCATTTCCCGTCACCCTCACACACCCCCTGACACTGAGTCCTCTTAACTCGTTCAGATGCAGCGCCACACACCCCAGGCTCGCGTCACTCACAGCGCTCCCGCAAAAAGCCATCCTCAGCTCCCGCAGCAGCGGCAGCCCCAGGGCCACCACCTCCGTCGCGGTGTCCGATAGCGCGCAGCAAAAGCTCAAATCCAGATGTGTCAAACTCTTGGCAGCACCCACCAACGCCACGACACTGTTATCCGACAGATAGGTGCAATCCGCCAGGCAGAGATGTGTTAAACGTGTGAAGCGGTAGGGCGCCCAGGCTTGGAACCCGGCGTCGGTGATGGAGGTGCAGCGGGTTAGGCTGAGGGATTGGAGACGGGACGCCGCGTGCGCGGCGAGGTGGGCCATGGAGCGGTCGGTGATGTGTTTGCAGTAGGAAAGGTTCAGCCGGCGGAGACGGGGGCAACCGATGATGGTGCCTGGGGGAGGGGGAGGTGGGTGCGAAGGGGGTGGGTTTGGCGGTGGTGAGCGGGCTAGTTGCTGCTGCTGCTGTTGCTGCTGCTGCTGCTGGGCGCGACGGGTTTTGCCCGAGGGGGCGATGACAACGTTTTTGTTGTTGGCTCCGTTATTCGCGGGGCCGTTCTCACGAGAAGGTGGTGGGTTTGGCACAACCCAGCCAACGACTCGCGCTAGGAGGTTGTCACCGACTTTGCGACAATTGCTCCAGTCTACTTCCTCTAGGCCCTTGGCACATTCGCTCATCTCGAGGATCTGGGATGCCGATACGTCCCAGACGCTGCGCATACGCCAGATCTTGACATTTTTCCCGCAGGACCTCCAGAGAGTCTGGAAGCCCTGGTCAGTGATATGGAAACAATTGCTGATATCAAGCTCGACTGGGCGAGTGCCAAGGAACGGGGCGATGATGTTAGCCACGGACCAGTCGTTGACTTTGCGGTTTAGTTGGCCGAGGTCAACGCGCCGACACAACTCTGGGCTAGTTGATAGCATGTGCTGCCAGCTCTTGCAGACGCCCCTCAGTCGAATCATCTCCACCAGGTCCATATGTTTGAATACCTCGATCCAAACCCTGTCGGGGAACCTGGCGATGCTCTTCCCCTTTTCTGATTGAGGGAAAATGCGGGCCCTTTTGGGAAGTGGCGAGTCATCCAACGAGATCGGAGACAGAAGCGGGGGAGCTGGAGTGACGGGAGGTACCTTGATACCGCCCACGATCACGCTGCAATCCGTCTGAGGAGTTGGGGGGGCTAGGGAGTTGCGCCGCCTATTCCGTAGGTTCTCCATATCCACGCTTAGGAAAGGGTCCGGATCCGAGGGACGGCGCGTGTCTTCCTCTTCCGTTGGTGGGGAGACAGGTTGTGTAGGTATGGAGAATGTGACGCCCGGAATGGGCTTTTCGATCTGCGGTTGTGGTTCGGCTTCTCCATTTACCGGCGCATCCTCCATCTCGACATCTTCCGTCTCGGGGTGAAAACGTTCCCGGGCCGTTTCCTCAACCTGGGACTTCACTCCTGGCGGGCATCTCTGCCACAGCTCGTCAAGAACATCGCCAGGAATGATGAGGCACTCGACGTCTGACACGGCGCGTACCGTGGCTGTTCTCCACTGAGAGAGACCGAGGCTGGCAACCTCACCAAAGTACTGCCCTTGTTTTAACCTGGGCCGCGCATATGTAGTTTTCGTAGTCCGCCTCAAAGTGGGGCTCACGGGCTCTTGTACGACCTCGGCCTCGCCACGAACAATGAAGAATATGTCATTGCCTGGAGCGCCCTGGCGGACAATATCCGTAAACGGTGGGTACGACTTTGGCTGTGCGTTGAGGCCGAGGAAATGGAGGATGTCGCCTGGTAATGTCGCAAACAGGGGTAACTCTCGGAGTGTGGTTCGCACATTGACATAGCCACTACCAAGGGCACTCCCACTAATGGCGGAATCCTCGACAACCCCTGGACTTGGAGATTTGCGTTTCTTCGTGTTCACGACGGTGCCCTCCTTAATGACGCCCACTTCCCCCGTGCTGACCTCTCCGGGGATGGGCTCGCGCGCAAGGCTAGCAGAACTCGTATCGGGTAGCTTGACCGGTTGACTTCCCTCCTGTCTTTTCTTCTTCAGGATCGCTAATCTCTCTTGGGCTTCTTGACGGATTGCCTGCTCCATTTCGGGGTATTTCGGAAGCTCGGCCTGCAAGTCCTCCTTTTTGAGCACCACCAGCAGACACTTAGTCCGCGCAATGATCGTGGCAGTTCTAGGCATGTCCATGAGCACGCCGATTTCCCCAAAGAACGCACCGGGGTTGAGCTCGGCGTAGACGGCCTCTCCGTCACGGGAGGTGACGGCTACCACGCCCCGCACAACCCAGTACATCGCTTTGGCGTCATCTCCTTCCATCAGGATATGGTCGTGGGCAGCGTGGATCTGAGGTCGCAAGTGCTTGCCAATGGCGGCTAGAAAGTCGTCGGGGGCGGACATGAAGAGTGGAAAGGATCGGATGCGGTCGACTAGGTCCAAAGGCATGTCCGGGATGGTCGAGGCGGTCAGGGGCGAAGGGCGTATCGGGCGGGCTGGGTTGGTCTCGACATTGAACGAGCGCAGGACGGACGAGACTGAGTCACGCGCCTGCTGGCCGTTCTGGGTTCCGCTGGCGCCATACTGGGCTTGGTGATGGGCCAGGGCGCGAAAGGGCGAGGCGGCCGGGGGGGTGCGACTGCGTCGCATGGTTGACTGACTGACTAGGTAGCTAACTAGCTGTCTCGTGGACTCGTGGATGCGGCCGGGAGGATGAGCCTCCCGGGTCCGGAGAGGCGGGCGGTTGGGGCGGACGAAACTGCGCCTGGAACGTCCCAGTTACCTTAATACCGTATAGCAAGCTGGGTCGTGTCGGATGACGCCTGGCGTTTGGGCCGTCCGGAAGATTGCGAGGAACCGGCTCAGTTGCAATTAGGCGCAAGTTCTCTCATGCTATGGCCGCTCAGCCCGCGGCTTCCCCGCAAAACGAATACCAGGAACCCGTTTATGATTATGCGCCCTTCCCCCAGCTCCGAACGATCGTCGTGTGCGTAGTCGCGGGGCAGGTGGGGGTTCGCGAGGGGGAGCAATCGACTCCAAGTCGGGGCTATGTGGGGAGAGATACACCTGTCGCAGACAGCACCGAAGAGCCCAGATTCGAGTAGGTATCGTGGAATTGAAAGACACGCTCCCACTGTTGATTGTCCTCAGCTCCTTGAGATTGTGGTCGCACTCAGGCTCGCGCGCCGGTGTGTTTTGCGGATTTGCTCTGCCCTAGTGTCTGCCGGGTCCCGAGAACAAAGCAGTGTCTGGCGCTGGCGTTTGGCCGACAGTAAGCGGACGGAAAGGCAATAAGATCGCGGAGCGAAAACGTTCGAGCTAGATGGCGTTCTGTTAGAGATTCGATCAGCACTTCATGCTCTGTTCCCTCGAGTTCTTCCTCGCGCGCTACCACACCTCCTTTTCCCGGGGTCGTTTGCTTACATGGTGGGACGAGTTGAAACGTTCAGACACGCGCTTGCAAGGGGGGGGGGGGATTTGCAGCAGCTGAGCGCGACAGACTAACAAGATGTGGGGTAATGCTAGCGTGGGAGGAATGGTTCGTGGCAATTGCTGGTGGTGTTTCAGCAAGGCGGGCGGGGACCGGGCCTCCCTCACAGCTCCCAGCTGCCAGCTGGAAGTTGCAATTATTGAATTGTCGGCGTGCCGGCGCCGAATTGTCAGCGCGGGAAGAACGGGAGTGAAGAGAGCGGTAGGAGTAGTGGTTCGTCTGAGTCAGTGCTCAGGTAATCGACAGTGGTAGTCGCGCCGCTCGTGCTAAGCCGCTGACAGGTTCTCTCCAAGGTGTCTTTCTAGGAGACCCGTAGACGGGACGTGGGGCGTGGCCTTGCTGCGAGGCCCTGCAGTAACTAACAGCTTAGCTCGGTGGGTGCTACTGGTCGTTGCTGCACCTCGCGTTGATTTTCGGGTTTGTGGTGGTACGGATCTTCAGCTCTTCAGCAGACGCCAACTACGAAAGAGGTACGCAAGGGAGCATGGTGGGCGGACGGCGATGTTGGGTAAGCTGCAGGTGGGAGATGGGTGTATGTGTGTAGGCCCATCCAATGCGCAAGCTTGCAGAAGGTCCGGGTGCGTGGGTGTATTTCCGGACGGGAGCATGCGTCTGCCGTGTGTCTGCTTGCCTGTCTGGGTGCGTGCAGTCGGAAGAAAAAAACAGCACGGGTAAACAAATCGATCGGTCGTCGAGAGATGCCGTTCGCTGAAGCTTGCTTGGGGGTTTGGGCTGGGGGAGTTTGTTGTTGCTGTTGTGTTGTCCGTGTGCGGGTGCCCCTGGAAACGCTTCAAAGCTAGAGACGCAATGCAACCAAGGCTTGTAATGTCAAGGGTTAGACAGAGGAGGCTCTCCCGGTATTCTAGGTGCGGAGATGCAGGTGTTGTCAAAGCATGGCTGTCCAGTCCGTTTCAGTCATGGCGATGTCATGATGGAGCGAGCGGTGCAGGGACTCCCAGGTCCCCTTTTTGGCAGAGGAGCGCACGGAGCGGTAATAAATTTCGGGGGCGCCAGAGCTCGGCTTTCAGAACGGCAGAGCTCGCATCAATTGCGGGGCAATGAAACGTTGGAATGGTCCACAGCACTTGAGCATGCGTTTCGAGAGACGCTTCAAGGTTGAAGGGGATTTGAGCGGCTAGGAATCTAGAAAAATCCAAACATGAGGTTCCGGGCGGGACCGAGGTGAGTGGCTGGTCCCCTTCTCTTTCGCTCAGCTGGAGCGGAATCGTGTACAATGGCGGGGTGATCGTCATGACATTGCATTCCGCAGATGACGCCGCGAGACGGCGGTCCAGAACCGGGCGGACTGTCCCATTCTCCAAGTGTCCTTCAGTTGGTACGTCGGTAAGATCGAGAAACCTGTTGAGTAGCCAAGTTGTCAGCTCCACGGTGAAGGATGTCCATTCCGTTCACCTTTTCATCGGCGAGGCCGGTGGTTTCCCAGTCCCTGGTGACATGGAATTGCAATTTATTCGAAAACCGACAGCTGTCACAACCTTCGCGAATCATGTCACACCAGGCATGGTTTCCCCGGACCAGGGCACGGACCTGCAGCAGGAAGGAACTTCCAGAATTGTTCCACAAATGGTCCGTGCTCCTTCCAACCCGCGACAGTTTCGGTCTGTTTTTCTTCCGCTTCACCGGGACAAGAAACTGGACTTTGTCACCCAAAAGAAGTAAACATGGGACGGGAAAGGAAGCAAAGACGGACACAGTAGCAATAGTTATAGTACACAGGTGGGCAAAACATAAAACGCCTCCCTGAGCCTCAACGTTCCATTCTTTGGGATCACGGGACCCCGACATGGTCGGCGGGATTGCGTGAATCAACGAGTCAGTCGGATTTTGGGGACAACTCCTAAAGCCGGCAGGGTTAGGGTTTCGCACTCCGTTGACCCCGACGGAACCGGTGCTGGAAGCTTCCGGAAAAGGCCGGGTCAATTGGTCGAGGTTCCGCCAACCGCCACTTCGCAACGTCATTTCAAAGCAGCCTTCAATCTCAAAACCACCACAACCCCTCCTAGCCGCCCTCGATCGAACATCGTCGCACATCCTTTCGCCATAGATTGAGCAAATTCCACGATGTTCACACTTGCGATCCGCGCAGGCCCCGGCCGTCTTGCGACCAAGGCGCCGCAACTTGCGCGCGCATTCCACCAATCCGCCGCCAAGAACAGTTTCTTCACTGCGAGGACAGCCGCCCTTGCCCAGCGCCCGACGGCCAAAACCTCGTCCAACATCCTCGCCCGCCTTCGCGGCCCCGCACGCGGGTACCAAACACAATATGAGATCTACGTCGACCCAGCGACCCGGCGCCAGCAGCTTTACCGAAAGCTGCTGGTCGGCGGTGCCATTTTTGGCGGCACTCTCGTCACTGTCAACCTGATGTTCAACCGCGAAACCCGCGAAGATGGCGGGATGCCGGCGTTTGAGCGGTCCTACCTCAACCGGACCTTCACGCACACCGGCCTGGGTATTGGCATCATTGGCCTGAGTGCCTACCAGATGATCCAAAGCGGTTTTGTTTACCGCTTGATGGTGACCAACCCATGGGTGGTCGGCATCGGTGGCATCGCTTTGAGCATCGGCAGCATGATGTTGACGCGGGCGATCGACCCTGAGAAGTGAGTTCATTTCCTCCCGAGCGCCAGATGGTAAGGCAAAGCACATTTACTGACTTTTTTTCTCCCAGCTACGTTCCCAAGTATGCCTCGTGGGCCGTCTTCAACGCCACCCAAGCCGCCCTCGTTGCCCCGCTGATGACCATGGCACCGCCCGCCCTTCTTGCCCGCGCGGGCCTCTACACCCTCGCGATGATGGGCAGCATCTCGTTCGTCGGCGCAACTGCCAAGCAAGACAAATACCTGTACATTGGCGGGCCCCTCCTTGCCGGTGCGGCCATCGTCGCGGTCTCGGGCTTTGCACCGCTGGTGCTCCCCGCTACGGCTGTGCGGACCCTCGCGGTGACCGAGAGCCTGTGGCTCTACGGTGGTCTGGCCGTGTTTGGCGGCTTCACGTTGTACGATGTGCAGAAGGTGTTGCATCACGCGCGTGCGGCGGAGCGGGGCATCATCAAGGAGGACCCCGTCAATGAGAGTATCAGCTTGGAGCTCGACTTCCTCAACATTTTCGTGCGCATGGTGCAGATTCTCATGATGCAGCAGAACCGGAGGAGGTAAATGGGAAGCAAGCATAGGAGGCGAGTTGTTGGGCAGAAGGGGTTGTGAGGATAAGATACCCCGAAGGAAGGAAGATGGGATGGCTAGAGCGGGTAATTAGGGGCTAAGTCCCTCGAAGGGGCGTACATAAACCACCACCTCTCTACTCGGTGCTTTTTCTTTGTTTTACGGGCGCCTCGATGTTCCCGGCGGATGCCGTGGATATTCTCCCTCCTGTATTAGGTAGCCAGTGTGGTGTAGCCGCAGAAAAAGAAACAAAAAAACACAAGTAAACACTGCCCTTTCTACCAACTTCTTCGATGTCTTAGTCAAATTTCTGCGTTATGTGAACCTTCACATATCGCAGCATACATACAAGTAAATGGTGATCCTCACATTGTCGCCCTCCGACACTCTACTTCAACTCCGGAAATGACCTCAAAAAATGACTCGGGCACTCATAACCCGACGGGTTGTTGATCAGATACTTCTGATGGTAATTCTCCGCGTCCCACCATTCCTTAGCCGGCAATATCTCTGTGACGATCTTGTCTCCCGCCCCCTTCCCTGCCGTCCACCACTGCTCCGCGGCCCGCTTGGTGATGTCCCGCGCGATCGCTTCTTGTTCGGGCGAGTGGTAGAAGATACCGCTACGGTACTGCGTACCGCGGTCGGGGCCTTGCTGGTTGAGAGTGGTGGGATCGTGCATGCGGTAAAAGAACTCGAGGAGAGTGGTGTAAGAAAGGCGGGTGGGATCGTAGATGAGGAGGGTGGCCTCGGCGTCTAGTTAGTTCAAGATGTTCGAGTTAGCCCGTTTGCTTCAGAGTTCCCCTCTGGGAGATTTTGGAATGTACGTACGCCCCGTATTCCCACTGCACACCGCGCGGTATGACGGGTTCTCCGCGTCTCCGCCAATGTAGCCCACGCGCGCATCGTACAGACCCTTGTCGGCGAAATGCTTTCGGTACAAGTGCTCGACGCCCCAGAAGCAGCCGGCGGCCACAGTTGCTTGCTCGGCGCCCTGAGGGATGGTCACGGGCGCCGCGGCCACGGAGGAGCTCATTGTGGTGGTGGTAAAGGGGCGGAAGATGCGGCTGAGGAGAGAGGTCATTGACAGCAAGGGGATCTAGGCAGGTAAGGGGGCTTTGTTTGGACGAGAAGGTGTCAGTTGCGAAAATTGGTGGGGTTGCAGGTTGGCGGGTTGATTGCAGTGGGCTTTAGCGGGGTTGTTCTTAGGTATTGCGCCAGAAGAGAGCTGGCTTGCGAATTGCTTTTGCAATGAAAATGCTGTCGGTCTTGAAATTCGAAAGCACTCGAGATTATGGGCGGTATTAATACTATGAATTTAGACAGCTAAACATGCTAACAACGGAATTAGGGAAGAGCAATTCCAAATTGTAGATCATCGTCCCGGGCTGTGACGTCGGTCACTGCAGGATGACAAATCGCGGGGCTCAGCAAAATGATTCCAAACTGTGGCGCATCTGAGGCGCCAAACATCAACTCAATGTTTACTAGAGGTAGTCGACCCTGTTCAAAAAACATATCGGGAAAACTAGAAAAGCATAACATCATACCCAGGGATCAGGCCAAGTTCATGAACAATGAAACTGTACTCCGTCAATGTTCAAAGAACGAATCTGCAGTTGAGCTTGGGTTGTTTGCTTTACCCCTGAACTCGTAGTTGTTCGTATGCCCTTTTCACAGGCTCGCCTATAAAAGCCTACTAATTACTCCGTATTTAGAACACAGACCCCAGATTTCTTCGAATAAACCGGATCGCGAGGGATGCACAGTAATAATGAATGTCACCCCAATGACCAAACAAATGGTTATGCTCCTACGATATTTCTCTCAACTGACTTTAAAGTTCATGGTGAATCGATTCAAGACCGGCATTGGATGTTATAGGGGTCTTATTTTCTTGACCAGTATTAGGCTCGTTACGGAAGGCATGGCGAGCAGTGAATATGCTGGGATTATTATGATTTTACACGGAGTAGTAGTGGGTTAGGTACTACACATCAGAGAAAAAATTACTAGAGAAATATGTCTCTACGCGGTAAGTAGCTGAGTTGATTCATCATTATTGAACGTAGGAGGAATGTCACAATGCCTTCTCAGCCTTAGCGAGTGCGAGTTACTCGGCGTTAAAGCACCTTTGATCCGAGTTGAATGCAGCAATATTTCCTGTGTTATTTGCAGCCCATTTTCAAACACACCGGTGTGCGTGTTGTACTTTCGGGTCCCTTGAGTCAAAGAGTCATCAGATATTCTATAATTATAAATTTCATCCACACAACACACCCTTGTAGTGCCCGTAAAGGCCTATGTTAAACAATTACGCGCAAAACTCCACCCTTTCATCGAAAAATTAAGGTTGAGAAAGTAAGGAATGAGCAATGCTTCTAAGTTAGGTTGAAATCTGGTTCCCGAAACCAAGTTCCGGGAACTTAGTGTTGGAAAGTTGGTGTTGGAAATTTAGAGCTGGGATCTCAGTGTTGGAAGTCCGCGCTGAAAGCTCGGTGCTGGGCATGCTGTTGCTCTGCAACGCATATGATAAAACGGCTAATACCGCCGGCTGCCGCTAGAAGAATATCTCGTCCCGCTACCCGTATATCCCCCGCTCCCACTACCCGTATATCCTCCCGTCCCGCTTCCATAAGTGGAAGAACCCGAGCCCCCTCCTCCAAAAAGAGATCTATCGCCCGGAAGGGTGGCCGAGGACATCGAACTATATGTAGTGCCTGAGCTGGAGAATGGACTGGTGCTTGGAAAGGCGGTCGAGGTAGTTGAGCCGTACGTTGTGCCAGAGCTGGAGTATAAACCGGTGCCCGAGCCATATGTGCTGCTAGAGCTAGGATATAATAGACCGGTGGCAAAGCCGAATGTGGCGCTAGAGCTGGAAAATGGACCAGTGGTTGGCGAGGGGGTCGAGGTAGTCGAACCGTAGGTGGAGCTAGAGCTAGAGTACCCCCCGATGCCCGAGCCATATGTGGTGCTAGAGCTGGGGTATAGGCTGCTGCCCGAGTCGTAGGTGGTGGTGCCTGAGCCGTATGTGGTACCTGAGCCGTATGTGGTGCTAGAGCTGGAGCGAGCAGGGTAATCGTCGGCCCGAGTGCCCGTGGGACCCCCAGAGAGGTGGACGCGCGGCCGAAGCGCGCCAGCCCTGCTGGTGTAGCTGTAGCCACCTGTGGAAGCACCCCCATAAGTACCCGTGAGACCTCCCGAAGTATAGCCACTAGGCCCAGCTGTGCTCCGCGTCCAGCTGCCGGAAGTTGGTGACCTAGAGTACATATTATTATACCCTGGGTTGAAAGGAGGGGAGGTGGATTGCGATGCTGGTGCGGTGGAATACAGCGCGGTGCTGGTGGCGGAATCGACTACAGGGACTGAAATGAGCGTGGGAGTGCGGCTGCGGGAGCGGCTTCGACGGCTGTACGGCGGCGAGCTGCTGTAGGTCCGCCCGGGCATGGTTTATGCAGGTGAAGAAGGTAAAGGATGTGAACTGAGCTAGTCGTGAATGGTGGTATGAATTTCACGGTAGGCTGATCAGGCTGTGCGTTAAAGGTTCACTGTGTGATCGAGCTAGGGAAGAGAAGTGGTGCGGGAAATGGTCTGGGGTAGAGAGCGGGTTGGGCCATGGTATTTATACCCATGGATTCAGTATAATTTCATCATAAGAGAGAGGGGGAATCCTTAGCACACCAAAGAACAACACATTGGATGGGTTGTTTTGTTGTTCACAAGCCAAACCGCCATCAACACCACAGACGAGCCTCTCATTGAGGGTTTGTTGTGCTGGCGAACATGTGTTTACTGCCTAAACTTGTGATTCTCCTAGAATATAGCTATCACACGCACTGTATAGCAATTGCTGCACAAAAACGGAGTCACAGGTGGTTCTTGGATTCTAGAAGGTGAGCAGGTGGGAAGAATGAGTAGCGAACAAGGGATCCAAAAATGAAGTCAACAACCAAGCACAGGTACAGGGTCGCCTTGAACCATTGGAGCCCCTATAGCCGATGCCTCATTCGTGGCGGAAACTGCAAGCATCTCCCACTCCACGAACATGATGTTCTAGATACCCAGTCAGGCTGGCGTGGTGCCTTGTGCCCTTTGTCCCCGAACTTTTGACTCAGTGCCATGTACCTTGGTCACAGTCTGCCGGAACAACCTGGAAAAGATGTTGCACCAACTAGCAGCCGCCTTTGTGTTCAGGGAGGCCGAGGTCATGCCTCTGCTACGGGCTACTTGCCGTGTTAATCATGCTGGACCATTGCAGCCAACAACACCATCATCAGTAGATGCATTGGTTAGAGGCGCATGAGAGCTTTAATCTACCTGATTACGTGTTGCAAGGCGCAATGATGGTACTGGCGAATCGAGAGATGCTCTCCTTGTTACACCCTGTAACCACCATTTTCACTTTTGGCAAGGAGTCATAGAGGGTTAATTACTTCTATATAAAGCCCTGGACGTGATGTAAAACCATAACAGTCCAAGCTAGCCCCCAACTCGATTATATTTCTCACGGCTTCTTAGTCGCTAAACAATCACGTCGGCTACCCCACTATTACTGGTCGTGACTCCTCCTACCACTGCCCACTCTTAAGGTCTTCGTAATGTCTGGGCGTGATCATAGGCCATATTATACCAATCGCCCAACGTCATGGCATGGAGAGCTCTCCTTTACCAGTCCCTCTGGCCACCGAAATTACCCGCTTAATCCCCTGATAACTCGCGCTTCGCTACGCACCATCCCGACCAGCTACACCAGCAGCATCTCGTCGTATGCCACCGTACTGACGACCAGCTTGTCTACCAGACTTGGAGCTGGGTACCAAACCGGGCACTCCCGTTCGCGGTCTTTCGAATACACGCCCAGCTACACTCCCAGCTATACCTCCTCTGCTACGTCGAGCTACACCCCCGGCTGCCGCCCCGACTACGCTACTACTTCCACGTCGAAGTACACTCCTAGCTACCGCCGTAACTACGCCACTGCGTCCACGTCGAGCTACACTCCCAGCTACAGCCCCAGTTACACTTGCACGTCAGAGTCGATGCCAACCACGGCTTCGATTTCGAGCAGCAGCACACTGTTCCCTAGTTCTAATCCCACCAGGCGGAACAGCTCCGGATTTGGCATGACGCCTGGTCAGGCAGTAACGACCCGGTTTGCCGGGGCAGGCTCCTTGAACAGCGGACGGTTGCACTTTGGAGGCTTTCGTGCAGGTGGTCAAGGCAGGGCATCTAACAGTTATGTGGGTTTAACCGACACATTTGGACCCTGTTGGAACCGCCTTGTTCGAACTTGGGCCTACGCCTAACGAGCCACAATCGCGACGTTATAATGGAGTCTTTGACTCGAGGCCCTTTGAGTATTCTCGGCCCCCGTCGCCTGATTATTAGACAAGATCCCACAAGCTACATAGATTTTAGCTAGCTGTAGGGATGTTTTATGCCCCAAAATAATTAGCAAAAGCGCCCCATGTTACCCTTTGTTTCACCTATTTCTTCGATCTGATTATATGTTGCAAGGTGCAATGAAGTAATTGGTGAATCTGGAAACGTGTTCTTGGTTACCTCTAATTATCACAGTCGGCACAACTGGAAAGGAGTCATAGAGTAATGATTAAGAGTAGCAGTTACTTCTATATAAAGCCTTTCACCAAGTATAAAAACCATAACATTTCCAACCTCGTTCCCACCTGCACAATATCTCGATAATATCCCCTAGGGCCTATCGGTCGCTCAACAATCATGCCGGCTACCCCCAGTTCCTGATCACTACTCCTCACACTGCTGCTCACACCCGACACCACAGTCATGTCTGAACGTGATCATACGAACCGCCCAGCGCCATGGCGGGGAGCCTTCTCCTCTCCTTACTCTTCTAGTCGCCGGACCTCTACCACCGGCTACCTGGGCAGCACCTCAACGTATTCCAGCTCACCCGCGACCAGCATCTCTAGGTTTGGAACTGTGTACCGAAGCGGGAGCTCCGGCTCGCGGCCTTCCGACTATACCCCTAGCTACACTTCTACATCAAGCTACACCCCCAGCTACTTCTCTAGCTACTCCGCTACTTCTACATCAAGCTATACCCCCAGCTACACTTCTACCTCGAGCTATACCCCCGGTCCCACTTTCACATCGGATCCAGAAGTCGTGTCGGCTAGTACGCCAACATCGACTTCTTTGTTGAACGGCCCACTGTTCCCGGGCTCCGCGTCTTCAATCTCACGGAGCCCGCTGCTCTCTAGCTCCACGTCTCTACGGCCGTCGGGCCATGCTTCAGACGTATCACAAAGCACACTGCAGCGAGGCAGATATAGCATGGTTCTTGGCGAGGCGCCAATGGCCGGGTTCGTCGGAGGAGGTTCTTTGAACAGCGGACGGTTGAATGTTGGAAGCTCTGGTGCAGGTGGCCAGAGCACAAAGCCTACCCGCTGGGTGGCGCCGGTGGCCCCAGCCAACAGGTCGGAGCCCGTTGTGAGGTCCTTTTTCGACCGCCGGTCTACGGATGACAGGTCACGGTAGCGACATTCAAGTGGAGTCTTTGGCTCTAGGGGTGCTTGTTACGATATGGTCTTTGACTTCAGCCGTCCCTTTTCTGCGTTCTCAAGACCTGTTGCCTTGTAATTAGAGAGAGAACCCCATAAGCTACGTAGATTTTAGGTAGCCGTAGCGATGTTTTACGCCCCAAAACAATTAGCAAAAGCACACTATTTTAACCCTCGTTCCGCCCTGTTGGGCTATTCCCCTTGGTGATTTCGTAGACGGCGTGCGTGCACCAGCGTTAATAAGCGCCCATCAATCTATCCACACTGCAGAAAGTCCGGGTGTTTAATCTTAATTACCATATCGTTCTAGCTGCCACATCATCTACTCGCTCGCAGCTGTAATTCCTGGGTTAGGGCTGCTTAGCCTTTATGGGATATCGGATTCAACTATTTCCGTGAGACCTCGTTCTTTGAGTGACGTGCACATGGTTCTGCTTCAATGGGGCCCCTTTCTAACCAGAGCACTGTTCTCTCGGCCTCCAGCTATAAATATCATGCCCACCTAGCCGTCACTCCCACTCCTCTTCTCTCTCCAACACTCCCAGTACTCTTAACAGTCCCCTATATTCACCCACACCATGCCTTCCAACAAGTACCGTCGGCCGCCCTCAGTGCGCTGGTCCTCCGACGTCCCATCCACCACCTTTTCTCTCCCTCCGCCCCCGCGTCCTTCAACTCCCCATCCATCCGCGGGTTTACTTAATCCTCCCCCGCCCTCCGACAACACCAGCCAACTCTACGACTTTGTCCGGCATCCATACCTCCGAGATTCCGAAGCCTATCGTAGTTCGACGCGGAATCTCTACACACTCGATCCAGACAGGCCATGTCGTAGCTCAACCCGAGAGACCTACCCACACGATACATTCGGCACTCGGCATTCGTCAAGCTACTACGCTCCACTCCACAACCAAACACCATCATATTATGGATCCCGTGCTAGATCTGTCTCCCGCGGCCGCGATCGTGACCGCGAGTACCGCTCCCCTACAACCCCGCGCCCATACCATCGCGGCCGAAGCCGAAGCCGAGACCCAATCTCAACAACCCATCTCGGAAGCACAAGGCCATACACCTACCAACCACCGACCACCCCAACCTACGCCACGGGATACTACAACCCCCCAACCGGTAGTCACACCTACGGTGGCAGCTCGCTGTTGTACGACCCACCCACAACGCTATACGACCGACCCAGTGGGGGAGGCGCATACGGTACTCCTACCTATTCCACAAGTTACCCTCGTCGGGAGTCAAGCAGGCGTAGGAGCTCGTCACTGCCTCGCCGCCGCGAACCACCAGTGACTTTGCGCGATAGTACGAGTAGGGAGAGGCCGTTTTATGGGGAGTTGAGGTATGAAGTGGGCGAGAGGGACTACCCAGAGGGAGCGTGGTTGTATGATCCGTTGTCGACGGGGAATAGGAGGTTTTGAATTTTTGAATTTTGGGTTGTTTGTTTGCGTTGGGGGATTTTACTGGGGGCATCCAGGGGGATTCACTGGGGGGGTTTCACGGGATTTGGGTAATTAACTAGCTAGAAGTTGCTGGGCCGCGCTGCTTATGAAAATGTCTTGCTTTTGGCTTCACAGTTTAAAGGTGACGGAGAGGTGAATGTATCAAGCTGAATTTGTGCTACCTAATCTTCCTTAACCCCATTGTGCTCCTAACGGTGTGCCTAAAACCGGAATGATTGAAAACCCCGTAACACGTCCTGAGTAACCTCTGAACCATGGCCTGAGGAAAAGGCTGAGTAAATGAGAGAAAGATGTCAACAGAAAAAAGAAGTCATGAAAATAATATATGGAGGCGCAGAAACAATAAGGGTGAATAATAAATCAGAGGAACATGTTCCGGCTATCCGCATCCTTGCGGCTAGACCCGGGCGCCGTGTAATCTACCCCGCTCAAGCTGGTCAAATCGCTCTCAAACATGGCCTGGATCTTGGTAATCTGCAGCAACTGCTTCAGGTCCAGCTTGGCTCCATCAAACGCCGCCAAGCTCTCGGCCGCCTTAATGGCATTCTTGATCTGCCGCCCATTGAGATCCGTCTCGGCCAGCTGGCTCAGACCCTTCTCATCGATATCCACACCACCGGGAACCATGCCGCAAAAGTTACGCCAGATCTGCCGCCGTGACTCGATGGATAGATCCGTGTAGCGGATGGGAATGTGGATACGGGACTTGAAGGCATCGTCGAACGTGGTTACACGATTGGTGGTGAGGAAGAGAATGCCCGAGTAGTACTCGAGCACCCGCAAGAAGACGCTGACCATGGCGTTGCGGTGGAGGTCGTGCAGCGAACGCCGCTCGAGGAAGACATCGGCTTCGTCGACAAGCAGAACGGCGCGCCATGTGGCGGTCATGTCCATAATTCGGGTCAGGTTGCGGTCCAGATCAGCGCTGCAAGTCCCGACTATAAGGTAATTGTGTTAGTATCTGTTGATATGTTACTTAGTTCGTGGAGGTCAACTTACGATCACCAGACGACACCATGTATAACGGGCGTTTGACAAACTCGGCCACACACTCTGCCGTCAACGTCTTGCCCACGCCCGGCGGGCCGTGCAGCACACACACCAGCCCCATGCCCTTCCCCTTGACGATGTCGTCAAAACTCTCACGTTTCTGGGAGTGCATCGACACCAGCGCCTGTACCGTCTTCTTGATCGCCGGGTCCAGCACCAGCTCATCAAAGCATTTGCTGTTCCACTCTATCTCTGCTAGGTCCTCCACGAAGAACTCGAGGAACTGCTTCGTGGTGAACGAGTAGCCGCGCACCGTTGCGTTGGTCAGCATCGCATTGTCATCCGACAGCTTGTCGAACTTTTTCTTGCCGTCCGCCCCGGCAAACGTCAGGTCTGCCTGTGCCCGCTTCCGGCTGCGCTCCATCTTGGATGGCTCGTTGGTCAGGCTCTTGACAAAGAACGCCGTGTTCGGCTCCAGCCGGTGCGCTGTCTTGCAATCAATCATGACTCGCCCGTTGACCGTAAATCGCGCGTACCCTTCAGGTGTCTTCTTAATCGCAATCCCGTCGTATGCGAGGTAGTGCTGGCCAATGTAGCCCTCGAATCTGCGGCCCCGCGCGAGCAATTCCTCACGCACGTCCGCAGCGTCGCCAAGCAGGTCGATTGGCACGATGTTGAGGTCGTTGAGCTCACGGGTGCCGGAAAATTTGGGCACGCCCAGCTCGAGAATTCGCGTACCCAGGCGGTCGCCATCGAAGTCGATGAATTCACTTTGCAAGGTGAGACCCGGGTTGACCTCGTTATTATCATAGTAGGCGTCGTTGACGCGGAAAGCGCGGTTTTGCGAGAGCAGCTTGCAGTACGCGATAGTTCCGGGGGGGAACAGAGTCCAGAGTCGGTCGTAGTGGATCACCTTTTGCCCTTGCGTGACGCACCGGTCGTAAGCAGCGATGTCGAGCTCAAAGTGGGTGTTGATCCAGTTACTGAGAAGCTTGAGCTGGTCAAGGGACTCGGTGTCATCAGCGAAACGCTTGGCGCCTTCCTCCTCAAGCTGCTTGCGATAGTAGAAGAGCGAGTGGTATGGCGCGGCGATTTTGACGTCGTCCACATCGATTGGGTCGCCGGGATAGGCACCGATAATGTCGAAGAGCAGCTGGCGTAATGGCTGCGGGTTGACGTAGAGCGTGGTGTCCTCCAGCTCGCCATCAGAGTCGTAGACGCGGACGAGGCAGAACGCAAACATGCGCCACCAGTCCTTTTGCTTCGGCTTCTGGACCTCGGTCTTGCGCTCGCAAAAGTACGTCTCGTCGTCATCGTCATACCGCTTGTCGAGGTGCTTGATCTCGCACTTCATGGTCAAGTCCTCCGGCTCACCGGCTTCACCGTTGGCTTCACCGTTGGTTTCACCATTAACTTTGGTCTCTCCATTTGTCTTGGCCTCATCCTTGTCATCGCCGTTTGTTTGCGCGCCCTCCTCCCCTTCTTCCTCCCCGCTATCCTCATCCTCATCGCTCCCGCTCTCTTCGTCGGAATTAGCATCGCCGTTAGTCTTCGTCTCTGACTCGGGGACCATGATTCCCCGCCTAAATGTGACTTTTTTGCCGTTGATAGTCCGGATCTCGATCCCATCAGGATTTGGCTTAGCATCTTTCCCGGCGCCGTTCTTGTTTGAACTCTTGCGCGCCGTGGCCTTTGTTCGTGCCATGGCGCCTGGGTTGGTTGGTGGTGTTAGGGAAAGGTGGGGGTGGGCTGATGGGCTGCTGACCTGGGTTCGGGCCAGATGGGAGAAGAAATCGGTTATCAAATATCGGGTTACGGGGGAAGCAGTTTAGAGCGGCTGGGTACGGTCCAGAGCGGCACCGGGGCGAGAAAACAAAACCAAAGGATCGGTAAAGGGATGTTCGTGTTTTTGAAATTTAAAGAGCTAGAAAATAAAAAGAATGCAAGTGCAAGCCGAAGCGCACACGACTCTTTATCTTCGGAATCAGACCCATACCAGGCGCCAGCACCGGCCGGTATATGAATCGATAGGACTGGCGCAGAAAGCCTGGCGGGGTGACGTGGGCAAGCCTGGTCGCATCAATCCTTGCATGATGAGGCTGCGCGGGGCCGCAGGCCCCCAGTCTGGAGCAGTCAGAATCCAGGAACTCATTCTCTTTCTCTTTCATTCTTTGGGCCGGACAGAGCTGGGTAACAACACCATGGCCCGTTTGGGGAACGGCATCTCTCTCCCAGGCAGCAGAGGGGGTTTTCCTTCAGAGCAGCCCATATTTCCGATATTTTTCCTCAAGGATATTGGATGGATTTGCGTTGCCAGTGGATCGCAAACAAAAACGGGTTTGGTCAGGCAGAACCGCAGTTTGCATTGGTTGCAGTCCTGCAGAAGGAGCTGCCCGCGTGCCAAGAAACGGGACCGTTCGGCTCTAGGCCCCCTGCCGCCCTGCGCCTGCCTGCTGAAGGCGAAGAGGCAGTCGAGCAGCGGCTGAGCAACCGAGGCCGCCTGAAGTCCTGGACCGCGGCGAGAGGCCGCTCCCCCGGCAGCTTCTCCGCAATTACACGCTGGGTCTGACAACAAGCGCCGAAAGCCCGGCTTTCGTGGTGAAACCCCCGGGACATTGGCATAATACGGGGGCAGAGAAAGATATGGCAAGGCATACTCTGTCAAACTGGGGGCTTGAGTTCAAAGTTTAGAAATATCCAACGCCACAAGAAGAAAATGGACTTGTCAACAGTGTTGTCGGCGGCTTGACATTGCCTCCGGGTCTGTGCTCGATTAACCCAGTCTGACAAGCGGCGGCCGGAGCCCCACTTTTGTGTCGGACGGAACCTCTCCCTTGGCCGGCCCCGCTCACCCCGCTCCGACTTGCCCGGTGACTCAACCCGATCATCCCGGTCCCCACTTGTCCAGGCTCCAACTCCGTCCGGGTTTCTGAAACCCCGAAAAGGAAAAAGGCTCACAAAGGCAGTGACAAATTCGAAGAGGGGAAACACGACAAGGAAAACAGTCGAAAGAAAACAGAGCAAGTCGAAATCAAAAGCCGCAGATGTATATAAAACAAAACAAAGAGCTTATGATATTGATCCAAGTGCCGATATGCTGGTAACCGGCTTTGGTTAAACGCAGAAATACCAGCTTCACTGCCTTCTGGCAATCTGCGTTGAGAGATGAGCGACGAATAACTTCTCAGTTGGTGAGACGCGTCCATGGCAACCCGCTGGCACAGGCCGGGATCCCAATGAGGAACGATTGGAGTCCCATTCGCGTGAAGGTTGGTAATGGTGGTTGCGGTTCCGAGACGCCTGTGAAAGCCGAAAATGGAACAAACATCCCTCCACATGTGGCTGTTTCAAGCGGCCACGTTGAGCCTCCCGTCTCCCTCGCGCTTGATGATCCGTCCTAATTGGTTGGTGTGACATTGGGTATTGGATCGGAGAAGTTGCCTCTCGACAGCTCTGTTGGCAGTTGGTTGCAAATTCTGGCCCAGCTGAGCATCGTGCGGCCGCGATTTGCGTCCAACTGCACTGGTGGCCTGGCTGGGGCTCCGTACCTTGGAACCTCGGTATAAGCAGGTAGGTACCTATTCAGGTTGTTATCAAATAAGAGACAAATTGACATTCTGGGTTATCAAAAGATTGAAGCACTGAAGCAGGTATCTGCGATTGGCCATATGGACTGCAACAACAACAGGGTGGATCACGATGGATAACAACATGGATATGCCCCATAGGAGATTAGGGTTTGACAAGGTATTAGGTACCTGGTAAGGTAGATAGATACATGTACCTTCGGGCAGTACAGATGAGTGAGGTTGTGGACTGTGGATCGGTGTGTGCTCGAGGCGCCCTGGGGTTGGGGTCCAGAGCAACTCCCTCAGCCAGAGGCAACCCGTCGCCAGCACGTTCGCTCACCTTAAAGGTTCCTGATGTCTAGGCTGCCAGCCGGCCGTCAGTATGTGACGGCTTTACCCAACCCGTCCTGCTTAGAACCACTCCACCAGTGACGCCACGATGTCGTTCCAATTTGCAGTCGTCCCAAAACGACACATTGATGTGCTTCTGGCCTACAACGATGAGGAGTTCGGGAATTTTATGAAGGTCTGTCGCCAACCAGGTGGTAGGTTTGACATCGAGTTAGAAGGCTGGGACACGCTTGACGGGGATTCGCGCGAGCGACTTTTGGAGCGGTTAAAGTGAGTGCATTCATCTCGCTAGCTCTTTAGGCTTTGCTTGCTGACCACCAGGGTCTAGACCGTTTAGACTCGGGAGAGATTCTAGCACAGAGCGGGAGCGGGCATCGTGGCCGGTCGATTTTGACGCCGTCACCACACGGCTTCTCGACATATCCAACAACAACCAAGAGGCGCTCGTGCCGGCAGCTCTCGAAGACCTGCATTCCAGGATAGTTTCCAGCCCCGATACAGGCAACTTCGCTACTCCGTTAGAGGACGAGATTGGAACAATAAGGAGGTCGGAGGCCGAAGCTTACAACGCGTTGCTCAACGAGGGCGGACGACCTCTTTACCCTTTGGATCTCCTGGAGGATGTCCTGCACAACACTGAGACCCACCGCGAAACCTTGTTGTCATGGCAAAAGAACCCAGAACCCGAGACCATCGACACCGAGGTGTTCCACAAGCAATTATGGAGATGGAGGGCCTTCTGGCACTGGCAAAAGGAAAACAGAGGGATCGATGGCCTGGAAGATGAGCTTTCCTTGTTCACTGCGGAGGGCAATCGGAGGGAGGCTCGGGTAGCCGCTACATGGCCAGGCAAGCGTTACCGAAGAACAGCAGCCGAATACATGGAGCAACTCCGAGCCAAGTTTGATCAAACACGTCCAGAAGCCCGAGCGAGTGACTGAGGAGGAACAGTTTGCGGCGTTTGTGAACGGGATACATCAAGAAAATCTGGAGCATGGACGACGGTGGCCGGGAATGACCGATGACGAACGCCGAGAATCCTACCGCTCTTCTGTCGACAGTACACGAAGTGAGCGACAATATCGGTTTCGCCGACTCCGAAATGGCCGTAGCTGTCGGGAGTTTGCGGAGTATGTTTCCGCGGTTCAGCGCTGTCTTGCGAAACATCATTTTACACGGCCTTTTCAACTCAACAACGATGTCGAAAAGCGGGATCCGTTGACAACGTGTATTGAGTATCTCGCCTGCGAGTGCTTGTGGTACGACCTCTACGAGTCCCTTCTCCAACGATCGCAGAGCATATACGATAAAGAGTGGGCAGAACTTGCCAACTCAGGGATCTTGCGCCGGCGAGAGACAAGTGAATTTCTGCACAGTGGACTATTCATGGTCCGACATCAAACGAAGGGTGATAACGCCCGAAAAGCGGTGAAATCCGCCCAAGAGGCGGGATTGGCAGCTGTGTTCGAACTAAACATAACAGTAACTGCGCATTCAAAAGCTACTAAAGAGGAGCACAGGCCGCGATTAGCGAACGCCTACTACGGACTGATGACTGCAGACGCCAGGCTGGAAGAGTTCAAGAAGAGAGATGACCGTATATCCAGGTTTATCGCGGCAACAAAGACGTATCCCCGTAAGCAACAGGATTTTGGTGGTCAAAAGCTACTCTCGGAATGGGTTCTCGGCCAAATCCCGCTCGTTGAGGCGGAGATGGCCGCGTTGGGACAGTACCAAGTCCAGACAAATGCCGAGAGTTCAGATTTGGGGCCGAGGAGAAGCCTCAGGAGATCACAGCAAGATATGCATCTAATGGATGACAACAGCTCTCCGAAGCGGAAAAGAGAGTCCTCTAACCCGCCCACAGCCCTGGCCACGGCCTCCACGTCAGCTAGGAAGAGTCTAAACCGTGGCACGATCAACGACTTAGACGATGTACCGCCTGCGAAGCGGCTTCGGACCGGCCGCCAACAGTCTGTTCCCAGCAGTTCGCCCATTTTGACGAATTCGACCCTCAGGAATGGATATGTGCATTCACCAGAGACATCGCACCCCAGAGGCTTTGCGGGGAATGGCGACATGGTGGAAGACTGACACTAGTGTGAAGGCGAAGCGGGTTTTGTATTGTTGTTTGATGGCCATGATGCCCGTTTCATGTGGCTTGCTCCTCAAGTATTTACTGACTTCAGTAGCGAACGGCGTGAGGATAAGACCGTAGAAATACCACGCGTATCTATCCGTCTGTTTCAGCTTCCCTCAATTCTACACATCAACGACGAGAAGAGCATGAACGTGACGTATGATCGGGATATGCCCCGACTTTTGTACCCGATTCCCCATTAGGTCGGAGGTATTTCCGGTTGTGTTTCTTATCTGAGATCCCAGCACTGGAACGCCGGCGGCCGAACCCACGTCGACCAGGCCCAACCACCAACCCCCTTCCCGCCCTTCCCAATTCTACAACTTCGACGACTTCTCCCTCTCCGCCTTCTCCTCTTCCTCCTGATCCATCCTTTCTTCCTCCAAAACTTCACCCCTCCATCTAACCTCCACATCCCTCGGCCCAGCTGCGCCCAGCTTCCCACCCTGGAACTTGACCAGCACCACCCTCTCCATATCTCCTCCTTTCGCCGAGGGATCGCTCCCGCGCAGTTCCGGCCCGGGTTTATCCAGCCCTAGCACGACGCGTCCGTCACGACTACGCATGAAGAGCACGGCGGGGCTGATGACTTTTTGGCCCCAGGAGATGGAGGCTGTGGGGTGGTTTGTTGTCGTGGAGGTAAATGGGGAAGATGAGGAGGTGGGGGTGTGGGCGAGGAAGTTAAGCAGCGACGTGCGGGCGGTTTGATGATGATGATCTTGTTGAGATGATGGAGACGACGTGGGAGCGGCGGAGTCGAGGAAAGCGGATACAAGGTGGAGGAGGTAGAACTGGGGTGGGAAGAGAATGATCTCGCCGGCGCGGGCTCGTGCGAGCCAGGTGCTGGCGTGGTCGAAGGCTGCGGCGGTGTGTTCGACTCCGCCGTCGTGGGTTGGCGCGGGGATTACGAGTTCACGAGTTTGCTGTTGAACTAAGCCGCTGCCGGTAGTCGTGGTGCTTGTCGAGGAGAGCGGGAGCATATACAGGTACATTTGCGTCGTGAAGCGTTTTGGTGGGCCGTGGGGGGTTATCCAACGGGTAAAGGGGATGAGGTTATCTAGGCCCGAGGTCAGTTTTCTGGTCCACCATGCCTTCACAGCTTGGGTATTGTCGAACTACAATGGCTGACATACCAACATCGGGCTCCCCGCCCTGCTCCCTCACCCACTCCTCGAACCTCACCTCATTCGCATGCACCTTCTTCCTTCCGTCCTCCCGGACGTCATCAGACAACTGCAGCAGTCCTCCTTGCTCGCGTGTCTGACCAGCTCTTTTGGCTAGCAAAATCCCGCTCTCTTCGAACGTCTCTCGAATGGCAGCGAGCCGGTAAGCAGGTCCATCCTCGTGTACCTGGAGTGAGTCGGAAGCAGGCAGGGTCCCGTCATGAAATGAGGAAAGGTTGCCGCCAGGAAAGACATGGGCTGACGCGAAAGACGTGGAAGTTTGGACACGGTGGAGGAGGAGGACTTGATTGGCGGGGGAAACGAGGAGGATGCTAAAGCTGGTGTTAATACTTTTGGATGGCCCGATAGTGAGCATCAATGGACCGCATCATGATGGCCGACTCACCTCGCACTGGGCCGCAGCGCTGGAGGCGACTTCTTGGCCTTCTTCCCTTCCAGTTCTTCGCCTGCCATCGTCGAATGATGCCGCGTTTTGCGTGATGCAGTTGGTATCTTCGACAATTGTATGTTCGGCCGACCAGTGATTGAACACCAACTCCTCGGGGCTTCAACGATGGGGGAACAAGACAACACGGACGAATGGACGGCAAGCCGAGAATAGCCGCGGGCTGATGAGGTGAATGTCAATCGATGTGTTGTAGTGGTGATGAGGCCGACTCGCCGAGAGTAAATCGGTCTCAAAGTGTTCATTTCGAAGTCACCAACTCCAACTCCAACTGCACATGGGATATTGCGGGTTTTGTCCAGCAAGGGTTGAATGAACTTTGACGGCGAGTTGGAGCTTGAGCCGAGGCAGTGTGTGTTGCGTGTGACCCTGCTGCCCGTTGCGCCCCGCTCTGTTCTCAGGGGCTCCAATGTGGGCGGCCCACTGAGTGGTCGCTGACAAAGTCAAGATCTGGGGTAATGCGACCAAAGGTGCCGGGATCTAACGTTATCTGGAAGGGGTTTGCGATCCACTGGGAGTAACATGGTGGATATCCTATCTGGCTCGGAAACCAATGCTCCTTTCCAAGTCTTCCATCCAATATACCAAGGGGAAAAATAAAGGCTCTGGCTCGTAAAAAATGCATGACTCGTCGTCGTCAACCTCATCATTCCTCATCGTCGATCAATCGTCCACACCTGCACCGCGCTCCTCTAACTCAAAACCTCTTCCTCGCCTTCCCCTTCAGAGTCTCCTTCCACAAACAACACACACTCTTACTGGCGCACCACTCCTTGACCTCCCACGGCGTTACCTCCTCATCGAAACCAACACGATCCAGCTGCCCCGCATTGAGCCATGCTGCCAGGTCCTCAATGATAATCGGGTCGTACATGAGCATTTTCTCATGCCAGCTCGGCTTAGACGGATCTGTGCTGCGCGGTGCGCTTTGGATAGCCCGGGTGATGGACTGAAAGCGCGAGTCTTCGTCCGACGTTCGGATTCCCCCAAGTAGCGAGGTTTCCGTATCTTCTGTGAGAGAGATGTCTATGCCGGCTTGGGAACCCGGCGAGGAGAATAACTCAACATCCCCGATAGAGGAGGATGACGATGCGCAATCCGTGGCCTCGTCGTCTAAGTCTGAGTCGGGAATTTCGATTATGTCCGTGCTGGAACCCTTGCGGTACTTTGGCGTGGTCGGTTGTTTATTGGGAGATTTGGTGCGTTTTGGCGAGGTAGTCCGGCGCGACGTGGTGATCCTTGTTGCAGATGCACTCGTTGTGTCCTTCTTAGGCTTTCCCCGTGTTTTTTTCTCGGCCAGAGGCGCCTCTGTATCAGTAGGCTGGAGGGAAACGGATCTTTTCCGGCCACGTTTGGAAGGGGAGGCTCCCGGCATCGGCTGTGACATTGACGCCTCAGAAATATTTGTAACCGAAGCCGTCGAGTTCTTTCCCGGCCTACCTCGGGGCCGTTTCACAGGCTCTGGTACTCCACTCTCCGCCCCACTCGCGGCCGATTTCTTCTTACGCCCCGGTTTCGCAGCTACCACTTGGACGTCATCGGGTTCAGCGGCCACCGGATTCTTCCTGGGTCGGCCTCTAGGCCGAGGAGGCGAGGCGGCTTGGCTTGCGGCGGTCGTCGACATGGCAGCTTGCGTAGACAAACTGCCCAACGTTCCTGGTGGGGGCTTGCCCTGACTTTCCCAGCACTTTGTGAGCAAAGAAATCATCGCTGTCCGCTTCTTCACCGCTTTGAAACCAAAAGAAGCCACTTCTGTAGCCAGACGGGCATCGGTGTAGAGTTCATAATTTGGGAGTGACAACGCTGCAGGCCCTTTGTGCTGCGGGCTGTTTGACTGCGATAATAACAATTGGTGCTGCTCTTGGTTGCTTGGCGGTGGTTCGAGCTCGGGTACTGGAGGCGGCATTTGCTGGCAAACCTCCACAGCAGGACTAGATTCGTCACAAAGGCTTATTGCGGGTGCCGAGGGCAGAGCAGGAGAAGGAACTGGGTCGGGCCACTCGGCGGAAGGAGGGGTAGCAATGTGCAAAGCTGCATCGGACGTGGGACTTTCGACCGGGGCTTGCCGGCTTGGAGATCCCGAGGGCGTGGATCGCTGCTCATCGACTGGTGGGTTGGGACGAAGTGTAGCTAGTACCGAGGGGGAGGAGCCTGTGAGGTCCAACACCTCTGTGTCTAAAAGATCCCCATCGCCATAACGAGCGCCTGCCATCCAAAGTTCAGATCTAGGCCGGCCGTGGCGCATAGCAAGACCAGTTTTCGAAGGGGTTAGGCTCACAAACGGGTCATCCGCCTGATTTGACTCCCTCATAGCCTCATGTAAGGCTCGGAGAAGGGCTGGGTCATCCTCGGCCGCCAGTTGACTGGCAGTCCCAAACACGAAATCTTGTTTGGAAACCTGGCGCATGGCACTGGTTGGTGAGAGAAGGACAGGTTTCGGCGGCTGTGGCTTCTTCTTGGGCAGCTTGGGCACTTTGGGCACCCTAGGCATCTTGGACGCCTTGGATTTCGAGACCTTGTTCGCAGTTGCGGACTTAATTGGGTCCGTTGGTTGATCAACGGAGGTTGGAGGGCAACTGGGAACGGACTCTTGTTGGGATTTTGTGCCAGTCGCGTCCTCCTCTTTTGCAACCCGATATGCCGCCGTGGCCAACTCCGTTATGGTCCGCGGCTTCTTCTTCACAACCCCTGGTTTGCTGGGAGAGACCTCGGGTACCATTTCCTTGTTCCCGGCGAGTGCAACCATGTCGATTAACTTCCGTTTTCCAAACACGTCGGCTTGTCCTCCGTGTACGGTGGGTTCGATGGTTGGGTTGATAGTGGGTTCGGAAGTTGCAGCTAATCCATAGGTGTCCTGGAGTGTCTTAAACACGTCATCCGTAGCAACGTTGGTTGAAGACGCGGGTTCATTGTGGACGGGGGAGCCTCTGAAACTCGGGATTTGCTCATGTGGCCGGGGTGGCGTCCAGGAGTCCGTCCTTCTCTTCATCGCGGGCTCGAGGATCACCGCTTCACCCTCGAGTAGGCAAGAAGAAAGCTCGGCCTGAACCGCACGGGCTGGAACCGGAGGGGGAAAATGTTTGCTTACTGTCTCGACCTTCTTCTTGCTGTGTGTTCCCTTCGCGGACGGTTTGGTGACCTTTCCCGGTGGTAATGTGGTTTGCGCCCGAGTCGGTTCCTTTTTTGACCTTGGTTTCCTCGACTTCTTGACTGAAACTGTCGGATTCGGAGGGTCCGTCGGGCCGTTTTCTCTTGACCCCGCCGCGCTCGCTGCCTGTGACTGTGTCCCAGCACGCCCTAAGCCCTCATTTGTGATCTGGGAGACCACCCCGACCTGGGGAGGCAATGTGGCTTTTGTGGACAGGCCTGTCTGGGAATCGCTTTCCCCAGGCTGCGGTAATATTGACGTTCGCCAGACGGTAGCCGCGCTTGTGAACGTGCTCTGCGCATCGTCAGGTATGGGGATTGCGTTGGTACCAGAACGCAACGCTGGTTTCCTACGCGCGGTCGGGACAAGGTCGCAAATGGACGGAAACTCGGGCGAGGAAGATATGACAAGAACTGAAGCGTCGTGCGCCATCGTTGCGACTCTGGAGAAAAGGACGCCGTTCGGGTTTGTGGTTGCGGCTCGTGTGCGCAGCAGAACGTCCCGACTGCGTCCAGCGCGTCCACCCCAGATCGGAATGATCCGTGCTGAAGACAATTTGGAAGAGTAAGAGCTCGACAGAGCTCTTCGTAATTCGTGGTGATATTCGGCGAGTAGCCGGGCGTTGTCCTCTAAACAACGATGTACAAAATAACAAACGAGCACCATGACACACAACGTCAACGGCCAGTCGTGTTTGGACAAGAGTGGGGTCAATACTTATCCCACGAACACCTCGCGCCGTCACCTGACATCGCCCAGCTGCCAAGTTTTCCCTCCACCTGGCGAGCTTGAGCATTCCGGAGAATTGTGGTCCGTGCGAATGCCAAGCCCACATCGCCCACCAAATCAGCAAAATTAACCTTCCACTTGAAATTCTCTAGTCCTGCTCTGTGGCACCGCAACGAACACAACGAACCCTCTCAATCAGCAATTTTTCCGACAATAAGCCAAAATGGAGAACGACCGCGGTGAAATTGTCGACCTGTAAGCCAGCCCGATCCAGCGGTCAATGCACAAGCCCTCGTTCGCCGCTCGCAACATCCCCAAGTCCTTTGCTAACTCCAGACCCCCACCTCTTCCAGGTACGTCCCTCGCAAGTGCTCTGCGACGGGTCGCATCATCCGTGCGAAGGACCACGGATCGTGCCAGATTACCGTAGCGAAGGTCGACGAGAACGGTCGCGCCATCCAGGGTGAGAACATCATCTACGCGCTGTCCGGCTTTGTCCGCGCCATGGGTGAGAGCGACGACGCCCTCAACCGCCTGGCCCAGCGCGACGGCCTCCTCAAGAACGTCTGGAGCGCCCAACGGTAGATTACGATATGCTAGGGATTGGGGATGGGAAGATGGTACGTTTTCGACACTCGGTTTTGTCGCCATTGCGGTCAAGGCCTTGGCTTAGGAAAGGGGGGATCGTCCTGCTGATACCGGGTTGGCTCCAGATGTTTCGTTTAACGACCGGCGCCACGACATTTTTTTAGACGGCAGGGAGCATGAGGAATGGCCTCGGGGAGGTACTGGGTTATATTTTTTCGCTCAGAGACTCGTGGTATGACCGAGTTGCGGACGGCGTCATCATCTCGAAACAAATAAACCGGCATTCTCGATCACACATCCAATTCCCGTCTCGCTGCGATCTGTCTTGGGCGACTTCCCGTAGTCCAGGCCTTTGGCTCTAGTCTCCACCCCACTGTGATCGGCTAGCAAAGCCTTCCCATGTCCTACCTTGTCTGTACATGGGAAGCCTGGGCTGCTACGACAGCTCCCATGCCGTAGATTGATGCCCAGGCCTTGAAAAAGCCGTGACACAAAAGTCCATTGTCACGGTACAGATACGGGTCTCACAACTTTCTACGCATCCTTATACTTCCTCGTTCCCCAGTCGCCGCTGATAGAACAAAATCAATCGGGTCTATGTAGTCCGTCGTTGTTCACACAACATTCCATCCAACTAGCTATCTACCATTCCTTGGTCAGACTTATGCCCTTGTTTTATCTACCCTACTAACGGCCTAGCCCCCATACTTCCAAGTTACCTATGCCAGTAGGTCGGCCCCTGCCCCGACTGTTGGAACAACATGTTACTCATGTTGCTAGCCCTGGGTCCGAATCAGGCCGTACAGAGATGCAGTCAAGGGCTCCTCATTAGCAAATCCAACTTCATTCATGCACTAGAAACTTCTGAAGTCATTTCAGTGGACAGTTTCGGGTTGGAACTTGTCACCAACGGGGTTTCAGTGTTTTAAAGAGTTTCCCTATGCAGGTAGTATTGACGTCACAATGAAGAGATTGAACCGCGTCACCACAACGCCTGAATAAGCGATGCCATGCTTACCCCCGACCACAAAAAGGAATGTCTTGACTGTATCCCCATCAAAGGGTATCCGGTGGGAATTCCTTTCCTTAACGCAAAGTCAATAATTCAACAACAAACTTTCATCATGTCGGCCTCCCACTTCAATGAGGACGGCAGCTTCCAAGCTGTGCCTCAGAAGGCGCAATCTCAAAACCTTCCCGGGTAAACATATGATTAGTTATGACCCGTCTCGCGGATAACAATCGCTAAAGTTCGGGACAGTCTTGAGAAGAACATGGAGCCGGCCAGCCAGGCAACCAAACTCGAGGGCGCGGGGCAGGCCTATGAGTATCTTGCGGCGGGCAAGCTCAAGGGTTGCAAATCACTCATCACAGGCGGAGAGTAAGCCGATCACCGGTGTACTGGGGCTGGGGCCTATTTACATTCCCAATTTCCCATGAGCGCTAACAAAAGTCGTAGCTCCGGGATTGGCCGCTCGGTAGCTGTACTCTATGCGCGCGAGGGCGCCGACGTTAGCATCGTGTACTTGCCCCAGGAGCAGTCTGATGCCGAGGATACCAAGAAGATGGTGGAAAAGGAGGGACAGAAGTGTCTACTAATCCCCGGGGACTTGATGGACTACAGCAAATGCAAAGATGCAGTGCAAAAGCATGTGGACGCCTTTGGCGACCTACATGTACTCGTCAACAATGCCTCGAAACAGATCATGTGCGAGGAGTTTGCTGATATCAATATGGAGAACGTCGAAAGCACGTTCCGTAGCAACATTCTGCAGATGTTTGCCGTGACCAAATACGCGTTGCCGCATATGAAGAAGGGAGGATCGTGAGTTTCATCTATGCTTTCCCTGGCTCGGTCAAGAGAGGAGAAAAAGGACGCGGAGCTAACACACAACCTCGTAGCATCATCAACACAACCTCGACCGTCGCCTTCCGCGGCACTGCGGCCATGGTCGACTACGCAGCCACCAAAGGCGCTATCGTGTCTTTCACGCGGGCGCTGGCCAAAAATTTGATGCCCAAAGGCATCCGCGTCAACGCAATTGCTCCCGGACCCGTGCACACACCTCTACAACCGGCGTCGCGGCCGGCCGAGCAGATGGAAGGGTTTGGGGGCAAATCGGGGATTGGGCGGATCGGCCAGCCAAGTGAGATCGCGCCGAGTTTTGTGTTTTTGGCGAGTAAGGATGCGGAACTGTATTATGGGCAGGTGTTGCATGCGTATCCGTTGGGGGATTAGAAATGATGGAGCGAGACCTGAAGCGGAGGGCAAAGAAAGACATTGCGAGAATTGAGGTGGACACTCAACCTCGGAGAAAACAACAAAAAGTCAAAAACCAGGTGTTGAGTTTGGCTTGGGAATCCGGCAGAGAAATGAGATGCCTTCAAACTAGACCGTTCTCAATCTTCCGAGAAACAAAAAAAAAGCCGCTCAGATTTGACGTCCTATCATCCCGTCTCGAGAGCAATGTCAAAGACGAGCAATGTCAGGGACAAGAAGAAAAAGAAAATAACCACCTCTACGAAACGCCCAGCACAAAGCCCCGCTGCAAACCGGCGCTGAAAATGCGCACCCCATTGAGTTTTAACGGCCTGCTGATTCGCTTACAGGTGGAGCTGCCCTGCAGCGAGCCGCTAGTGGGGGGGCGGCCCTGTTCCGAACTGGAAGGTCGGCCACTTCCCGCACTCCTGAGACTCGCCGCCGAGTTGAGCCTGGTGGTGCGCCTGGGGTTCGCATCACCAGTTGGTTCGCCTACGCCTTTGTTTCAACAACCAAAGTTTTTTGTTACGTTTTTGTGGTTTTTATTTTACTCGGATTTTTTTGTTCCGCAAAATTGCCAACATCGAGTGTGAGCTGAGTGCAACACCGAGTGGATGGCTGCTGAACCATAAAACCATAAATACAACACGATCCCGCCTCAGGAGCACTCTCATATCACCCACACATCTCCCAGATTCTCAACCCAAGCCCTACTCTCTCAGGGCAGATTTCCAAACAAAGCAGCCGTTTATACCATGGTCCCCTTCAACCCAACACCCCCACGGGAAACCAACCCAACCATGTCCGCCCCAGATCCCCAAAACCAGCCCACCAAACCCATCACCAAAGCCGATGTCGTCTTCACCATCGCCACCCCGCGCCAGCGCATCCTCTCCTGGGAACTCAACGGCGCTTCCTGGGCCCCGCCCATGACCATCGCCCAGTACGTGGGGCGCGAAACCGCGCTGTCTGAGACGGCGCTCTCCGCAGATGGCGGCACGACGTATTATGTGCTACACCCCAAAGACGACCCCGAGACGATTGTGTCGGCGTGCGAAGTGACTGCTAAGCGGGCGCTTGTGGTGCGAGATGCTGGGGATGTGGAGGAGGTGACGGCGTATGCGATCGCGAGCGTGTTTACCAACCCGGTGTTTCGGGAGCTGGGGATGGCGAGTTTCATGTTGAGGCAGGTGCAGCAGGCCGTGGATGGGAAAGGGGCAGAGTTTGGGGCGCTTTACAGCGATATTGGGCGGGAGTACTACACGCGACTGGGGTGGAAGGATTTCCGCAGTCCCCAGGTCTTGTTAGCGTTGGCGGACGGGTTGGTCCTGCCGAAGCTGTCTGCTGGGGGTGGTGATGGGGTCAAGTTCTTGACGGCCGATGAGGTGGCGTCGCTGTGCGTGGAGGACACGGCGCTCGTCCAGAAGCGGTTCGCGACTGCCGCAGTGAGTAGCAACAGCAACAACGACAACGCTCGCAGTAAACACATCACATTCCTGCCCACGCAGGAGCAGATGGCATGGCATTTCACACGCGACGCATACGTTTGCAAGACCCTCCTCGGCCGGGAAGTTATCAACCGCGGCGCCAAGACGGAAGACGGCAGCGCCTGGATCTACTGGGATCACGACTTGCGCGAGAAGAAACTCAAGGTCCTGCGGATCGTCACGCGCGAGGAACTGGAAGCGGACAAGGAGAAGACGAAGGCTGCCATCAAGAAGCTGTTATTTGCAGCGCTGAGCGAGGCCAAGGACTGGGGATTGCCCAAGGTGCTGTTGTGGGAGCCTAATGCGGACGTGGTTGACATTGCCACGGAGTTTTGGAGCGAGCTGGGGCCGAACTTGTCGGTTACATTTGAGGAGAGGGAGGATGGATCAATCCCCAGTCTGAGGTGGAAGGGGGGCGAGAGCTTGGAGGGTGTGGTTTGGGAGATGAATGACTATTATGCTTGGTGTTAGGGAGCGAGGGGACGGGTGTGAATTGACCCTGGTATATTCGACTTAGTCATGACAACTCCCACAACAACAGGACGCTGGCAAGACTGGCTCGGTCAATGTGAGTTTTGTCGAGCTGTGAGCAACGTGAGATGAGGTAAATTTAGCTTCCACTTCATTTTGTCATATCAAAGTACGTTCTTCACTTTTTTATTGGGTTGATCTTGACTAGGTAAACCGAATCACTTAATTATCGGTTGCGACACAAGCCCAGAAGGTGACAAAACGTCTTGCCAAATGTTTTCGGCCGAAGTCATGTTGCGCTATCTATTGCGCAGAGGAAAGTCAACTGGATTTCTTCTGCCTCGTGACCCTGTGTCCCTCCATTTCCTGGCCGATGAGGTTCTAGACTCGACTCCTCAGTCCTGAGGCTTGGACGCCGTATTTCCGAAGTCGGGCAGCCCTCCAACAATTACACTAGTATTGCGGCTGCCAGAAATTCAGCGCTTAAAATCACTAGTTCACTTCGCTGCGCCACAGAGATAAGGAATTTACAATATTTATTGGTAGAGCATTTCTTTTTTGCGTTTAGAACGGAAGCCCTCCACTGGCGATGCTTGAAGTCCGTCCATCAGAGTGGACGCGGACGCCCGTGAGGTATTCTCTTCCCAGGCGAGCACGACCCAGCCACGGCGGGCCGCAGTCGATCCCACGCGGGATGATGCGGCGTAACGGCGATTGCCCCGGACATTAATTCCCGAAAACACCCCCAAGCACGACGCCCCACTTATACCACATCAAGATACCGTGCTGTTCTGTACTACCTAGGGGGAGTTCCACTGCGAATTCCACGACAAACGCGGGCAGTTTAAATGAAGGGACTGTATGGGAGCTGAATGTAGGAACTGACGAACAATTTGTATGCGATCCTGTAAAATGTAACGGCGGGCGGATTCCGCCGGTGAAAGGCCGTTATGGGCTTCCGTAGTGGGGCTGCGGGTGGTGAACCCCCTGATTGGACATGTTTCTCGCTAAGCTTTTCCCTTCTTGGCCGCTGTGGTTTGCAAGTTCACCGAGCGTCAACGGCTTGATCAGACTGGCACTTTCCCCAGTTTCGTGCCTGTCAGGGCGAGCAGGGAAGGAGCCGCACGTGGACAAGTTCATCACTTCAAAAGAGAGCGACGGCGAGAGAGAGGGCCGAACCCAAAGGAACTGCTTCGCCTCGATGAGGCTTTCGGCCCCTTGGCCTTCCCATTTCCTCTTTTGTCCCTCATCAAGCCCTCAACTGTGAGTGTTCGGACATAACGGAAGATTGGAATTGGAGGCGTCTCACCTGCAAGTCAACTTAAAGAACCCCGCGTGCGGAACCGGCGGAATCGTCGGAGGAAGCCGGAGGCTCTGTCTGCTCGAGGGTTGCGGCTGAGAGGACAGCCCGCGCAACTAGTTATGGCTATCGCTGGATAGCGCCTGCCGCCTGGACAGGCCGCGTTCCCTCTCAGGGCTTCCTTGACCAGGGTCACAGGGCGCTGGCTGGTGATGCGCAAGAGACCCGCTCGCCTGTCTGTTTCTCCCGTTCTTCTTTTCTTCCTCTCCCACAGCTCTGGGAACGCCAATCGGCTTGGCAAATCTGTCAACAACCACCAGTGACCAGACCATCCCAGAGCATAGCCATCGCGTTTGCGACGGGGGACCTAAACTTTGGTTTCGGCGAGGAGGCCGCCCTGATGGTAGCGTGTAGTTGAGAGTTCTATTCTAGGTATCGTCAGTCACATTTTGTGGCTAGTCCATCACTCGGCCGTTTCTGCTTCATAACCCCCGTCATCCTTGGCCTGTTATGCCTCCACTTCGTCTCCGCTTGAGCAGCTCAACACTAACTTCAAGTAACTGGGAGAGGATACTGCGTTTAACTTGATGGATCCGAATAACTTGGCATCAACCACGAATCCGTGGGATTGGCCACCGAGGCAGAGTCAGCAACAAACACCGGTTCATACAGGTCTACAAGCAACTCCACAGTCAACACCATACCCACCCACGCCAGGACAGCCTCAGACACAGACACATACACCACCACCATCTCCACCATTGCCTTCACAACAACAACCGTACCGATCGTCAACAAGCTTCTTCGCCCAGCCGCCCCCCTCCCCACCTCTTCCACCATCCCCGCAACCGCAATATCAGCCGTCACCCTTTTTCGTCCAACAACCGCTGCCAAGTCCTCCACTTTCATCGTCACCACCACAATGGCAACCGCACCCGCACCCGCAGCCACAACAACATCAACAGTATGAACCTCGAGCTCAGCCTGAACCTCAACTACAACAAACGCCATCCACCGACCCCGTCCTAATCCCTTCCCACTTCGACGCCGTAACCGAACATACCAGCCCCGGCCTCCTCCACTCCCAGCTCCAAGCACAATATCAACCGCACCCCCAATATCACTACCAACAACCCGTTCCTGGCACTGTGGCCCTGCTCCCTCGCCCTCAGCTCTGGGATACCGCTATCCGCCGCTTTTCCGCGGCCTCTACCAACCCGGTCGGCCAACAGAAACTTGTCCAACACATTGATACCGCGCGGACTGCATACGCTCGCGCGTTTGTGGCGATCCAGCGGTCGATTACGGATGTAGATGCCGCGGCGATTCTCACAAAGTCAAGCGAGACCGATGTGGCAAGGACGGCGATGGAGATGTTCAAGGAAGGGGGTGGGAATAGTGGTGGCAAGAGTGGGAATGGGAATGGGGAGGATCGGGGACGGGTAGGGAAGTTTTTGGATATTTTGCACCATTACCATGTGGTGTTTGATGTGCTCTCACAGGCGGGGGACTTTGGGTATTTGGCGGTCATTTGGGGTGGTATGAGGTTGATGTTGATGGTAAGTTTGGCCCGTGTGCCCGTCTTTAAACGCCATTATGGTTAGAAGTGATGAGGGGTGAATATCAGGCTCTGACACAGACAGATGGCCAAGAACAAACGCGAGCTACTCGGCCGTATCACCGACATGTTGGTCGAGATCGGCCTCACACTCTCCCGCATTGAGGTCTACGCCAAGTTATTTCCAACTGCCCGCATGATCGAGCTGATCTCGATGCTTTATGCTGCCGTCGCCGACTTCCTCGAGGACATCATACTGCACTTCCAGCAGCGTTCTGCTCTGCGCAAACTGTTCTCCTCTCTCATCCGGCCGTTTGATGAGAAATTTGGCCGCGCTATGGACCGGATTCATCGTCTTGAGACATGCATCGAAAAGGACGCGAGCCTCTTGCACGCCTTGCAAGCGCCCGCTGCCGCACACCATCAACTCGAGACGCATCTACACCGCACACACTTCGTCAACACCCTCAACACGACCTTCACCCAGCCGCATCCCTTACAACACGATGGACTGCCACACCCACCACTACCGGATGTCTTCAACCAAATAAAGTCCACCCTATTCCGTAACTTCCGCGACCAGGCCTCCTACCACGAGTCACTCGCCGCGACCTACAGTGTGACCGCTCGTGCTTGGGAGGAATGGTTCGCCGTCGAACAACGCCATCTCCCGTCCTCTGCCGTGATTCCAACGTCCCCTCCTAACTCGGACCCTATGGGAACATCTCCACGTTCCTCTATCACAGACCTCGGATCCTCGCCCCCAGAAAGCGACAATCCCATCCACCAACGATCCAGCGTCTCCCGCCTGAGCCAAGGTCTCTGCGATGCGCCCGACTACCAGCACGCTCTACAATGGGTCGCCCAGCAGCGACGCCTGACCCCTGATATCCCGAGCGCCTACCTCATCTGGGCGCGGGGTATGACGGTGCACACGGCGATCGCTTCGTTGGTGTTCCAGGTGTTACAGCAGCGGCCGGGGGCTGTGGCCGAGTTCGGTCTGGACTTGAGCGTGTTTGATAGGGCGGTCGCGTCTGTGACGTCGCTGTGGGGGGTGTTTACCTACCTGATGCGGCGGTGTGGTGGGTGTCTGATATACATCTCGATCGGGTCGGCCGGGGATGATGAGTTTGTGATTGTGGAGAAATTTGTTGAGGCTGTTAAGACGTGGGATGGCCCGCCGATATGGGTCACGATTATTCATCCGTATCATGAAGGGTTTGTCGGGATTGAGGAGGCCACGGATCTGGATGGGCTGTATGATGTGCACCCGTCGCTGACGACGACGGATGCGCTGCATCATGTGTTGATGCTGGAGCTGGATATCCACCAGGTGTCGGAGACCATTCAGACTGTGTTGTGGGAGGCGGTTTGGCGTGAGACGAGGTATGCGGCTGTGGGGATTAGTTATACCCGGGTGGTTGCTGTGATTCAGGATCTGGCTGCCGAGTTAGCGGAGTCAGGGGTCGTGGTGACAACTGATGATGAAGACGACGGGGGAAACAGCGCAGGGAAAACACCGTCACCCCTAGTGTTGACAACCACCACAAAAGACCTCTGGATCGGTGCCGTCCAGCGCTGGCTCGACCACCCCGTCGCCTCCAACACCACGCGCGAACTCGTCCAGCGACACCTCGACGTTGTACCCCTCGCTCAGCCCGAAGATGTCCGTGCCGACATCAGCCGCCATCTCAAGTGCCTTGTGTTACGCATCGACGAGCGCAAGGCGGGAACCTTCGCCGAGCGATCCATGACCCAGACTCAGCGGTACCGTGTCTGGGACACCATGAAACAAGCCATCGTCCCGGGGTCCGAGGCCATGTTTTGCGCGTCCATTCGGTCGCTGCTTGCGGACGCCATGCTCGATTTTGCAGAGATCCCGTGTCGGAATATGAGGCAGGCGAATTCGGCTGTGATGAGGTTGTTGAATGATCGGTTTGGGATGGATGGGGCCTGGAAAGGGACGATGTCGAGGGATGATCTGTTGATGGTGGGGGGTATCAAACAGGCGATCATGACGGGGTTTAAGGGGACGATTGAAGCGTTGTCGGAGCCGGACGTGGAAGTGGAAGTGGATGTTCATGAGTGAAGAGGAAGTTCTGATTGGAGTGGTGTGTGTGTTCATTATTGGCGAAGATACCTATCATTTGTTTATTGTGTTGGATGTTAGCGGGCGTAATTTGGAAACTTAGTTCTTCTGGTATTTGAAGATGGATTGTAAGTAGTACTCGGTTGTCAGTCTACAGGAAACATCATGGGTAGTATGCATTCAGCTACATTAGAACCTTGTTGCCTGTGATCGTGTAACGTAGGGAAGCTCATAAGACCGATTCATGGCTTATATGGGCATGGCCTGGCCTCGAAAACACTAACGAGAGACTAGGTGGGCAAAGATCACAAAGGAATGGGAAAAATGAAGAAAGGGATATTTATATCCCCTCATGTGCCCTCGACGTCGTGATAAATAACTGCTAATCACTGGCATAGACTAGACGATGTTGCTCACCTTCCCAACACCAATTTCCGCCCCAAACGTTGATCCTACTCTGCAGGTTTAATGTCAAGCCGTTGGCCAATTGGTTGGGCAAGCTGTAGGTAGCGTGTCAGCTAGAGTCCGTAGCACAAGATTTTACTTTTTTTTGAACGGAGTATTCAACACGTACCTCGTTATCCTCCAGGATGTTGGTCAAACGTGCTCTAACCTCTTGCTCGCCCATGCTTGCGACCTCCTCAACAGCGCCTGGGCGTGGAATTACCCCTTGGTTGACAAGGCCCTCTAGACAACACCGTTAAATCTGATATGGAAAACGATGTGGTGGGCTGGACTCACGCTTGGAGAGATAAGTAAACATAAATATAGCAAAGGGGCGCTTCTGCGTGTCGGAATAGCCCCAACTGACTCCGTTGGGTAACGAATCTCTTGGCCGGGGTTCTAGTTTAAAGCTAATCATCCCGTAGTCCACCGTTAAGAAACAATAACATCAGTAAACGCAAAGGGCTGGGAGTGAAAAGGGGGTGGGGGCTGCTTACGCTGTTTTTGAATCGATTTCCCGGCCTTTCATGACTTCTTCGGAAAGCTCAGAACAACCTATTGCTGCCACAGATTCCCACGGAATGCCAAGAGGAGTCGTAGTTTGGATGAAGTAACACATCACCACCAATCTTCCACAGAGAGGGACAAAGGGCGTCTCCTTCTTGAATCCCGATACGGAGTCCTCGCCTGCCGGTACTAATTGGTAGATCAGCCCCCCCTCTGGATCTTAGCCTTTTTGATATCTGTTGTACTATAAACACGATAATAGAAAAGTGTAATTACCGATGCGAAGAGGGGCAAAGCTGAAGCGCTGTGTTTTATAGCCAGCCGTGTTGTTCCCGATGATGGTGAAAGAACATCGTCCCTTCCACGCTTGCTCGAGTGTCTTACCGTTTAAATCAAGCGTCAAACCGCGTATCAACTCACCGTCAATCATGAAACGAAACCCAATTTTGGGACTCAACGGTTGGAATGAAGGGTCAACGGTGACGAGGAATTCGAACTCCTTGCCTGGATGAGACTGTATGTACTTGGTAACATACGGGAGAGGCTCATTTTTGCCGTGACTTTCTGGAAGGTGAAAAATTGAACAGGGTAGTGTTGTTCGGCGGGATGGATGTTCGGGGTTTGGGTGCTCAAACTCCTCCAGTGGTTTGTCCTCTGACACGAGCCCAATGGACACTGAGAGGCCGGGAATCCCAGGGATTATGACCATGATGGTGGTAATAATCGTGGAATCTAGTTCGGGGGGTTGAAAAAAGTTAAAGTCGAGCGGCTTAGAGGGGAGGAAGATGGGCCGTGGGTGGGTAAGGAGCGTCCACAGACAATTGTGGTTTGGGGATTATAGAAGAGATGAGTTGGGGATCGGGCGAGCGAGATGAAGACTTTAAATACTGACATGACATAGCAGCCGGGAGGGCGATTAGGGTATTGGGACGTTGGCAACTGGCAATTCCCAGATCTTGAATGGCGTCTGGTTCGTGACTTTAATTCCAGGTTATTAGAGATGGGACTTTGCTAGAGAAAGAAGCTACGCACGACTTGTCATGTCAAAGACATCGATCATAATGTCGTTTGATGCTGTCCAGGAACAACTATTTGGCGACTTAGAACAACAAAGACTGGAAAAACTGCATTTGCCGTGGTGGCTCACTGTAGCTACACATACCAAAGCCAAACATATTAAGGCCACACATATAGGCCAAACTGACAACCCACACAACGATATCCAAAGGCTCTTAGAGCCACCCATTGTCCATCATGTTGAACAATCTGAGGGCAGCTCCTCCAGCAAAGAACTGCCAAGTAACAAACACGACGCACCCAAACCAGAACAACGCTCTCAGTCCTCAGTAAGGTCAATTACCACCCGACCTTCCTCTGTACGCCGTTCTTTGTACCGAATCACGGACTTCCCCTCCGCTCGAGCTTTCGCATCCTCTTCGTCGTTGTCCTCCTCTCTCTCGCGCTTGATCCCGCGCGGGCTCTCAACGTCGGATGAGTCGGCGGCTACGATTCGTCCCGGCTGTTGCATCTGGATTACACGGTTTGTTAGCATGAGATCCAGAACAAAGAAACCAAATCATATGGCTTGCACAAACCTCGCCAGCCCCCGGTATGCGGGCGATGTGCCGTCGGGCCTCGGCTTCCGCCTGAATGGTCAAGAGTTCTTGCGCTCGATTTACACGATCCGTTATGGTCCTTGGAGTGATGTCAATTCCTTCTGCGACCAGACCCTCTGCTCAAAGTTGTCAGTGGGACGCTGGTGTCGCGATAACATCTGGGGAGTGATTGTTTGGGCAATAGCTCACTCCTCGAGCGGTACCTGAACTCATATACGGCGAAGGGCCGTCTCTGCGGATCAGAGTACGTCACCCCGATAGAATGGGATTGTATCCTGCGCGGCAGTGCGTGTGAAATATACCTAAAGAGAAACGCTCCATTTAGCGCATCATGGGTCGGAGAAGGAAGCTAGTTACTACCAAGCTCATCAACCTACGTTGTTGCAGAGTCCGTTGCCCGGCCCTTGAGTCCTTTTTCCGCGAAGCTAAGGTCGCTGCGAGGTGCGTCCATGGTATGAGGGCCCATAACCCAGGGATTACTGACAAGATGGAGCGAGAGTGTCACACTGCCGCAGGTCTTAGCTCGATCTCGCTGATGAGCTAGCTCTTCCGGCGAGAGGTTATCATCTTCCACTAGAACCGGAAAACACGATCAGTGATTATCAGACTACACCCGCATCAAACGAAACGGAACGCGCTATTGCACTTCGGACCTATGTTCTAGTAAAGGGAACCTGGATGAACTCACCGATATCCAGAGGAGTAAACTTGAAGGCATGCAATTCATATCCGTCATTGGCATTGCCGGTAATGATATGCCGAAACCGGTACTCCCACACTGGTTGCCCCAACTGATCACAACGTTGGAAGACGGCAAGCCTCGCGGCGACGAGCCGACCGTCAATTCTCAAGTGGCAGCCTATATTGCCAACAGTCCGGGGATTAGGTAGCGAGGACGTGCGTATAGAAATTACAAAATCCTCGGCTGCTCGGGCCTCGATGTACTTGATCACATGGGGCAACGGATCGGTTGGAATGCGGCCCTGGGAGAGGTGAAACGACTCCGCCTGGGGGAGTTCACTCTTGGGGTCGGGGTGTTCGAACTCGGGAAGGGGTCCTCGCTGCGCCGTCTCGACAAAGACTCGGATGTGGCAGAGTGATGGGAGGACGGCCATGGTAGTTGCGGCAGAATAGTCAATTGTTGCAATGCCAGAAAAGTAGTTTTGGAGGTCAAGAAGTGCGAAGAAAGGGTTGAAGGGTTTTATAATCCCTCGAGAAAAAAGGCAGCCAGCAGCAGGTTGCCGGCCCGGATCACGGCGCCTAAGCTGGCTTGCTCAAAAAATACGCTGTGCGGAGGGTGAGGGCAGTAAGGATGGTCTGAGAAAGAGGCCATCGTTGGCCTCGAGGGTGGATGTATTGGCGACAGACCAAGGCTGCTGTTGGGGTCGCTTTGTGGGAGTTGAGCCAATCGTTAACCGCCGGTTCATGGAAGGCGGCGCGGGAAGCGGATAGAGAGGGGGGTGAGGAGGGTTAGGGTTAGAGGAAAAAATAAACAAAACATTGACATCATGTTGATATCTGCAACCACAGCCCTGAAGACTGTTATCACCTATCCTGAATGTCAAGCTTCTTTGCGTGGCGGGCCGAAACCTTTCGGGTTTTCATAACTTTTATCCCCAAAACTACGCCAGACTCGCGTACATTAGAAGTGCTTCCGCCCGAGATCACGCGTCTTCTATCACACGTCTTTCTATCACGTTGCATGCACGTGGACAATACACCGCTATCATACCAGGGTTTGCATCAGGTTCTCTAGTGGTGAGTGAATTCAATCTCATAAACACGCCAGGTGCCTGCTCCTTTTGCGGGACAGATGCGGTGACAAGGCAGTGGAAAAACCACTTTGATTAATTAATTATTTACAGCTACGGCTGAGCAGAATGCTCCCAAGCGTGAATATGCACACTCCCAGGGAGAGATAACGTGAGAACAGTTGTCCTAGCAACGTGAACATTGGGCAGGTGGGTGGCTCATCTCCATCCCGGGAGAAAGAGTTAGCGGGGTGAAAGCGAGGTGGTTCTGTGTGATTGTGATGAAGGAAAAGTCTGTCTGTCAGCTGTTAATTATGCGCAGCGATCATGGCCCTGACAACGCCTTTTGCTTTTCCTCGTCATCGGAATCTACCGGGTCGAAATCTTCCAGATTGGCTACTAAACGACTGCACTCCATGCTCTTGCGTTGTACTGTTTTGTCCAGGCTCCGGATATCCAGGGCCGTAATGATTTTACGTTGCTCCGGTGTTGGCGTGGCGTATCCCAAATTCCCGTTTTGTCTTGATGCATTGGCTGACTTATCTTGTGAGGAAAGAAAGTCCACCGGGGACGCGCGGACGTCGTTCCGAGAGCCTTGCTGTCCGGCCTGCTGAGCCGGTGTATGTATGCCAACAGCATCCTAGTATCATTGATTGGCCGTCGTGTGTCGAGTACTAGTACCATGAGATTGAGAGTGAAACAGTGGCGTATTTGATGGGGCCAGATCCAGCTCCCCTTGTAATCTACTTCACGGCGGCGATCGGATAACTGTGGCCATCCACCAACCCCTATATTTTTGCCGCGATGGCCTGGGCAAGCAAGGCAAGTTCTTGGTATAAATAGATTGTCCTACCTTGGCTTTACCTCCTCCCACTTTTTATTTTGTTAAAACGGCGGACTGGCCACCCTCGTTGAATACGGCTACTACCAACCAACTTACGTACATTGCGGTACTATGGCCACCACTACCACCGACCACCGCGTCTGGGAGGAGGAGCCGTGGGACTCGGATGAGGAAGAGCACGACGCTGACGAGACTCTCGACTCAATCGTGAAAAGCAAGACTATCACCTTCTCTATTCACGCTAACTACACGAACTGGGCGCCGAGAGAAGCTTTCCGTGAGTTGGTGCAGAACTGGTATCTTCGCTTTCCCTAGCAAACTGACCCTTTTCTCACTCCCAACCTCGCACCCACCCCCCACGACCTTGATCATTACCGTCTTCATCATGCTAAGCTTTTCTGTGAGCATCTAGGCGAGACGGCATCATCAAAGCCTTTAGGCTCAACGCACGGGACTTCTGCGTCGTTCGGCAGGAGAAGCCATCGGGAAACGACACCGAAATCGTGTACAAAGTATTACGCACCCAACCCGACGACGACAGCAAGGAATGGCTCGGCTACATCCGCTACAAAGGCCGCAACGGCGAAGGCACCGTTAACATAACGAACCGGTCGGCCACCCTCCAGCCCTGGCATCTGGACCTCGGCGGGACGAGCAAGGCACACGACGACGGCCAGGCCGGGGCCCATGGCGAGGGTCTCAAGCTTGCTCTCCTCGTCCTCATGCGCGGCATGCAGAACCACGGCGTTCGATGCCGCTCGGGCGGGTTCAACTGGAAGTTTAACTTCAGTACCCGTGGCCGGCTGGTGGCTCGTCTGAACCGCATGTCGCCCGCGGCCATCGAAAAGGCCGCCGATCAGGCCACGCGGCTAAGCCAACGGACGCTGCTCCCTTTTGGGAGCCACCCGGGGCGCGATGTACAGTTCGTCATTGGGGAGACTCACCGGGGCCTGAATGAACGGGGTGCTCCGGTGTGTCGGAGTCCCGTGAGCCAAAACGACTTCGAAGCCTGGACCAAGGCTGCGCTATTCCTCCACAACGCACAAGACGGGGCCATTATCTCGACCGACGCCGGCGATCTTCTTACAGGCCCGGACCTCCGCGGGTGCATATATCTGAAGGGACTTTTGCTCTCCGAGTCTCTTCCCGGTCGGTCGGCTAGCATCACGAGCCAGCCGCTTCAGTTCGGCTACAACTTCGCTCGTGGGTACACAAACCGCGAGCGGCAGTCAGTGGGCAGCGCGAATGAAGAGGCTCGGTCCATTCTCGGCGTCTGGAGCAAGGCGCTGGAGGTTAAGCCCGAGATGGTTTCGGAGCTCAGCGCCTTGCTTAATACCACAGAGCCGAAGTATGCCGATATCGCGGGTGCAAAGAGCAACATGAATTTCGAGACGGCAAGTCGGCTGAAAACGTATCTCGGGGGCGCTCAGTTTGCAAATAAGTGGTACTATTGCAGTGAGGACCTGGCCAAGGTAAATATTAGTGACGATCTCTATTACATATCTTCGATTATCGAACCAACCAAGGCCCAATCAATGCCTGTCAATAATGCTAACGAGTTGGTGATCTGATTAGAATCCGAGACTCGAACATGTCATTCAAGGGCTCGGATGCGAAGGGGTCCAGTTGACGGACACATACTGGGCTATCCTACGCCGGCACGGTTTAGTTCGCACCGCCGAAGAAGAAGAACACCGTCGTTTTATCACCGCACCGCCTGTTGCAGCCACAGAGTTGGAGTCTGCTTTTGCCCAGTCGGTCCATCGCCTGCTCCGCGCTTGCCTGCGTGCTTGTCCCAAGACAAGCGGAATAACCATCCAATTTGTCCAAGCCGGTCGGCTCCACCTCCAACTGTTGTATTCCGAGCCGGAGGCGTTGTTTCGGGTCCATGAGCGGTGGCTCTCCAACGACAGCGCCATAGAGGCGATGGGTTTCCCAGCCGACTGGCTCCTCGAGGACGTCGCCGTCCATACCGTGAAACGACTCTTTGCCGACGCCCTGGAGCAGCTTCCGTGCCATGTGTTCGAGGATGATGCTTCTCAGACGGGGGAGTGGGGAAGGAAACTGGAAGTCAGCCGCGCTGATCAGAGACTGCTCACGTATCTCCGAATTGGGCAACCAGAAATGTACCCCAGCTCCGAGTGGACCAAGCATATGCAGTTCACCTTGATATGGGGAACAAAGCATCTAGCGAATGAATTCGAACTCCGTTTTGAGGTACAGTGCCATAGCGCATCGCGATGCCCCCACCGGCGTGAGAACTTCTTGATCGCAGAAGATGGTGAGTCCTTCTCCCCCCGTTGTCCTATTTTCCGCTTTCCTTGTCACCTTTCCCCCCATTTGCGCCTTTCCTTCTTCGTTTCATTTCCTCCTTTGTTTATAACGGAGCTTTCCTGACTTCCCAAATCCCGCTAACCCTTTCGTTGCCTTAGCCCGTGCCGACAGGTTGATGTGTACGATGAAGAATATCAGGGATGATTCGGAAGATGAAGCAGAGCCCCGTCCCGGAGACATACCCAATTCCCAAATCGCCACCTGTCGGTCCTATCAATACCAGTATTTCCCAACAGGGATACACTACGAAGACCACTTAGAGCCAGGCGAGCAGTGCTTCTTTGTGGTGCTACTGCCGGAATATCCGGATTCCTTTGTCGCCTTGTCCCCCATCTCGCCCCCCGCCAAAGAACGTGTGCTACGGAAACCGCGGAAAAGTGGTCCACACGCTGACTTCCATATACGGCGGTCCCGTGACGCCAACGGCGGTATGGCCAAGGATCGGGACGTAGTCTTGTCACCAGGAAGGCAAGAAGACACCGCGACTCCGCTGCCGACCAATGTGGCACCCGTCGCAAAGCAGTCCACCGCTGTCATCCCAGCGCCGGCCCCGGCGATAACCACTGCACCGACAGGCACTTTTAGTAAGTCAACCCTTTCTACTTGCCTTGGTCTTGATACGTAACCCTGTTGCATGGATAAATTACTTACATCAGAATCTCAAGCGCTCGGGCCGAGGCTCTCCGCCCTAGACGTCTTCAAACTCGATAGACATCGATGGTACGAGGCTAGGAACACGGAAAACGTGAAGGCGGTCATTGCTATCTTGGCTGGGGAGAAGACCCTGCCGGAGGAGTCGAAGAAGCGCCAGAGAAAGGATTGAGTGATATGTTGAGAATCCGGTCACAGTTCATTTAAAAAGCGAGTAACCAGGTTTGGGGAAGGAGCCCTGAAGTGTAGCTGAGTAAATTTGGTGCATTCTCCGTGTCCCATTTTGGCTTGGTCGCACTTGACTAAAGCAGACTTCATCGCCCGGGAGGCGGTTTCCCTTTGAGCGCGCGAGTGAATGTCTTTGGATTGATATGGCTTGTAATTACCCCCGAGAGCCAAATTACCTAGGTTATGGATCGAAGGCAAGAAGGAATCTAGAATGGTAGATCAGAGAGGAGGGCATAATCATTGATGCAACTTAACCAGGTTTACTTGGCCCCTTTAATTGAATACCCCCCAAGCCTATATTCTGCGATTGGGCCGTCGCGGCCAAATACCTTGGACACTATCTCAACTTGTTGACTAGCTACACAGGATGCAGCGGTTACCAAATGGCTCTGTTTGACTTCCCCAACACCAGGCACCATTGCAGCTAGAATTCGGCACATGTAAATTCTTAGGTAGACAAACTCACGGAACGATCAAACCGCCCAAGAAACACCAGAGATCCAAACATCAATCCCACCGTAACCTAACGCCGCTCATCAGTAGCAACAAACTTGACACTCTTCCTCCTCTCCCTCTCATTCCCGACCCCCAAAATCCCTCCCCTACCCGGACTCGAACTCAATATCCCCGTGCCTACTCTCGCCCCGCTAAGACCACCGCCAACACCAGCACTAGCACCTCCTACCCCCAGCCCAACCGTACCCCCTAGTGTCTCACGCACTGTTTCCACCGCTCTGCTCTGTGGGATATCATGCCCATCACTACGCACCGAACCCGGGTGTCTTCCACTTCCATAATGATGATACGGACCGCCGAATCCGAGTCCCGCACCACTAGCCGTAGTCATACCCGCAGCGCCACTGGCCCCCAGACCAACAGGCCCGTATTCAACGTCCCCAAGAGGCACTTGTTCCCTCTGCAGCAACTGCTGATGCTGCAGCAGTTCATCTCCGAGCAATCGCCCCTCTCCCATCCCAGGCAGCACATGGCTCCCCACCTCAGCCGCAGCACCGACCCCTCGTTCCGCAGCCGCCGTCGCAGCAGCAGCAGAAGCAGCCGCAGCCACATTCGCTTTAGCCATAGCCGCCCGCGTGGCTTCTCGCAACCCCCCACGCCCCGACGACGGCTCATCAGAGCGGTAATACAACGGTGTTAGACTGCCATCTCCGCCGCCGGTGTTCACATACACGAGATCCGCACGTCGACTGGGCAAGCAGGCATGGCCGCAGCCGTCGAGCGGGCAGCATCCGTCAGAGGGGTCGCTTAGGGCGTGCGGCGGGTCTTCGAGCGGAGAGGAAGGGGAATACGGGTAGTGGGAGTCGGACGCGGTCGCTTCGAGTGTGGCGTGCCAGGATTGGAGACAGGAAGCGTGGCCGCCGTGGCCGCAGCCTGGGCAGTACCACCAGGTGGTGAGGGGTGGGGTGGTGGAAGGCGAAGAGGGTGATTCTTCGGAAAATGGGGAAGAGGATGATGGAAGGGGGATGAAGGACGACGGGATGATGACGTCTCGGCCCCCGCAGACTGCGCATCCGGCCATGGCGGCTCGGCAGCGCTCACATTGCCAGACGGACTCGATTGAGGCGGCGGATCGGTCGACCTCGCGTGGTTTGCGGCAAGAGGTGCAGAAGAAACTGGCCTGCACGCCTTGTTGCGCTGCGGTGAAAACCGCCGGGTAGTCTACTCCCCAGTCCGCTAGCGTACCGCCCGGCCAGCCCTTCATGCACAACTTCCGCAGGAGTGCCGCTTCGGTAAACAGCTTCATGCTCATCAGGCGGGCATGGTGCTGGCGCAAGATGGCGGCGGCCTGGTAGTGATCGATGATGTCGTCCGGGAGGAGCGGTTTGAGTAGGAGAACAATGGCTGAGGCATTGAGGGCGGAAGATTTGGCCTCAAACGCGAGGGCACGGGCGATCAGCGGGTATGGCTGTAGTGGAACAGACGACACAGCGGAGAAGCCGGATGCGGGGTCTATGGGATAGGGAAAGGGGGCATCGTCGGGCCAGCAGAGATAGTCTGTCTCAACGATGAAGGGCGATGTGTCATTGGTGTGTGGGGATAGGACAGGTGAGTCCGAGGAAGAGCGATCTTCCAATTCCTGTTCCCTTTCCCCTTCTAGCAAGGGCGAGCTTACTACAACCGCATCGTCGTCGTGCTGAGAAGCGTACGGCGACTCAAAGCTGTCCGTGGTGGTTTGCGTGATGGCATGGTGTTCATCGGTGAAACTCGTCATGTTCGTCATGTTGGTGTCCGTTCTCCCGAGCATGGCCCGGAACGGCAGAGGAAGTGGAACTCGCTCCGGCGAAGCGTGGATCTCTTCGCCCCGGATCCGGCTCGCAAACTCAACATCTTCCTCTCCTCCATCGTGTTGAGTATTGCCACCAGGAGCACCAATTCGTACAGAATCCGCAGCCAAACTACCCTCGGACGACACGGTACGCGCTGTAGACCGCCTGCTTTCGTCCGTGATGGCAAACAGATGGACATAGCTCTCCTCCGAATCCTGTCGGAGTATTGGCCGACGAGGAAGACCGGGCGACGAGCCGTGTCCCGTGTAATCGTGAACCTGGGTAGGGTCTGGACGAGGACTGATAACATCATCCGGCCCATCTAACATAGCCTCAGTATCGTAAAAATCATATCCTTCGGTACTGGCGTACGTGTTTTCGCTACCGTGACTGACCACGGAAACTGGTACGGAATCGAGGCGTTTCCGCACAGCTAGTGGGGGTCCTGGGTGTACGGCGGGGGGCAGGGTGAAGCTCTCCGGCTCAACGATGGGGGTCAGTTTTCTCCCCCGCTCCCTCTCTAGTCGTGCGTGGACACCGTCAGGGCTATCCTGCACAGGCCGTGCCACAGGAGTGGGGACGTTGGAGGTGCTCTCAAACTCTTCAGCGAGTAGCGAACGTGGATGGAGTGCCTTGTCGAAAGTGACAAGAGAAGAGGACACCTTCCGGGGCGTTTCTTCCCCGATCACCGACACCGATGTCGCTGTAGTCGGCTGGATCGGGGTGGGGTGGAACACTTTGTCCAGCGCCTTAGCCTTAGCCTTGGCTTTCGCCTCGCTCTTCTTCATCTCCGCGTCATGTTGCCGGTCCATGCGGCGATCGAGGTGGTACTGTGCCCGCCTATGCAGTAGCATGTCAACCGCATACGCCAGAATGCGCCACGTCTGCGCCAGGCGGTATTGCTTCACACTGGCGGCCGCCCGGGCGTAGTGCTCGAGAATCACGGCCACCCTCTCGGGGAGCGTCCCGGCTCCGTCAGTGTAGGGCAGGTCCCGATAAAGAGCCTCCAGGTAGTTGACAGCGAGGTAGCCGTACAGGTCGACGTTGGCCGCGGCCGGAACGTGCCCGACGGCCATGGCCTGCTGCGGCTTGTGCGTCCCGGTGGCCTTGATGGTCTGTTCCAGAGACATGACCTCCTCCATGGTAGGACCAGCGGGGGGTGTGGTACTCAAGGTGGCTGTGGACCGGGTGCTGGGCCGTCGTCGCCGGCTACCCCCACGCATCTTGGGCCCGATGAAACTCCCGATCGCGTCATCTTCGGAGTCACTGCGGCTTACGCTGAAGCGGGGGGTTGTGGGGCTCGGACTGTAGGATGTGACAGCCGCGACGTCGCTTTCATGGTGTAACACGGGATGATTAGGATGATGATGTTGCGGTTCATGAGAATGATGCTGCGGGTGAGGGTGATGCTGGTTATGGTGGCTGTGGTGGTTGTGCGGTCGAAGTCGAGGAGGAGGAGCTCGCTCGTCGAGCAGCATCAATACTTCACCTCGCGGGGAAAAGGCCATGGTCGACACAGCCTGCCGGTCAATGACCTTGGGCGCGAAGGAGATGTCGCACTGACTGAACACGCCGTCCTGCCCGGCCGTCCACAAGAGATACTGGTCGTGCCACAGCATAGCGCTGGGCGACGCGTCAAACCGCTGAACCTCCTTGTAGGGCATCGTTGGGCGGGCCAGATCCCAGATGTGCACCACATTGATGCCGTATCGCTTCTGGCTGGTCTCATCATATGCGACCGCCAGCTGTGAGGCTCGTTTTCCCTGAGCCGTAGCCGACCACTGTCCGGGCCTCCAAGCCAGCGTACCCGGCGGAGCGGGTGTCGAAAGCGTCCATTTCGGCTTCTGGCGCTTGTCCTGCTTGGACATGTCCCAGACGCTACATTTGTTATCCATACCCCCGCTGACCAGGTGGACGCCGTCTGGGTGCCACGCCATCGCCGTGCACGCCTTCTCGTGAGCCTTGATCCGCAGGATGGGTGCGCTGGGCTTGCGCATGTCCCACTTGAGCACGAAGCCTTGCTCCGTGGCGCAGCCAAAGAGAAACCCGTCGCGCGGGTTCCACTCAACATGCTGCACCGCGTCTGCGTTGCACTTGAACGCCTGGATGGACCGGAACGTGGCGCCGGCCCGCGTCTGCGTCGGCTGTCGGACGTCAAAGCAGCGCACGATGCCGTCCTGGCTGCCCGACAACAGCCATGAGTTCCGGTGTGGATTGATGTCGAGCGCGTTGACCTGCCGTGAGTCCTCGCGGATCTGCACGCAGTCGACCGGCGAACCCAGGCTTGTAGCCCCCGCGCGTACCAGATCGTAGTGGAAGATCTTGCCGCTGGTCCCGGCCGTGAAGATGACCTGCTTGCCCTGCGGCTCTCCCCACTTGACGGCTTTCACCGAGAGTTGGTCCGCAACCGACGTCGGCATGCTGTTGCGCTGGGACGGTTGGGCGATGATCAAGGCACGCAGGTCGATGCCCTCGGTGACATCAAGTCCGTCGAGATTGACCGTCTTGAGCACATGGCGTCCCGCGAGCACCGCCGAGCGGCCATCGGGTGAGCGATCCAAGCAAGCAATGGGCACGCCTGCCTCGTGGATGACATCTTGCGACACGGTCGGGCGGTAGTGTGGAGTTATCGGCGAGCTGGTGACCGCGGCACCCGGGGTATGCACATCGTGGGCGGAGTCGACGGTCGGCTTGCCTAGCAGTTTGCGCATGATTTTGCCCTGGTTGCCGATGCTGTACATGGCATCGCTTGCGGTGCTCGGCGAGCTACGGCGGCATTATGAAGCGTAAGAAACGTAGTCGGGGCTGCGCGGTAAGGATTCGCGGACAATCGATTCTTCGAAGAGATGCGTGGGGATGGCGTCGGTCAGACGCGAATGGACGATGACGGGAGGGATGAATTGATCACAGCAAACGCAGGAACGGCGGCCGAAATTGAGGTTGTCTCGTTGAATTTGGGCGGATTCGAATCCGCTAACTTGGAGCAGCGGACCCCACTACAGATCGCGGGATGCTGCTGCTTGCAGCGAATGGAACCCTCCGTGACAGCGGACTTCGCATTACCCCACGCTAATTTTCAGGCACGCACTCAGGCAGAATCTCAACCCCGGACTTCGAACCTCGAACTCAGTTGACCGCTTTGACATTTCCCATCAGTAACCAACAGTTCCATCCGTCCAGTCATAAACACACACTTGTCGGCCTAGAAAAACCCAAGACATTATCGCCATATTGCCATGGATCCCGGAAGGCAAGCAATGATCAACGGCTGGAAGCCGCCGACAAAGAACAGAGACCGCGACGTCACAGCTCCGCGCTACGACACGTCGAATCGAATCGCGAAGCCGTCCCGACCACCACCCGCGAAGGCCAACACGGCAGCAGCCGCCGCTGCCGGCAGGTATCTCACGCAAGACCAACAATCCGAACAATTCATTGCCGACGAAGACAAGTTCGTGTTAAAGCAGGCCAAAAAGAAGGCCGACATCCGAGTGCGGGAGCAGCGCGCCCAGCCCATCGACTACCTCGCTTTCGGTTTGCGCTTCATCGATTCCGATCGCGACAGCTTCGACGACGACGATGGAGACGCACACATCCGGATTCCCGCGCCTATGGCCGTTCTCCAAGGCCTCAACGCTGCCGAGCTACAAGAGCTCGAGGAGGACATCCGGTCGTACGACACGCTAGAACACAACGACCGCAACAAAGAGTATTGGTCAGCGCTGCTCTCTCTCTGCATAGACCGGCGCCAGAAATTGAAACCACAAGGGCCAGAAGGGCGGGCCGTGACCTCGGTGGCATCTGATGTCGACCGCATTCTGAGTCCCAAGACACTCGAGCAACTCGAGGCATTGGAGAAGCAGATCAAGGCAAAACTTCGGTCCAACGAGCCGATCGATACCGATTACTGGGAGGAGCTTCTGAAGAGCTTGCTGGTCTACAAGGCCAAGGCCAAGCTCAACAAGGTATGCGCGGCGATCAAGGAAGCCCGCGTCGAGCTGCTCCGAGAGACCGACCCTGAGAAGGCAGCGGCATTGGAAGCGTCTGATGGGTTTTCGAGTGCGGCCCCCAACAATGCTCAATCATCGGGAACTTCCAAAGCCGTGGCCCGGCCGGCCGGTTCGACAGCCGGAGCTCCAAGCGTACCATCTACCGCATCCACCGCGCCGCCTCCGGGGACCGCCCGTTTTGCCTCAGCCAACGACGGTGACTTTTCCCAGGCGACCAAGGCCCTCTACGATCGAGAGGTTGCCCGTGGAGTGGGCGAAGGCGAGGAGATTTTTACCGCAGAAGAAGTTGTCCCCGGCAGCCAGAAGCCCCTCTGGGCCGACAAGTACCGGCCTCGCAAACCCCGGTACTTCAACCGCGTGCAGATGGGTTATGAATGGAACAAGTACAACCAAACGCATTACGACCACGACAATCCGCCGCCCAAGGTGGTTCAAGGGTACCGGTTCAACATCTTTTATCCAGACCTCCTCGACAAGACCAAGGCGCCGACGTTCAAGATCATCAGGGAGCATGGGCGTCGCAAGGGCGAATCGTTCGCCCCCGCGGGTAAGGAGGATACTTGCCTCATCCGTTTCATTGCCGGGCCGCCATACGAGGACCTCGCCTTTCGTATTGTGGATCGAGAGTGGGATTATAGCGCAAAGAAAGAGCGCGGCTTCAAGAGTAGCTTTGACAAGGTATGAGCTTAATTTACCGTTTTTGTTTTCTTATTCCTTTTTTCACTTTTTTTTCTTCTTTTTCTTTTCGGCTTTTCCTGTTTTTATCTGTTCCCCGCCCCGTCTTTTTTGCATCCGGTCCTGTCCTGCATCCTTCTCCTCGTTTCCATGTTTCTCTTACCACGCTTCTGTGCCTCTTGCCATGCGGCCTGGTGATCCGGGGCCGCACATGTGTCTCGGGCCCAATTCGCGGCCCGATGTCAGTCATCCATCCGTTGAAGCAAATGCGCGCCACTTTAGCGCGTCGGGTTCGCCCCCCCACCTTCACGGCGCGGGTGCAACGAGCTCCCTGATGTCATCCCTCGCATGAGACTTGTGCGACGTAGACTTCCAATCGAATCAGTGCCCGCAATACTAACGTGGACTTGACATGTAGGGCATCCTGCAACTGCACTTCCAGTTCAAGAAGGTATGTGATCCCTTGCCTACCTGGTAGCCCCCACGATCGGCCATCACTGACTCGCAAATACAGATTTACTACCGCAAATAGAGCGCGCCCGGTTTTTGCGTTTCGGTCCCGGGAGGGCAGCCTTGGTCCATCCCGGAGTTCTGAGCTCCCGTGTCGGATACGCGGCGGGTTTCTAGCCCCCCCACCCGCAGTGGACCGACGACGCGACCCAGGTCACCCGGCCCGTCTAGGAGGCTCCCGTGTCTCTAACAAGCCCGGCCGTTGTGGTGCCTGTATGATCTCTGCCGATACTGCAGCGGATCGTCCCACGGCCGAACCGACCCCAGGAAAACGAATTAATGACACTTTGATGCGAGCACAGTGTTCCAGCCTTGCCTTGGTTGTGTGACTCTCCCCTTCGTCGGACAGCAGAGCAGGGCCACTTCAAGCCCAGCCAGGTCCCAGGTGCTCCCATTCATCCCGTCCCGTCGCCCACTTTATCTCCGTCGACGCGGGGTTCATTCTGCCTTGTCCTTCTGAGGATGCCTGTTTCCGGGTTAGAGACGTGTGGAACCTAGGAAGACCGCGCCACTCGTTTTTTTTGCCGTACTTCATGGCTATCTCTCCAGAAACTGGTCGTCGGATCGCTCACTCACCCTGACGGAACGGGGCCGCATGATGGATGTTCTCTTGGCAACTACTTGACGAAATTTCGCCTCTTGCGGCTTTGATGGTGGCATCGGTTCGGGACTTCAAAGGAGAGCAGAGGTGTGGACAAGGGGATATCATCCGTAAAATCGACAACACCAAATGTTGACGAAACAACGGGCTACGCTCACTCCCTTGCCGGTACCTAATTGCATTCCGGTTTCTTGATGGCCCCGTATCTTGCCAACTCCCTTTCGGTCTCCCCCGGTATCCAACTCCCTCCCCCGGCACCGTGGGATATCATGAGCAGTCCGATGCCTTCCCTCTCGTTCCCTCGCTTCCATGCCCATCTACACCCAAATTAGGTGGGTGGCTGCGCAAACAGTTGCTAAAAGAGACGCTGCCCCTTTCAACTCAGCCTTTCTAGAATGAAACACGGGACCTGCAGTCGCATTCCTTGCAAATTTGCTGCGGGACGACCGACCCCATCGCTCTCTCCCCCGAATCAGTCACTACACAATACTATCGCACGGTGCCAGACGCCTGACGGAGCGCTGTGCGATGCTTCGCCATTGGATGTAGCCTGGCCGACTGCCCACTCCCGTCTTTTCACTCACCCCTTGGCCGCCTGATTGGCCTCCTGAGTCATTGCACCTGAGAACATGCACCTTTCCGGGGCGTCAGGATTGTTCTGCGGGTTGTTTTTGTCCGCTCGTTCAGCCCGCTTTGCCGTACAGCTATGGACCGAAGATGAAGTAAAATGGCGGGAAAACTTCACAAGTAAACAATCGGACTCAACACTACAATCGCTGAACGGGAAGACGGGGGCCAAACTAGAAGCCCCGGTGCCCCACAAGCTGCACACTTGCAGATAACAATGCTGTTGTTCCTGCTGTTGCGATTGCTGTTCTTACGATTTTCCAAACGCTCGCGGCAGCAATGAGCGGCTTGTTGCGTGCCCCAGGGCCCGCAAACATCAATGTTGGTTGATGATGATGTTGCAGGATGTTGGACGGGAAGTCCCAGGCCCGGGGCCGGGTTCGGGGCCGGGATGGCAGTCGCGGAGATCACACGTCGCCATTTCTATCACCGTGGAGGAAAATCTCGGAGGTGGCGAGGAGTCTCTCATACTGTCCCAGCTGTCTGCCATGAGCCCCCCCGGCCGCAGCGCCAAGAACCACCCATGCGCCCCCCGGTCCGTGGCTGGCCGATGAGCCGATCTCCCAACACGGCAAGGGCAGGAACAACCACCAACGTTAAGTACTGGTGTCGCCTTTTGGCAGTAGATGGAATGCTGGGGGAACAAGCCACAGGCCCCCAATTTGCGTTTGTGGTTGTTTCTTGCTCTTTTTAGCACAAATGTCCAACAGGCAGGCAGGACAGGCAGGACAGGCAGACCGACACCCACACAGACGCACACAAGGTTGGAAAGGCAGGACACACACAGAGACGCATACACGCATACCTGCTCATCCACTGTGTCTGGTACATACACGCCCACACGGATACAGTACGCGACAAGCATCATGCCTCAAGCACACAGTACGTAAGGCAAAAGACGACACGCCCCAGGAGGGCCCACACACCCTCCACGCTCTAGTCTCCGTGCGTGTCTAAACGGCATGGTACATGGTACTTCCCATTTGGCACACAGTCGCGGCAGCATCCCGCGGTCAGTCACTCACACCTCTTGTCTCCTCCATGCACGCAGGTTGCGCAGACTTGCATTGCTACCCTGCGGGCACGTTGCCTGGACCCTCCAGCTTGCCCTAGCTACCTCCTGTCTTTGTGAACGACGTTGAGCAGACCAAGATTCGCGGCCTCTTCCCTGCAAGCAACTGTTGTTCCAGCCCCCACGACCCATGTCTCCTCCGCGGAACACACCCCCCAAAGCCGACACCCAGGCATCACATCCTGGTCCCTTCTTGCCTCCCACCCTTTCTGACACCCTGCCGCCCTTCCGCTCCATCTTGCCCACACCCAGATCAACAAGTACCAAGATACACCAGACATTGTCCCCCTGCAAGGGATCGCCCGATCCGGGGGTGGACATGCACTAACACCACTCCACTCGTTCTCAATCTGTCGTCAACCAACACGCATCTGGACCTGACCTCCTGGTCTTCAGTCTCTGGCGCGAGGACTACTTCTGTCCGGCCCGCCCGACCCAAACTCCAACAAAGATATCTGGTCCATCAAACTCTTCTGATCTTTCCCCATTCCATGTTGCCCAGCACAGCCGACAACCCGTCAGTCTGAACGCGCAACATCTAACGCTCTACCTTCCTTGTGTGCCTTGAAGCAACACTCTGTTGTACTCTGTATTGCTCCCCCCTCTTCGGCCTTCTGACCTTTGCTGCCGGGTCTCAAGGGCGTAACCAACCCATCCACACATCACACACTTTTTACATGGATACCTTCTCGACAATGGCATCCTCGAATGCCCCTTCGCCCCAGCCTCAACTAGACCAACACCTTATCGCGAGAATGAGCAAGATTGGAGTCCAGGAGGCCAGCCACAACCATCACCAGCCTCAACAACACTACGCACCCAGATACTGGAACCAAGGTTCTGCCGCCCCCTCAAAAGCTAGCTCTGAAGCCTTGGACAACCAGGCGCTCCATGGCTCTCCCGTGACCAGCGGCCTCCAACGCACCGCCTCGTCTCAGTCTTCGCCTCGCGCCTGGGAGTCGCCAGAACACCTGGGCCCCACGCCTTGGGAGGCCGCCACGGAGCAACAACTGCACAACCCTTACCCAGGCTTGGACCCCCAGCTTTCTGGCTACATGTACAGCGGCGACAGCGGCATGTCAGCCCCGTATCCCGCAGACTTTGTTCCCTCATCCGGCTTCGATGACCCCGAGAGCGGCTACAGTACCTCCCCGGGACAGGGCGAGTTTCCCCCAACCCCTGAGAGCGCCCACCTCATGTCGCCATGCAGCACAACCCTCACCATGACCATGGACGATCCTCCCGGCTCTCCTGGCGACGACACGGTCAGCCAAGCCGCAACCCTCGTCGCGCAGATGGGTGGTAGTCCACGCAACAACAAGACACCGCCCTCTATGTTGCATCAAGATGACCAGGGGGACAACGACAAGAACGGCGAGGCGTATGCCAAACTCATCTACAAGGCGTTTTTGAGCACACCAAGGCACGCCATGACGCTGCAGGAAATCTACCAATGGTTCCGGGAGAATACCGAAAAAGGCAAGAGTGGCAGCAAAGGCTGGCAGAATAGCATCAGGCACAACCTGAGCATGAATCATGTAAGTTCTCAACTGTCGTCATCCGTCTCTCATTGTCCTTGGCCGTCCCCTATTGTCTCTCTCTGCCCCTCTCGCTCTCTGCTTCTCCCCTGTTTGGACGGTGAACATACAACTAACGAGTTTCCCAGGCCTTTACTAGGCGTGACCGCCGTCCAAGTGCGGGTTCCATTAGCGAAACCGGTCAGTCTAGTGCCAAAAAGGCGGCAGAGTGGTACCTGGAGCCATGGGCGGTTGCCGGCGTTCTGAGCACCACGCGCTACCGGAACGACAACCAGGCCCGGCGAGCGGCTCGGCGCAACGGTGCCCATCTCAACGCGCAGGTGTACCGGCCCTATCACGCGCCGCAACACGCGCACCATCCGTCCCTTGGCCGGAGCCGTGGCCGTGCTCTGCGCGGCTCTTCGCGCCAGTCTCCGCGGAGTCACACGTTCCCCATGGCTGGAGTGGCCACGGCGGCTGTTCACCCCCAACAAGCGCAGCACCACCAGCAACTACCCACTCATGCTTACCACGCCTTCGTCCCTGTCCGGAGTACAACGTACCCGCAGCCACACCACCATGACGTGGTCTTGAGCGACTGCTCAACCCCGTCTCCTCCTCCCTACAGCACCGCCTCAAGTGCATTCTTTGCTCCTCACCACGTTGGGCCCAATGGCATGGAACCATCGAGCCCAACTGTGAAGTACGAGTACCCAGCTGAGCCGCTGTATTTGGGACACCAACACAGTCACGGTTATCCCGGGGCTATGACATCCGGCCCAGCAGATACTTTGCTGAGCGCGCCTGCGCCTGTCCCTTCATCGAGGCCAGGATCGACCGCGCCAACGGCTACATCTGCTCCATCGCCAACAAGAGCAACAACACCTACCACAACCACAGCCGCCCTGACCGACGCCATGGTGTCTGAGCCAACGACAAGAGCACCATCATCATCATGCTCATCATCCTCGTCAACGTCAGGCAGCGGCGACAGTGCGAACGTGTTCCAGGACAGCATGCCTTACTCAACCGCCACGGCGGCCACGCACACGGCATATCACCATCACGCGCATCAACATGGGTACCAGCACCACCAGCATCAACGGAGTCACCCGATGCAAGGGGGGTGGTATGGCCAGGGGCCGGGGTATTAATTGCCTTCGGTTGGGTTAAGTAAGTTGGTTGGTTGGTTGGTCCGGCGGTCAGTGTACGAACATGGGAGTGGGAGAGTGGAAAAAAAAGGCACGAGTAATGCTATTGATGGTGGTGATGTGTGTCACTCTGTCGGTTTGTCTGCCTATCTGTCTGGCTTATCTTGTTAATATCTGGAACTGGTTGAGGGCTGGTTTTCGTTCTGGTCTTGAGAACAACGGTTTGAGTTGGCAATGGTTGGTTGGGTTGGCTCTTCGTGTTTTTTTCCCGGACGTTTATTTTTTTTTCATTCCCCTGTTCTTGTCTCTTCACTTCATTTTCTTGCTCTATTTTTCGACTCTGGGCATACATTCCTACAGTACACTACACACTGTCTAGGCCGGCAACGGTTTCCCGGTCGGGGGCTTGAGCGGTTGGGCGGGTGTTCAGCGGGGCTTGGCGGAACGAACTTGTCGGATGGTCCTTTCGGCCTTTGATAGACGCGGCATTTTCCCTGCAGAGGGTTCCCCCTCGGAGCGGGGGTTACTTTTTGTACACTACTTTTTTCTCATCACATTTTGGTGTCGGTCCTCTGTGTGTGCGTCTCTCTCAATGGAACAATACCCTCGGTTGGTTGGTTGGCTTTCTGGTTTTGCACTGCGCTTTTTTTTAAAAATTTTCTCCCTCTTCCTGGTCTTCGTCATTTTTCTGTTGTCCGCGAGGGGTGTGGGGAACAAGAAAAAGAAAACCTGGATGAGAATGCAGAAAAGAAAAATACGGCGATAGGTAAAATGCAAAAAAAGGATTAAGGAAGCAGTAATTCACTAAATATTCCACTGCATGACGATAAACTGATCATTTCCAGTGATTGAGTACTAGACCAAGAGATAGCTTCTGATCTTTTTGGAACGCGTTCGTTGTCTTTTTTTCCCGCTGCATTCGTGATATCCACCCCCGGTCACTTCAATGTCTCGATCGATCCGCCTGACAGACGTAGACGCACGTCCGCAATAGCCGCGAAGGCCCACAAATCGCACTGCGCGCCCGTCCCCATCCGACACTATTTCACAAGCGCCGCCCCAAGATCACCTGCCGTGGGGGCGAAGGTCGCTTGAAATGGCCCTCACCAACACTATCTTGGTGGTCATGGTCACGCCATGTGCAGGGCGGTCAGTTGAAAGTTGGAAGTTGACTGAATTCGGGCCTACGGCCTGCCCAGGTGGTCACTTACACGCCGAGCCCAGGTGTGGGTCCCGCGGCCGTCGACAGCTGCATGGAAGCTGCGTCTGTCTGTCCGTTGGCAGTCAGTCCAGTGTGCGCGCCTGCAATGACCACGCGGAAAGAGAACTTGGGGGCGCAGGTTTTTCTCTTCCAACCAAGGCAGCCACGGAGCCAGAAAAATCACCCACACACCCGTTGTGATGCTTTGAGCAGGCGCGAGGAGGGTAAACCTGGAAGGAACTCCCCTCGATGTCGGCTCGTGTCGGGTGCTTCGGCCGCCATGCGCGCCTGACTGGGCTGAATTGTTGCGCTTTTTTAGCGCCGGAGGCGCTGAACTCGAAACCCCTTGGGCGGGGGTGTCGTTTCTGACCCCACTTTTCAACCGCCCTGCAAAAGGCCCGTTAACCTCTCCAGTGCCGGAGTTATGCGGCGATCTATCTCCGCTCCCTCCTCCTCTTCTTGACTCCCTTGCCAATATCACGTTCTGTTGATGTAACCAAGCAACCTTGGCCGGGACGGGCTCGATCGAGAGAGATGATGGAGTTGTTCATTATAAAGACGTATTCTTGTTGGCGGAGAAATCTCACCGATGAGCTCCATTGTTATTGTTGGTGGGATACCGCTGGAATTACCCTGGACTTCCATGCACCGAGACCTTACCATGGGAATGGCCTCGAGACTTTTCGTCATTTTCCCGCATGAATTTTTCTTCACATCAGTGCTAACTGTCCATCGTCATATTTTTTCCTTTCCTCTTCCCTTTCATCCAACCCTCCAAGCAGAGAAAGCAGCAACGATGTAACTTGCGCAGGCCGCGGTGGGGCAGCGCGCCGCAAGTCACTCGGGCACCTCATCCGGGTGCAACAGTGTCGTTAACGATTGACAGCGTTGGCGGAGACCTGCATTACGCTGCATGGGGAGAGATCCTTCCCGCAGCAGCCAGGGGGGGTAGAAAGGTGGAGGACGGGGGCTCTTCACCTTTCCATGTTGGTAAGCGTGGTTCGATGCCGCGCAAGGACGGGTACTTGCATGGCCCGCATCACATCGTGCCGTTGTTACTTTGCGGGCCATTTTTTTTTCATTCTTCGTTTTGGTTATTTGCAAAAATGACCCTCGATACTACCAAGACTAAAAGCATTGTATTGGCTAAGTGCTTTGCAAAAACTATGACATTTTCAAGCTTTTGCGATCTTGCGTGACGACCTCAGATGAGTTTACGTCACGATGCCCCTGCTGCCCTCCACACCAAAACTGTTGACAGAGCTCGGCTCATCTCGCCGAAACTGGCACTTTGTTGCCAAGAACACAAAAAGGATATCGGAGACAAATCTTCGCCGCAGCTGCGCAGGACTGGGGCACAGAATTACCCGGTTCGAGGAGTGGGGGAGTGGGGAGGGAGAAAATAAGCTACAAAGTTGGCCGCATGGCGGCACAACCGCCGTGTTTCGCCCACATACGCTACGGACATTAGATCCCTAAAACCCACACAGTCAGAATTTCCAGACGATGTCCTTGACTCGACTGAGACACTCCAAGGTGCAAAAGTCCATTTGATTTGTAGTGAGTGAATAAGCCCCGGTTTCCTCGGATCATACCCGAGCAGCTCATGAGATCCCCTTCCCCACACTCACTCCCTTTGTTCCCGTTTCGTAACGCCCATGAAATCTACCAAGGGTAATCGCCATTCAGAGCCACACCTTTACTTCGCCAAGGCGCTCCAAAGGCAAGACAATTTCGTGTTCCGACGCTCCCCGAGACACACTGAAAAAGAAAGTCGAGGAGAAAGCCACGCTCGTGAGCGGCAGGACATGATTCGCCATTGTGCCGAACTCGGACGCCACCCCTTTTTTTTGTTCCTGTTTCTGAGCGCCGGCCTCACCCAACGGCCGACTAGCAACAGAGGCTTACCATGGACGGTCTGTTGGAAGTTGAATCCTTTGGGGGGCCCGAAACGGAAAAGAATAGGACTTTCCCCCGGATTGGACATGGTTGGGAATACCGGCTTGAGACCTGAATTTCCCGAAGACCGAGGATTACCAACAGACTTTTTCGGCTGTCGTGATCGTTCATGTTCGGCGCGTGGGTGAAGTTGTCCGATGGTTGAAGGAGGTTGAATTTTTGTGATGGGGAACTGAATGCCGGGGAAGCATGACTCGTACAGAAGCCCAGTGTCTCGGCCCGTCCGAAATGCATCGGTGCGGTACTGTGCAGAAACGCGGCCTGGGCTTCAACTGGCTTTAACTCTACTATGTCCGGGAGAATCGCCATGGAAAGTGGGGAATGCAGGTGGGCGAAATTGTACGTTCACTGGTGAAGTCACTTGATGTTGAACTGCCGATAAGTCGACGAGGCTGTAAATCAGGCCTTTGGCTGTTAAGAATTAGGTTTTCGGCAGGTAATTATTAGTATTACGTGGAAATTCAACCTGGACGCTCTGGAACCGCCCGGTGTCGCGATTTTAAGGGTAATTTACCTGCAGAGTGCTGACGAATGACGGTAGGTAGTTATCGCGATGTGTTCTTCCTCACTAACGAGGTAGGCAAGGCCATTATGCAGATTCGGGATGTGGGAGGTGTTACGTATGCCCAATCTGAGAGGAGAAGACGTTAGGCTTCGCAAGCATGTCACGCTTATGGGATGTGCATGTTGAAAACCGGGCCTACCCCCGGGGAAGAGCTCACCGGCCAGCAAGCCCACCCTGTCAATTTCAAGAATCAAGGTGTGACGGCGGCCAGGGATCAACGGCATGAAGGAACGAGATGGGGCAATGTATGCCACTTATTGAGGGCTGGCATGGCTGGCTGGCTGCTTGGCTGACTGGCTACGCTGGCTCGTGGCTGGTCAGATGACTTGGACGGGGCGGGATGGCGCGCGAGGCGTCTCGGCTTAGGCAAATCACAGCGGCATTCTCACGGGAATGACATTCTAGCGCACCCTGGGAACAACGGGAAGTGGGAAGCTCCGCAAGGAACTAAGGTTTGGCACTGATACAGAAGGTTATCTCTGCGTCTCCTGGTCACAAGGATAGTTCGGCGTGGGAGAGCGAGAGAACTGGTTAAACTGCCATGGACTCACCATAGCGCGATCGATCTGATCGCCTCATAACATTCTCATGAGTAACCAAGGCTGGAACCCAACTTCTTGTGAACTGCGTGCGCAACAAATGCAGGTAACCTTCCACCTTGCGCTTTTTACCGTTCTGTGTGACCACCTCATTATGCACAGAATACCCTGTCCAACCTGACCATGTTTCGAGAAGGCGAGAGCCGTCAGAAAATTGCATTCCCAGTATGCCCCAGAGCGCGCTGGATTATGTGCTACTGTGGCGTTGGAAAGGGGTCTTGAATGGAGCTGGGCACTGGAGTTGTTGATCGGCTTGGCCAACTGTCGCGCAAGTGATTATCAATGAAACGAGCTGAAGACCCCCTACCTATGTGCAAAAAACGCCCCGTGGACTCGCCCACCGCCTTTCTGTTGCTATATCAGTGGAGAGGTATTAATTATAGGAGCTTCGCAGGATGGGGCAATGGTGTTGATGCCAGCACCCGCGTCCTCCTGCAAAGGTGTGGCGTTTTCCTCTTCTCATGCTTTTACTTGTAGAACAAGTCTAGGCGGTCAAGCCAGACACCCGGGCGTAGCCTGATCTCACTGTCTTGTAACGTGCCTGCATACATACCAGCAGACCTGGCAAATCGTGTGGCTGTGCTTTCTCTTCTTTGTTTCCATTCCCGTTTTCAAAGTCTCAAACTATGCTGTGCCTCCCCCACGAAGAAGCGAGCAAACTTCCACTGCCGATTGCTTC